TTTTCAATTTAATAACACCAAACTCTGGTTTTTATGATTAATTAAGAACTCTTTGTCTCTCTGTCACTCTATTTAAGTCACAAATCATGTTATTTTCTATAGTTGCATTTCAACTTTCAATGAAATTTGAAATGCAACGCACTAGTTGATGGAGTTATTACCTATAACGGTTCATATCGAATCGAATTCAATTCGATTTTTTAAAATAATGTATAAATTTATGAATTTTTAAAATTTGAACCAAAATCGAATCAAATTTTCATATGAGTCGAATCGAACCGAAATCAATTTAATTTAGCTGAGTAGTTTTTTAAATTAAAATTTTTTATTTTATATATTATTTTAATGTAATTTTTAATATATTTAAATAGATTTAAGTATAAATATATTTAAATATAAAATAATTATATTTATTTTATAAAAATTTAACGAATATATAAAAACTAATAAAAGGATATAATTAGATTTGGTTTGGTTTTTTAAGGATTTTTCACTTTTAAATTTAAAATTCAATCCAAACTTAATATACACATTTAATTTTAAAATTTAATCCAAACCGAAAAAAACTAATATAAACTAAACACTACAGTTTCAAATTGATTTTCGATTTTTAAAATTTTTTTCTCACCTCTAATTACGCTTAGGTATTTTTTTTTATCTAAGTTTTTGTTAAAAAAAAAAAAGGTCAAAAGGATCTAATTATTTTATCATTCTATTTAAGTATTCATATTATTTTATACAGATTATATCTTATAATTCATGTGTTTATATCTAGTTTATTTAATGTCAAATGCATATAAAATATAAAAATTATCGTATTATAATTCATGTCAATAAATAAAAAATAAAACATATTTTTTTTATCAAATCAATATACGATTTTTAAAATTTTAAACTGTATTACTTTTATTTATTTTTTAAAATTGCTTTATATTATATCCGAAACAAGTAACCTAATTGCCCAATATAATATACATTCAATAAACATGAAGATGAAAGTTTGATCCTTTCACTTATTTGGTTGCAAAACAAATAAAATTACCATGAGATCTAAAAAGGATTTAGCTTTAACATTTTAAAAGAGTCAAATACTATATTTTCTTATTTGGGTTTAGTTTCCTAGAAAAATCATTGGCACATAAAATTTCTTACTAATAAGTTTGCTTGAGTGTTTATATGCAATGCAATGAAATTAATTCAACGAAATCATTTTAAGCAAATCATTACTGTCAAAAAGTTGGAATTTTAGTATACCCTTTCATAATAAAATTAAACGTCCAATTTATTATAAAGCAAAGCATAGATTTTTGAATAAAAATTTTAATGTAGTTGATCGACATAGTTATATGACATTTAATAAATTTAAAATTTATATATTAATAATCATAATTTTTTTATTTTTAAATTATGATTTTTTTATTAAAAAAAACATACTTTACAACTTTAGCATAAAAATGTTAAAAGGAAATCCACTTACAAAACTTTTTATATGTATAATTTTGCTTGTGTTTAAATGGGCATATTAAGAAAATGACATTCATCTTGAAATAGCAAACATTATTTTAAAACAAATAATAATAAATTATAATGAGGGATTCACTTAATCTTTAGAGAAAAAATGGATAAAATTAAAAATATTATTTTTATTTAAATTATTAATTAATTTAATTTTGATTTAATAATAAAAAATATAAAAATTACACTAATATAAATAGATCAATTTCAACGATTCCCAAAAAACTTGCCCAAAGCCAGCCCATTTCTTCTGTAGAAAGGCCCAGACCGGTCTCGAACTCGGAAACAAAAAAAAACCGAACCGTCCTCTCCTTTCCTGAAACCTTAACCAACACGAAGTCCAACTTTGCAGCCCCTTTTATTAATCAAACATCATAAATTTCAAACAATCTTAGAATTAAAAAAAAAAACGACAGAGTACGGACCAAAGCAATTTGAATCTTTCGATCGAATTTTTAAGGAATAAAGGGGAGGTTTTCTTGTGAGAGATATGGATTTTGAGCTAAGGAGAGCGAGAGAGAAGCTTGATAAAGAGCAGAGGGAGAGGAAGGAAAGGGCCAAGTTGAAATTGGAGAAAGAGAGGAAAGCAAAAGAAGAAGCTAAGAAACAACGAGATGCCATTGAAGTTGCTCAGAGATCTAGAAGGCTTGCTGCCATTGAAGCTCAGCTCGAGGTGCTACTGTTTCGCGATCTCAGCTTTCGGTTCTCAAATCATTTCATTGAATTCTTCCTTTTTCTGTTCTTTTTTAATTCTTCAATTGAATTTATAATTAATTCTTATTCAACATGTAGTTTCATCCTTTGCATCAAATTTTTGATATGGGAATTGATGCTTTGCTTGAAATAGTTAGAAACATGGGTGTGAATAAGAAGATTCTTGAGGAATTTTTAGTATGCGAAACATGTTTAGCCGAATATTAGTTCTTTTCTTTAAAATATGAAAGCCCATTACACTTTGTCTAGACAATAACATCAGTTAAACTTCGTGCAATGCCATTGAAAGCCCATTTTTAATCTACCATGGGCTAGGTGCGAGGTCTGTACTGCTGGTCAGCTGCGCCTCTTTAACACTCTTTATAATGATTACACGATGGTAGAGTCCACCTTACGTATGTATGGAGAGGAATAGTGCTTGAATAGATGGTTTATAAATGAGTTGAATATTTTGCATTATGATGTTTTCGGTATATTTGGTAATGGGGATTTCTAATCTTTTCTTCCTTTGTCCTCAGGTTGAACGGAAAATGGAAGAAAGTTTACTTGCCGGAAAAGGAATAGTTTTTTATAGAATCTTAGAAGCTGTACCTTTTCAGGGTAGTGGAGATAAGATCAAATTGCCTCCATCCTGTTTCACTGAATTTCTCTGATCAAGGTGCATTTGACAAGGGACCGGTATATTTTCAATTGTCATTGGTTCATCAGGAGGGTTTTTCTGAGATTAAGGATGGTGAAAAGGAAAAGAATAGAAGCACTCATTCAGGTGTTTTGGAATTCACTGCAGATGAAGGTTTCGTTGGGATTCCTCCCCATGTATGGAGTAATTTGTTCCCTGTGGACACTCCAAAGGCTTCCTTGGTTGAGGTTCGTTATGTTCGACTTCCAAAAGGAACATATGCTAAACTTCAACCTGATGGAGTTGGCTTTTCTGACTTACCCAATCACAAGGCTATTCTTGAAACAAGCCTTCGTCAGCATGCTACTCTTTCTCAAGATGATGTTCTCACAGTTAAATATGGAGAGTTGACATACAGGTTATGTGTTCTTGAGCTAAAGCCCTCTTCAAGCATATCTGTCTTGGAAACAGATATTGAGGTGGATATAGTCAACCCAGGTGTTGAATCAGAAAGGACAGATCAGTATGTCTTAAAGCCACTTGTGTTTGGTACATCAGACTCTGGATTGGTTGAGGAAGGAAATTACATGTATTATAAGTTCTCAATTGATGACAAAACATGGGAAAACATTGTTTCCGGTGATGTCAAAATAGAGGTAAGGATAGAAGCGGAGACGAATGATGGAGATACTGATCTTTATGCATCCAAGCATCCCCTTATATTCCCAAACCGTCATCAACACGAATGGTCTTCCCATGATGTTGGTTCAAAGACTTTGATCCTCAGCTCCAAAGAATAGGAACTTGGGTGCTGGTACTTACAGCCTCGCTGTCTATGGCTTCAAAGGAACAACCAAGTACCAGGTATCAGTGCATGTTCTAGAGAACAGCAAGCATAAGGTGCGTCAACAAGCTGTGAATTCATCTTCAATGGAGGTGGATACCGTGGAGTGTCGGAATTGCAAGCATTTTATACCCAGTAGAAGTATAGCTCTGCACGAGGCATACTGTAGTAGGCATAACGTTGTTTGTCTACACGTTGGTTGTGGAATTGTTCTAAGGATTGAAGAGGCCAAAAATCATGTGCATTGTGACAAATGTGGGCAAGCCTTTCAACTGGGAGAGATGGAGAAGCACATGAAAGTGTTCCATGAACCACTTAGGTGTCCTTGTGGAGTAGTGCTTGAGAAGGAAGACATGGTAAGCCACACTCCTTTCTACAGAAGATTTATTTCAATTTACTTTATTTCAGTTAACTAGGGCATTATTTCTGCCAACTTTTGTTAATTTATTTGAGAAGTGGAACAGAGTTAATTTTTGAATCTGACAACTATTTTTCTGGTTCTATGAGAATGTTGCTTAATGCATAACTTATTTAGGGTGCGTCATTCTGTGCCAGTTCCAGTAAAAGGGTTGGCATGTCCACTAGCGCCCCTCTAAGCTGGCAGATGATGAATAGGAATAAGCATGAATGCTTATTGTAAATTACGGTTTTACATGTTCTGCTAGATTATAATTACATTATTAGACATTTAGAGATGCCAATGCTGTCGACATGTTGTGGATATAGTCTAGCAAAATGAAAGGTTTGAAATTGTTCGAAATGTTCATAAACGACAAACTCATATGCTGCACGCCATTGTGGCATGTCTAAACAATCTTCAACCTTTTTGTTTGTCTTTTTCAAAACACAAGATTCCAATATTTTATATTTGATGGGATCCATCACCTAAGATAGTTAAAGGAACATGATGATCTTTTCTTTAGCTCCTGGAGTGGCCAAAGTGATTGGCGTCTAACATAGATATTAAATCTGATATCAAGATGAGAAAATTGATGACTGGGTGATTGAAAAGTGGAAACCTTGATTGCATCTTTCTGTATTGTCCATCTAGATATCTTTAACTTTCGGTTTATTGGGACAGGTGCAACACCAAGCTTCAGATTGCCCCCTGCGCTTAATCACATGTCGGTTTTGTGGAGACATGGTTCAAGCTGGAAGCTCTGCCATGGATGTTCGTGACAGATTACGTGGACTCTCAGAGCATGAGAGCATTTGTGGCTCAAGGACTGCTCCATGTGATTCATGTGGACGTTCCATAATGTTGAAAGACATGGACATCCACCAGATTGCCGTTCACCCGAAGAACTAATGTCAGCACAACTTCCCAATTCCAGTAAAGACCAAAGTCAGCACTATTTTGCATGGCTTATAATGTTTAAGACTCATAGAAAAAAATGGACACTGTGGCTGTTGGCTTCTGTGCATGAACCAAAGAAACAGATTGGGATTATTTGCATATATTGTAAGAATCATGGGGCATTATTGTTTTGTGCTTGCGAAAAAGGCAATATATAAATATTTGGTTTGAGACTCTCGGTGTCTGATAATCACTTTGAGTTCTTATTAATCTGAAATCGAGTTGGGTCAAACTCTATAAAGGGAGCAAGTTTTCCCAGCATTTTTTTTTTTTTATTCACAAGAATTGAAACTAAGACCTTACTTAAAAATAATCGAATTTCTCAATCACTCGGATCAATAAAAAACTAATTATATGAATGGTATTCTTTATATAGTTTGTTCTTGCTCATTCCTATGAGTGAAATTTCATTTGTTGATTTTCTTTCTCATTTTTTACTAATAAGCTGTTCTTATTACCAAAAACTCAAATTTTCTAATAAAAGAATTTAAAATTTTTCACTTTATATTAAATGGTGAATCAAATTTATTAATTTTTTGAAACAAAATTCAATTTTATATTTTTTAATTTGGATCAAATAAAAAATTCAAATATTCTCACAAAATAGTTTTGATCATTAATTTTGATATTTTTAATCAAATAAAAAAATTACAAGTACAATGGTTTAAAAGTTACTAATATATTTTTAATTTACATTATTATTATTATTATTTTGAATTTATTAAAAAATTATAAAAAATAATTTCTTATAAATTTGTTAGAATCATTTGAACTGATTAAAAAAAAAAATACCAAACAAAATCTAAAAAACTCTTTTTTGAAAAAAGTTGCATTTATTATTATTAGTTTTTTTAATAACTTGCCGCATAAATTATTCTTTGCAGTTGCCCTAATCTTTAAAATAGTAGAAGTACTAACCAAATACCAAATTCTTTATTTCTTTCCTTCTCAACTATTCCACCCCCCCCCCCAAAGAATAAACGATTGGGCCCAGTTGTGGGCCTGAGTTGCCTCCCGTGGGCCATTCCTTTCATTTTATTTTTTCTGACTTCGGTGCCATTTGCTGAATAGTCGTCGCCCGAGGCTGCAGCCAGGCTTTGACGAAGCCATACCTGGGCAGGCTTCCTGTGACTCAGAGATCCGAAGCTTTTACGAGGCCGGAAAGGAAAAGAGAAATGGAACGAGGTGATGACGGTAGCAGATTCGAGCGGCACCGGAGCGACGTCGTTTGCGTCGTCTCCTTCCTCTAACCTGCTTCCTAGCAACCTCCCTCTCGTCACGGCCTTCCTCGCCTTCGCTCTTGCTCAGTTTCTCAAACTCTTCACCAATTGGTTCGTTATGTCTTAATCACAGTTTTTTCAGTTGAATATACTACATTCAAATCCCTGTTTTGCTGATTTCGAATCGCTATTTGTTTGTTGTTTGATGAGAAAGTTGTAAAGTTCGAAATCTTGGAATATTTTGGAATTTGGTTAGGTCTTTGATTAGACTTGACAATTTAAAATATGACACCGTGATGCAATGTGAATATGATAGAAGGACAGGAAAGAGAACATGAGTTAAAATTTTAGTAATAATTATATATAGATTTAACAAAATCAAATGAAACACGTAATTGTTGTTTAAAATACTATACAAATACACAAATGTTAGCATTTTACACTATATAAATTCACGAATCGTTAGGTCTAGCTTTGATATGCCGCTTTAACTATCAACCGCTATTTGTTCTTTGTAACCCTTTAACACAATGATTTTGCTGTTAGATTGTTGTGCATGCATGGTTTTTTTATTGGGTTAAATTTTTGTTCACTTGCATAATTAGGTTTTCGAGTTTCGGTTGATTTTAATCACTGGTCCAATGCTTTTTGAATTGTAGCTCAAATATTTGAACTTGTTTCTCCTAGATACTCAGGTTTAAAGAAAGGAGATGGGATTCTAAGAGGATGATTGATTCAGGTGGTATGCCATCATCACACTCTGCCACTGTGACAGCTCTTGCAGTTGCTATAGGTCTACAGGATGGGACAGGAGGACCAGCTTTTGCAATTGCAGTTGTCTTGGCATGTGTTGTATGTGCTTCCTAACTTTTCATTTCCTTGTGGTGATATTCTCACATATGACCTGTCTTATTTATTGCCTTGCCTCTTTTGTTTTGTGTTTTTTCTTTTAATCTAATTTTAAAATCTGTAGACCAGATAGGCAGTTTTGTTAGGTTCAACCTGGAGACCCACTTGTTTAACAACAGAGAATGGAAAGCGTGAAGACTAAAACCTAACATTTAGCTTTATGCGTAGAATGTTAGTGATAGGTATTTTAATTTTCATATGCTCTATGTTTGGAAGACCAAAGTTTCCATATTTTAGGAGCCTGAAATATGGGTGAACCTAATCAGGATCATTATCAAAATCTTTGCAATATATTGCCTATGATGCTCATCTTTTTTTTCTGAAACTTTAATTTTTAACTTGAAAGTGGTTTCAATCATAAAAGAATTTAGATACTTATTAATGCCTTGAATTGATTAAGAATTTTTGATTTGAACAAAACAAAAATTTGTCTACCTTGAATCAATATTTTCTAAGCTTAAATTGAACATTTTTCCACCCTTCTATCTTGCCAAAATCCTTTTAGAACGCAAAACAACTCAAATTCTCGGAACAAAACATGATTTATGCTAGTTTTGATAGAAGGGATCGATCCCTTCCCTTAAGGGATCGATCCCCTCTTTACCAGATCGATCCCCCTAGCAAAAGGGATCGATCCTGTCTTCATCCAGAACCGAAAGTTCTCAAGTTTTGGCAAAACCGATCAATCCCCTCCCTGTAAGGATCGATTGGTTGGGGTTTCAAGCTGAACGGATCGATCCTCTCATTCACAGGGATCGATCATTTTTCATACAGAAAGTCTTTATCGTGCAATTTTTCAGAAAACAGATTGATCCCGCCCACATAGAGGATCGATCACCAAAGAAAAGGGATCGATCCCCTCTTAAAAGGATCGATTGGTTGCTCAGACAGAATGTTCCCAAGTTCGAAAACCCAAAAAAGGGATCGATCCCCTCTTAAAAGGGATTGATCGGGTAAGGCATTTTATGGCACAAAATCTAGCCTTCTCCAACATGAACCAATTGATCACCTATGACAAGGGATCGATCCCCTGAAGGCTAAACACTCCCAACGGTTATTTTTTGTTTGAAATTTTTACAGGTTTGAAACATTAAATGCTATCCAAACGGCTCTCAACTTCTTCCTACCTATAAATCAAGCATTCCACTGCAGACCCAAGAAGAACAAGAGCCAAGGAAACTTATTGCCATTCACCTACCAATTTGCTTAAGCATTCAAAGCTGTTCCAAGTTAGAAAAGTGCAGAATTCATATCAGTTTTTCTCTATTTGTTGTCTATACCACTGTGTACTTCAAATTAGCAAACACCCAACCTTTGAGAGCTTCTTAGAGTTTTCAAAACACTTCATATTTCTGTATTTGAGTTTGTAACTTAAGGGGGAGGATAACCCTTAAGATTATATTGTGTTGAGTTTGTAAAGCTTAGAGAAGCTTGGTTGTAATCTTCAACACTTATAGTGGATTGACTCCTTGGCAAGAGAGGCTAAGGAGAGGACGTAGGTGTCTAAGAAAGGACCGAACTCTATAAATCTCGGTGTTATATTCTCTATCCCTATCTCTCATTTACTTTCATTTATTGTGTTTAATTGTTTAGCAAAATTTGTGCTTATTGATTATTGTACTTCAAAAATTTATTAAAAACCAATTCACCCCGCTCTTGGTTTATCCAAATCTTTGAGCTAACACTTATTACTATATGGAGAATGTTGATGATATATCATTATATGCAGGTGATGTATGATGCCTCAGGTGTCAGACTTCATGCTGGTCGTCAAGCTGAAGTAAGTCGCATTCCACTTGACATATAGATGCACAAGTGTATTTGCTTTTTATTAACCTATATTCCGATGCCCTTATACACTGTTCATATTTTTCTTTCCATATTTACAGTTGCTGAATCAAATTGTGTGTGAGTTTCCTCCTGAACATCCATTATCTAGCGTGAGGCCTCTGCGTGAATTACTTGGGCATACTCCCCTCCAGGTCTGCTACTCTCTACACTGCACAAGTGGTTAAAATAACTATTGCTTCTTGGTTACAAGAACTGCTTATTATTTCATTAATTCTTCCAAAAGCATATGTTTCCCATTATAGCACTGTAGTTGACTAATATAAATGTCATTCAGTTTGTAAGTCTGACATTACATGGTATTCCACCCTTAACATTTAGCAAACTCAAACAGCGAAATTATGATTTAACTCCAAAAACAAAAGATAGGAAGAAACAATTTCTTCAAGGCTTCAAAGTCTACTGGTGAAATCTCCAAAGCAAAAAGACTCTTTTATCTTGTCAAATCATGGAATCTTTTTGGACTGCTGTTTACATCTTTTGGCAACCCTGCCTTCTCTATTTTTTTAAGGATATAGTAGTGAAATTCTGGATGTCTTAAGTCACTTATTAATTCCCTGCTGCAAAACAACAGGCTTTCCATAGAGCACAATCATTTTGTTTCCTATTTTCTCTTAAAGAAATGGGTTGTCACTTGTTAAGCCAGGAGAAGCACATTATAGTTTGGGAGATTATTTCACCCTCAAAGTAATATTATACTACTCAGTGAAGGGTTCAATTTTTGCTGTGTAATTGAGTCTTAAAGTAATATTACACTACTTAGTGAAGCTTCAATTTTTGCTGTGTAATTGAGGCTAATAAGTGATAATGTAAGCCTTCTTTTGCATAAATAAGATGGGATTATGGGTGCAAATATATACAATCTACCAAGGGAAAAGAAAAAGGAGGGTAGCATCCATTCTGGAGACAATTTATTTAAGTGTTTTAACAATCTTACCAACAGGCAAAATAATTGATGTATATGATATGGTGCAGGTTGTTGCGGGTGCTTTATTGGGATTCATAGTAGCTTTTCTGATGCGGAATTCTGGTTAGGATGTTACGTAAACAACATTGATTCTTTCTTCTCAGTAATGGGATGGAGTACACATCAGTCTTAACAAAGATTGGAAGAAAGAGCTGGTGTCAAACTTAAGTTTCTATTGTTGAAACCGTGTAAAGTGGAACTGATTTCTGTTAACCGTGGACATCACTTATATACTATATCTTTCACAATTTGGATTGTATAGCTTTGCCAATTCTTAGGATGAGTATAGTAATGAATATCCTCCCAGACTTATTCATTCACTTGTTACACTGATAGGTGTTTGCACCTGATATGTCTCCTATGAAAGCTGCTGCAAGTTTTATTAAAATATTTGCATGGCAAATAACCTTCTTTTTTTTTTTTTTTGTTTTTCCTTTTTGAGGTTTATTGTCCTAATTTTTATTTGTCATTTTATATTTGTTTTTCATTTCCATTTTGGCCAAGAGCCCGAAATGTAAATGTGAACAATTGGGATCTGTACTCAAAATGTTTCCCATCCAGCAGATTCGATGCAAGATTTCAAGTATTCAACATCGTTCCTTTTCCGTCAGCAGCAATTGTGAGATTAGTTATTGTTGGATGTATCTCAAGGCCTCTTTCGAAATGCAACTGATCTTTATAGTTTCAGATTCTCCCAAGAGATCTGTCAAGAAAAATTGCCTTTGAGAAAGTGCCTTTAAACACCAAGTACTTGTGCTATAACTCAGCATGGTTTACCCGGCTGCAATCCCTTCTAACACCTAATAGCATACGACCGGAGGAACCCTGAATTGAAATCTGAAAGTGGCAAATAAACACGTTCGCGTGCTTTACTGCAAGTCTATAACAGGTTTTCTTAACAAACTCCATCTTGATTTCCATCAAAAAACAAACTCTTAAGTCTAAGGAGCTTTACGCTTCATTCTACTCTAATGCAGTTAAACCTATATATAAATGCTCTGCTCCAATCTCAGAGCTGTCACCCCCGAAAATCCCTCACTCTCCCATTCACATTGCAAACTAAGCCATGAAGAGGAAAAGAGCAATGTTATCACCTGCACGCCAACTCTCCAAGTTTGGCTCAAAACTCGTCATCCTTGTCTGTCTTGTGCTCTTTCTTTTGGCTTTCCTCAGACTTCACTTTCACCCCACCCTTCAGTCTCTGATCTCTATTTATCATTCATCTCGTGTTTTAGATGATGATCCCTTTAAAAGTACTCCTAAGATCGCTTTTCTCTTTCTTGCTCGCGCAAACCTGCCTCTGGATTTTGTTTGGGGCACCTTCTTCAAGGTTTTTAGTTTTATCTTTCTTTCAAGTAATAGAAGAAACCCGAAAATGAATATTACATTGTGATGTAGGCTTTGAAGCTTGAAGTGTATAAGATATTTATCGCTTGTCTTCCTTGTGAATGGTGAAATTTGCAGAATGTTGATATGGGAATGTTCTCAATTTATGTTCACTCGGAACCTCGTTTTGTTTTAGACGAATCGAACACACGGTCAGCGTTCTTTTATGGTCGCCAGTTGAATAATAGCATTCCGGTACATTGCTAATACTTGAACAGCCTCTGCTGATTTGAAAGCCTCAGTTTCCGAATACCAGGTGCTAATACTTTGCATATAGTTGCATTACTTTACAAACAAGTATCCTGCTATGAGTCCAAATTGGTTGTATGATGGAGAATACTAGGAATTTAACCTAGAATTTGTATTATTGATAAATACTGTGATCAGGTATGATATGTGAAATAAGTTGATTACTTTAATTTCGACTGCTTTTATCTGTATCCTTCAAATCCAAAGTGCTTGGTTTTCATAATGGTTATGGATATTCATGTTGCAGGTATTATGGGGAACAACAAGTATGATAGAAGCAGAGAGATTACTAATTGAAGCTGCCCTAGATGATCCATCAAATCAGAGATTTGTACTTCTCTCTGATAGGTTAGTAGTGGTGCATATTTTGTAACTCTTATTCCTAATATAGATCAACTTAATTTTGTTTCATGATGAGTTCTTTATTTTACAGCTGCATACCTTTGTACAACTTCAGCTATGTGTACAGTTACTTGATGTCTTCTCCCAATAGCTTTGTCGACAGGTATATATAATGATAGAGTAAATTGCAATGAATTTTCTCAGTGATGTAACAAAATCTTCTAATTGCATATGCAATAGTTAAGCTGAATCTGCAGTAGCCTGTTTTGTATAGCTTTGTTGATGTTAAAGAAAATCGCTACAGTCCTGCAATGTCACCCATCATACTAGAGGAAAAATGAAGGGGTCTCGGGTTCTTCCATTCTATCTCTTTTACCTGTTCATTTTTCATCTCACCATTTAAGGAAGCTATATTTCTCAAGTGGATGCATCTTGAAAAGGATCTCAGAATAAAAGTTCTAAGAAAAGGAACAACTTTCAGGCATTTCTATAATATAAGTTGTTTATTTCAAAATCTTCTGTGATTTAAAACATAAAACTTTGTTTTTACCAGTTGTTTGATTTGTCTATGATGAAAATTTTACTTGTATTTATTTCAGTGGATCGCGTTGATCAGAAAACATGCTGCAATTGTGGTAGATGATGATATTGTCTTTCCTGTTTGCGGGAAATTTTGTAAGGTACTCCATGGATAACGTCATTTTTCAAGCCCCTCAATTTTCATCTGGTTTGAGCACTAGTCTACTGCAGTTGAATGCAGTTATTTAGATTGCTTCTAATGGTGTTACTTGTCTTCAGCGTTGGCCGCCTGCAGACCTAAGAAAGAGAAGGCAGATGCTGCAGGCTTCTGTAGGTTAACCAAGTCCTACCATAAAAAGGCAAAACACTTCTGAATCTAACAATTAATATTTGTATACAATTAAAATTCTTTGTGGTTCAATCAAGTGAATGATTTTGTCAGCAATTATGCGTAGGAGCTAGTTCAGAATATTCAGAATGGCCATAACTGTATACCTGATGAACACTACATCCAGACACTGCTCAAAGTAAGCAACTAAACTGCTATTCTACAGGTTAATGATCTGTATCAAAGCTTGGATTCCCTGCTGTATACTTTTTTCCCATCCTTTTCTTTTACTTGTACAATTAGATTGGTGGGGTTGAAAATGAGCTTGAACGAAGAACATTGACTTATTCATTATGGAATCAATCTTCTGATGGAGGGGAAATGAGCTCATGTTACCCTTTTCAGTTCGCTTACGCTGATGCAAGTCCCCGACTAATCCAAGGAATAAAGGTGTGTACTGAGCAATGAACATTGGCTAGCTTTATACCACTATTCTATGAGTTAACCAAACTCCAATGGACACAGGACGTCAACCATGTTTATTATGAGCATGAAGACCAGAAAGAGCTGTGCCATGTTAATATCACAACAGCTCCTTGTTTTCTATTTTCCAGGAAATTCACTCCTTGGGCAGCCGTGCGCCTGTTGACTGAGTGAGAGCTTCATTCATCTTCAATGATGCTGCTGCTGCTGTTGTTGTATCTGATGCAGCAACTTGATAACGTAATAGCATAGAATTAGGAAAACAGAACATATATTAGTTGTTAAAAGCTTTCAGATTACAGCTGCAAATGATTTACAGGACTTTCACATGTCGTACAAAGTAAAATTTGACACCAAAAATGAAGCAGAATAATATTTGGAAGATGGGAGTCATGGAGGAATTGCTCAAAGAATGGATTCAAATCTCGTGTCACAGCCATTGTTACAATTTCTTTCTGCCAAATGTATGCCATTTTCATTGGTAATACATTTTGAAACTCCTTGTGTTATGCTACGCTCATGAATCATGATTGTCTAGTCTTGCACTCCCAACCACTTTTAAATATCACTGGTACAGAACATAAATATAACATAACTATGGATAAATAGATCTTTTGGGAAAATAGAAACAAAAAAAAAAACCACTTCATTATGGTTTTTATTTATATGTGTTATATATGTTAGGGGATGAGAAAAATTTTGACCATGGCATTACATGGGTCGAGTCAGGTTTCCATTCGTAGAGATGTTTAATCATGCGTCTTCCCATTAAATCAATTTGATTTAAGATTAATTTTTTTTTTTAAACTTTAAGGGTTTATTATGATATTATTCGTTACATAATTTTATGATGTTTCATTTTGTTTTATGATTTTTTGTCATGATTTTTATTATGTCTATTATTTTTTAAAGTATTTGATATGATTAGATTTTGTCAATTATTTTATCTCAATATCCTATTAAATGATCTGATTAATTTATCATATTTACTCATTAAAAGATTTGATATGAAATCGATTTATTAAAACGTACAACATCAACATTTATAAATTTAATGAGTTTTTTTTATCTAATATGTAATTAATATATCTTAACTATATTTTTTTTAATTTTTAGTGTGATATTTACATGTTAAGCATGATTTAAATTCGATCTTAAATCTAAATTTTAAGTCGAAGTCCAATTTATTATTTTATCAATATTTTTATTTAAATATAAATATAAAACATTTTTGTTTTGTTAATTTATTATTTAATTAAAAAAATTATCATTAATCGGATTCATTCAAATCCAAATTGAGTGAATCAAATTTAAAAAAAATATTTTAAAAATAATAATTTAGTGTTATTTGATCCGATACTGTTTACGTACACTTCTAGTTTAAACAATTAAATTCATTGTTTGTCGAGAATAATTGTCGATTGTCAAACCGTAAAAACACAAAAACCAAATGGAAATATGGAACTTTTTTTTTTTGTCAAGAAAATTGGAGGGTCAATGGGAAAGGCACTGAGAGCAAGTAAAATAAACAAACGGTCTTGATTCATAGATCTCTGAATGCGAGCGCAACACAGAGCCACACCGTAAAATTACCTTTCATCAATCAAGATTCAAAGCACAAATTGGAGGGAAAAGAAAAGAAAAAAAAACAATTTTATTATTATTTTTTAATAACAAAGGAAAATCTCTCTCTTTTTCCTCAATTCAAATAGACGTGCTCTGAACTGAACCAGGCTCCATCAACCCCGTTGAAGTAAAGCCTAAGCCCCTAAGCCAATGGCCGAAGCCCTAAGCCCGAACCCTAGGCCGAGGATCCCTATTGCCTGTCGCATCCAATCCCCCACCAGCCCCTTCTTCTTGGGCTCTAACGACGACAAACTCGAGCGTGCCCAGGCTCGAGCCGCACGAGCAGCCGCCATCCGCCGCAAGTCCGTCGCTTACCATGCCCAGCCTCCTACAGATCCCGATCCTTGCCTCGCTAAAGACCAGATTCTCGAGTTGTTCCAAAATTGCATCAAATTGGCCAGTGAAAATGTTTCTAATTCCCCTTTCTCTCTCCCAATTACTTAATTATATGAAGATTGGTTTTTTTTTTATTACAAATTTAACTACGTTTGTGTATTTTTTTTAAATTAAGAAAATTGTAAGTGATAGCATTGGAGTTTTGGTGGTTGAATTTTAGTGTCATTTTCTCTGCATTTAATTTTTTTTTGGGCAGAAAATTAATCAAAAGAACACTTGGGAGCTGAATTTAATAGACCATCTTCCTGATATTATCAAGGTTGACGAAGAAAATGATGCGGAGACGAACTTCCAAAAAGTATGTTTATCATTTTTCTTATGTTTGATTTGGTAGAGTATTGAATAAAAGGATATTGAATCGACCCAGAACTAGAATTCGAACAAAAATTCATACGAAAAAGTTGGGGATCTAATAGGTCATTTCTGAGGGAAAAATGTTGCACTTTTTATTGCTTATTTATTGGGAAAGGCATTTCGTTTTAGTTACTAATTTTATAGCAATTTTAAACTGAAGAAAATTGATGCTTAGGCTGAAACAAGAAGTTACTAGAATGATGTTCTGAATCAGTGCATCTGCATTTTCAAGGGACCATATTTCAGACTATGAGTAACTGCTGTGAAAATGTTGTGCAGCTGAAGCCAATGGTTATAACTGTGAAAGCAAAAACTTTTAGAAATGTTTGGAGAAAAAATGCCAAAAAAATTATGGGTTAGTAATTCATATTGTTATCACCGTTTTCTTCATGTTTAATGAATGGGTTTCATTTTATATTGTACAGGCCAGTTGTACTTTGGAAGCTGGTGTTAAGATTTACTCAATGAGAGTGGATTCGGTTCATTCAGTGGCATACAAGGTTCTTGGTGGGATAAACAGAGCAGGTCAAGAAAATGAGCAAGGTTGGGTTTCTTTTATAGTGGTACCAGCTTATTTCTCTCTATCACAGTTTGTATGTCTGATTTTTCATTTATCAATGAAAGCTCTCTGTGGCATTTGCTTTTCTTCAGATTAGCTTCTTGGTTTTGCAAAACTGGTAAATAAAGGAACAAAGCATACATTTATTTCATGGTTTGTGAGTTTCCCTCTGTTTCTTCAACTTTAGGTCTAATACAATGATACTAAGTTATTTAATTATTCGACAAGATTGAAGTTTGAACCAACCACAAAATTCTAGAACCTCGATTAGTGCATACTTATATTATCAATAAACTTTTTCATGGAAAAATGAGAATAGGTTATGGTCAAAATTTTCTTATCTGTTGACTTGATTAGCTTTATTCTGCCAGATTTCTAGCTAAATGTGATATTATGTTACAATGCCAGATTCTGTGGTGGAGGATGCCAATGTTGATACCGCACAGGAAGGCAATCGAAAGAAAGAGACAGAGAAAAAGGTTTGTGGTCTTTAAACTTAAAGAAATTTCTTATTCTAACTATATATTAATAAATGTCTATATTTGCAGATGTCAGCTTTATCAACATTGGAATCTTCTTTTGAGGCTCTTAATGTAAAGAAATTTGATGGTAATGACACATGCCAACAATCTTGATTTCAGTGTGAGGTACAAGCTTTGATTATGATTCCATCTTTTTGTTTTCAGTTGCATTTGCAGTTGATCCTCTCTATCATCAAACATCTGCACAATTTGATGAAGGTGGAGCCAAGGGTCTGCTGTTGAATAATCTTGGTGTTTATGCTGGATGTCGGGTTCTCTTTGATTCATTCGAAGTGCCAGGGAAGGAAACGCCTTGTTCAAATCAACAAGATATATCTGAAACAATCGATCTATCTTTTGCTGGAGGTTTGTCTTTGGTTTTCCCTGGCGTGTTTTGACATCTTTATCTGAGAAACTTAGGTTTTTGATGGCTGTCGTTCTTTGATCTTTTGACAGAATACCTTGAGCGTATGGTATTGAACATGCGAGCAAAGGATGAGATTTCACCGACTCTCAAGAATATAGTCTATCAATTTGATGAAGATAACAGAAGGCCACAGGAGAACTTTTCCTGCAGCCAGAGATCAACAGACCAAGTTGATACTATATATAATAAAAGTGAGTTTGATGGTGTTGCATTTGAGAGTTTTGAAGCTGATGGTTTTGATCATGATGACCAACCAAGCATTGTTGATGAGGACTTTAATGAGGCAGAGCCAACTTTTACAAGTTATGATGAGGTTTAACACATTCCCTTCTCTTAATTATTGGAAGAGGGTAAGAATAGAATTGTATGCTTATTATTTATAAATTGTAATTGAATTCCACAGGATACCGAGCAATTTTCTTTCAACAATCCTGATGCAGGTGACAAATATGAAAAGGTTGATGAATATTTGCTCATGAGCTTGGGATTTCCTTTGAAACAAAATGCATGGGCTGGTCCTGATCATTGGAAATATCGAAAAGCTAAAGGTACATGTCATGGGGCCATTGGAAGGTGCTATCTTTGATCAACCTTTTTTTCTTTGCTAGTTCATTAACATGATTTTTAGTTTGAATATCATAGGTTCTGAGGATGTCTCTAATGAAGAAATTACAGAAGTGTTAACAACAAAGAAAGGCAAAAATAAGAAACAAGCTGAGCCTGATATTGATTTCACAAAAGCCTTGGATAACGAAATGCCAGACATCTTTGCGCCTCCCAAAAATCCCAAGTCTTTACTTCTACCTTCAAACAGAGCATCTTGTAATACAAAGCTTCCTGAAGATTGTCACTATCAACCTGAGGATCTTGTCAAATTGTTTCTTTTACCCAATGTGATGGTAATGTGTGCCACCAGTTTGCTACTAAAATGTGACTTTTGTTGAAATGTTTTTCTCCCACTTGGCTTTCTTGACATAAGATACATGTTCTTTTGCAGTGCCTTGGTAGAAGAAGGAGAAGAAAGTTGTCAGGTATTCTTTGTTCTCTCATAGATACTTCTCAAATCTTGGTATTTTTCTTGAATGTCTGCGAACTGCCTATCATTCGAGTCTACCTATTCCATGTTGGTAGGACTTGCTATGTAGTTTATGTCATATTATGCTAGTTGTTTTTTGAATATAATTCTCATATCTCGAGGGATCCACTTCTTCCTTTTGTTTTCAATTGTTAGCTATGGGGAGAAGAGGTAGGCAGCTCCCATCTTCCTTGTTTGGAAGATTTTCAAGGTTTCAAGGGACAGATCTATCCTAGAGAAGGTGTTTATATTTCCTGTTGTGCGCCTAACTTTTCCAACTAAAACTAAAAGTTTGCTCTAATAAAATGAAAGTGTATACTGATACAGTTTCAAGTTATCTTGTACTTTGCTTTCCATCTAGCCAAATGAAAAGGAGAAGCACTGCTTCATTTCATCTCGCGCTGAATCCTGGTTAATCAGGTTAGATGGGGTCAGGAACCTAGATAAATGAAACCTTTATCACCCTTATCTCTCTTCCTATTAACTTTGAACATAGAAGTATCTATGGAACCTTTTCTTATTAGCCTGGAATAATCTTACATGATTGACAAGAATCCTTTTTTTTTGGAGTTAAATCAGTATGTATGAGGACTTATTTTCATGCATATTGTTTTGTTAATTTTTGTCTGACAATCATTTCTCCAAATAAGTTATAGCTAAAAACTGGTTTTTACTTGTTATTTAGCTTTGGGATATAACATAAATGTTTACTTCTTTTAAATATTTTAAAATATTTAATTTGATTATGATTTTTTTTTAAAACCTTTTCTTCTTGGCTCACAAATACATACACAGAACTTTTTCCTTGCTTCTTTTTAAATTTTCATCTTAATAGTTGCTTTCTGTTTTGTTTTTCATAGATTAGATCTTGTTTTCAATGTTTGTATTGATGATAAAATGCAGGCCGTTTACTGATATACTATGGTATAGTTTTTATCTTCACATCTTACGTGATTTTCAGACAAGTCAAGTGAGCAGTGTGATAACTATGATCCACAGCCATCCTGGGAAGAGCAAAGTGTATTTAGTGGTTTTGACAATGAAATTGATCATAGTGATGTTGATGACTCTGGTATGCTTGTTTCTCAGCCTCATCAGGTTAGTCTTATAGACTTTATTTCTGGTATTTCTCCATGTGAGCCCTTGATGGTGCCCACTTGAGAGAAACAAGGAGTTATAGGGACTATATTTTGGATTTTTAGTAAATTACAACCACTACTGCTTTGAGGGTTTAGATAATAGGCCCTGTGATGGGTTATTTTTAATTTAAGATTTATCTCATGTCTTAAATATGTAGTTAAATGCTACTTCTTTTCTGGTTCTCATTTTTCTTATCCTATTTTCAGGTTAGTAAAATTGAAGTACATTATGATAAGACGTCTAAACAAGTTGATGTCCAAAATTTGAAAGAAACTCTTTGGGGCCATTTACAACAATCTCCAGGAACATCATTACAGGTATACCAATTTGATATTGCTTTTTGTAACATTCGTTTCGTTTTCAGAGGCAATTAATTGATGATCATGGACCCTTTGATTAACTGCATGGTATATGAAGATTTTGATAAATAACTCACTTGTTCTAGTTCTATTTCCTACCTATAATCAAAAGGGAGCTTATTTCCAAAACTTCATCAATAAGAACTTTGTTATTATTCATAAAAGTTGAAAGTTTCTTTTGGGGTGTTAATCCATATGATTAAGAATTGAGTTATTCTTTTTTATTTTAGATGTCATGTTGGTATATTGACTATTTATTATTGGCAAAAGAATCAAGGAAGCAAAATTTTAATTGCTTCATCCCAAATTGAATTTTGTAGTTTGGACTGTAGTTATAAGAAAAACCTTTGATTTGGGCTTTACTAATAGTTTAATGCTTAAACTAATAGTTTTTCTGCTAAAGAGTTTTGAAATGTAAAAACAATTCAGAATATAGAGAAGCAGGATTTTGGGTTGTCTGAAAAGGGAAGGACATTATCTTGAAATGTCCCAAAGCAGGAATCGAGACATTCAATTTGCAACATATGTATTTTGTGTTAGGCTGTGTTCATTTTATTGTTAATGAAGTTGTGAATTCTAACTTTGAACATGTTTGATTTTGCAAGGGCCCTGAAGAAATGGTATCTTTTAAGCATCTCTTGGCTAGCTTTCCTGTTGATTGCAAAGCTGCTGCAACAATTGATGATATCTCTCCTCATCTGTGTTTCATATGCCTGCTACATTTGGCCAATGAGCATGGACTGAGCATCCTAGGTTGTCCCAACATGGATGATCTTGGTATAAAACTTCCGCCACAGCGACAAGCGCCCAGGTGAAGTGATTTAGATCATCTCTCAACTCATACTGCTTGTAAAAATGTTTGTTAACCTGGTAGCTCGGCAACAATTGATGAGCTACTGGTAATGTTGTAAGCCTGATCTTGTTCATACTTCTAACTAGGTTACTTAAAGACCGCAGCTCAAAACTTAAGAAATTGATGCTCTGTATCTCACAAAGCCCACATTCATTCTAAACTAAGTCGATTTTTATTGACAGCATATTGTTTCTGACCAGCTGCTGCACATTTTACAGTACAGAATTGGATTATTTTTGCTCCTTATCTATAAGAAAATATGCCCCCCAGATATGTGCCACAACTTGGGATTGTCATCACTGCTGATTCTGAGATTTATAATTGATAGGTGGCTCATATCTGAGATATATGGATTACTGGATCCCACATCAGCAGCTTGCTTGTTTCTATTCTAAGTTTTATAGGACAATTAATAGGATCCAACTTCACACCAATAATTAAAGGATAGAACTCGCTTGCTTGTTTGAAACATGTAAGGATCTATTTAGGTCTCAGAGATTAGTTCAAATAGATGTCATTAATAAGTTTAAATTTTAAATTTAAATTTTAGGCGGAGATCCCTTTTGTGAAAAAAATTCAATTCAATATCTAAACATTTAAGTTTTGTTATGAAAAGAACAACGTTCGACACTGTTTTTTGGGAAAGAAAGAAGGGAAGAGCCAAAGAAAACGTGAAAAATGCTGATGGTGTTTGTCATGTCTTGTGTAAGGTAAGATGTCTTGTTTTAGACAGATATTTGATGGAGGGAGTGGTGCAGAATGGAGATTGAGAAGGGAACACTGCAAAACACATGTGATGGGATAGATTTATAGACGGGGACCGCTTCAATGGCTGCATTTATGACTTTTTAAAGGAAATAACTATGAACACAAATTTTCCGGACAATGATTCATCACATGTGCTCTCCATTATTTCGGTGCTTTCCTTTTATAAATTAAAACATTTTAAAATGGTCAATTTTGATTAAAAATTGATTTAACTCTTACTTTATGATTAAATTTTTAAAAATTAAATTTAATAATAAAATATGTCTACAAATGCGATAAAAAATTTTTAATCGAATTTTCAAATCCGATATTATTTATAAAACACTTTTTTTTTTTTTAATCTTTCTAACCACATATTTGTATGCACATCTATAACTTTTACGGCAACCATCTTTTTAATAGCTCTTGTTTCCTTTTTTGTTAAGGGTTTGGACTTTTAAAATTAAAGGCAATAGTTTGGATTAGATTTAGTTTATTTTTTTTAATATTATATAATATTATAAAATTTTAAAATTTAATTTGAATTCGAATTAAATTTTTATATTAAATTTTATTGATTTGATTGGATTCGATTTATTAGTTTTTAATTTTAAAATTTTATATATTATTTTAATATAAAATTTTAATATATTTAAATAAATTTTGATATAAAATTATTATTTTTATTTTATAAAAATTTAAAATATATATAATTCGATTCTTTTTTTTAAGTTTTTTATTTTTCGATTTGAATATAATATATACATTTAATATTCAAACTTGATTTGAATTAAATTAAAAAAAATTAACCATAACATTATAATTTCAAATTAATTTTTGAATTTTTCATTTTTTTTTTCATCCTTATTAAGTGCCAACTTTCAAACCTTGGCTCCTTATAATCTAGAGGTTATCCCAAGTGTGAATTGTCATCGTAGGTAATGGGAAAGAGAGTTTTCTGTATGTATATAAGATTTTGAGATTGTTAAGTTTTAACAAAGAAAAATGTGGATGTAGAGAAATAAAAAAAATACATGTAAGAGGTTGATTAACAAGAGCTTGATTCAATTAGTAAAAATTATTTGTTTTGATATAAAAGTTTTAAGTTTGAGTTTAATTGATTATTTTTTATTGGAATAATTTAAATAAATAATTTTTAATTATTATTTAAATTATCAGATGTTATATATTTTATTTTAATTTAAAAAATTAAATAACTTATTTATTCGTAAAATTATAAAAAAAAAATTGCATGAACGGTTCTTCAATTGCATTATATAAACAAAATTTTTATTTATTTTTTCCTAATAATTATCTTTGCACTAAGTTGTTTGCAATAATGGCTGTGGTGGGACAAGTTTGGAACACGAGCGGGCGATGCTTTTGTTTTGTTTGGCTTTTTTTTTATGTCAGGTCTTGATTTTTTGCTAGGCTGAGAATTGTTGATAGCTGCAAATTGCTATTTGATTTTAAGGGAAAACAAAACAATTTTATTATATATTATATGTACTAATTAAAAAATTAAGAATTAATTATTTTTAATAGGGTTTTTGTGGGATAGACACTCCATAGGAGTATTGGGGCTCTACGTCTTATAGGTGTGTGCACAAGGGTTTGGGTTTGTGTTTGTTTGGATTGAGAATACTTCATAGGACTAGAGGAGATTGAGAGTGTCTTATGAATATTGATTGTTGAGTGAGGTTGATGATTTGATGTAAGTTTGTAATTCTCTACAACTAGTGGATCTTGTTTCTCATCCGTGGATGTAGGTTGATTGGACCGAACCACGTTAAATTGTTGTCTCTTGTGTGTTTGATTTATTGTTTGATTTCGCTTTCGCTGTAATATAATTATATGACATGTCTTGAAAGAAAAGAAGTTTTACTAAAAATAATGTTTCATGTAAAATTTTCTACTAATGAAAACAAAAGAATTGGCCAAAAAAAATGAAAATAAAAGAAGAATCTAAAGCATAAGGACTGAAAACAAAAACACTGTCCAAAAGAGTTTCACACAGTTACTATAAAAAAAATCAATATATACAGTTAAAACATGAATTGGCCTGCATCATTGGAAAAAAATCCAAACAGAACCTTCATACTTCTTTTTCCATCTTTTCCCTGGTAATGAATCCCTCATGAGCATGCTATCAGAAACCCAAACTTGTTTGGTAATTGCACATCTGACCCCTCTTCCCTTTTAAAAGAAACAAAGACAAATTTCGAACTCTAGTTAGAGCTCCATGGCCATGGCTACCATGATGATTAGCAGAATGATGAGCTTATCCCCATCATCATCATCACCTGCTTCTTCTTCTTCTACACCGTTGGCAAGTCAGTCACTCTCAGCACCATCATCAAGAAGTTCACCAACCAACCTCCCGCTTCGTACAATCCCAGGAACACATGGTTGGCCTTTGGTAGGACCAATATCCGACCGTCTAGACTACTTCTGGTTCCAAGGACAGGACACCTTCTTCAGATCAAGAATGGAGAAGCACAAGAGCACCGTTTTCCGTACCAATGTTCCTCCAAGTTTCCCATTCTTTCTGCGAGTGAACCCCAACGTCATAGCTATTGTTGACTGCAAGTCCTTTGCTCATCTTTTCGACATGGAAATTGTGGAGAAAAAGGATGTTTTGGTAGGGGATTTCATGCCCAGTGTCAACTTCACTGGAAATTCCAGGGTTTGTGCTTATCTTGACACCTCTGAGCCAAAACATGCCCAGGTATGCTTTTTTTTCTTTTTTTCCCTTCTCTCTTACTTTGTTTCCCTTGCAATCTGTTTCAAAACTAGATAGCTTTCTGGATTCAGGGTCGTTTTCTGGTTGTTAGATTGCTATGAGGTAAGAATAAGATTATGTTCTATCGACCTTGAAAGATTTTATGACGCTGTAATGTGGAAACGGGAAAGTAACAATCGGTGGAGAAGTGAGATCATGTTCTATTGCAGATGAGATCAGATAAGGCTTTGACTCTGTTAAAAATCATTAAAGAAAAGGGGAGTTCGAATGGTTCTTCAGAACTTTGAATTCAACAAACAAAAATCAAATAAACTTTCCCCCACCAATATTGTAAACAATCCTTGGATGAATCAACATAAAGCTAAAGCTGTTTTGAGGATCCTGGGCCACTACAGGATCAGTGCCAGTGTCAAGGGACCACATATTTATGGGTGATCCTTTCTTTTTTTGCCATGAAACACTAAATCAAGATAGATTCTTTGTGTTCTGTTTGTATGTAATTTTTGTAAAATCTTTCATTTTATTTTATTTTCCCTAAGGAATTTGTCTATGTTACTTAGATTGCATATTTGCCATTTGATATCTTTAACAGCTGAAGAACTTTGCTATGGACATCCTCAAGCGGGGCTCCAAGGTGTGGGTGACAGAACTTATAGGCAACCTGGACAAATTCTTCGACACCATTGAATCCGATATCTCCAAAAACGGCAGCTCAACTTACCTCTCACATCTCCAAAAGTTCATCTTCAATTTCCTCTGCAAGTCCCTCGTTGGAGCCGACCCTGCCGTCGACGCTGATATTGCCAATTCCGCTACTTTCACCCTCGACATATGGCTCGCCCTCCAACTCCTCCCCACCACCCCTATCCGAGTTATTCAGCCCCTGGAAGAGATATTTCTTCACTCTTACACTTACCCTTTTGCACTCGTAAGTGGAGGCTACCAAAAACTCTATAACTTCGTTGAACAGCACGGTAAAGATGTTGTGCAGCGCGGTGAAAAGGAGTTCGGCCTTTCGAAGTCCGATTCCATCCACAATTTGCTGTTTGTTCTTGGGTTCAATGCCTATGGTGGCTTCTCCATTTTTTTACCTACATTACTCGCCAAAATAGCTAGTGACAAAACTGGGTTACAAGCCAGGTTAAGAGAAGAAGTGAGAAAAACATCTGGGTCGACAGCAACAAGATTGAGTTTTGACTCGTTGAAAGACATGGAGCTGGTGAACTCAGTTGTTTACGAAACGTTGCGGTTGAACCCGCCTGTTGCACTTCAATATGCAAGAGCTAGGAAGGATTTTCAACTCACTTCTCATGACTCGATTTTTAACATAGAAAAAGGTGAGTTGTTGTGCGGGTATCAGCCTCTGGCTATGAGAGATGGTAAAATTTTTGATGATCCGGAGACTTTTAAACCTGACCGGTTCGTGGGGAATGGGAAAGACTTGCTGAGTTACTTGTTCTGGTCGAATGGGCCACAGACCGGGTCGCCGAGCGAGTCAAATAAGCAATGTGCAGCAAAGGACTATGTGACTCAGTCAGCTTCATTAATTCTAGCTCGCATGTTTCAAAGGTATGATTCAATTAGTGGGGACTCTAGTAAAATCACAGCCATTGAAAAGGCAAAGTGATGATAGATTAGATAAGAGTATGCATAGTGGCATTTTGTTGTGGACCAATGTTCATGATTACATGGCGCTTAGCGGTAAGATGCAATAAGTTACTGCAGAATCAACGTGTAGAACACGGAGCAGTATGAAAAAACAAATACATTTTCTAGTAATTTTCTATGAGGCAATTGTGGATCAATTAGGCAGACTGAACATTACCCTGTAACTGCATATGAGATTTGGCAGCCCCTTCTCTCCATCCTTTTTGACGAGCTCTTAATTCCCACATTGCTGTCAATTTCTTCTGAGCTGCCATTGCTGCTTCAGCTTTCTCCCTTGCTTCTTCACATGTTTCCATACCTGAATTGCACTTGTCTGCTTCCTTTTGATACTGTGATGCTATCTTCTTAGCCTCAAGTAGTGCCATGTTAGCGCGTTGCTTACTTTCCAAAGCTTCAGCTTCTCTAACCTTCAATTCTTCTGTCAAAAGTTCTGCAGAGTTCTTTTCAGTATCCTCACTCACCTCTGGATCATGCTTTGCACAATCTGCAGAATATTTAAATTCAACCTTCAACACACAACATATCACCCTGGAATAAAATCAGTTGATCCGCAATTTGTACAAATCTTTAGAGGAAGGCAGTGGTTTTGTCAACACAATACAAGAAGGTTACTACATTTAGTATTACATCCATATTCAAATTACCTTAGATCACATATTACCACAATATCAATTATCAAGTAATTTCAATTGAAACAAGTTACAAGAATGTAATTAATGTTGAGTTCTTCATGTGACTAGAGAGCAATAACTGAATAAAACAGAAGGATAAGATGAATTATTGAAAATTACTGATCTCACTTCATGATATATAAGGCATAACATCCGTGAAAGGACAGTTGACAGCTAAAAGAAACTGATATGAGCAAAAATGGTCATATAGTAACCAAGAAATCCTGAATCTGTCTGCTGTCAAGCTAAAGTTAGAGGTGATCCAAAAGGCATAACATTCAAAGAAATAAATGAAGAAGCCGGTGATAACCATTCTCTAATTTTCCTAACGAACTCTCCCACTTTTTCTTGTAGTCATAGGGTATTGAGTTGACAGCCAAGATACATGCTTACCAAAAGACAAGGAAAAGTAAAGCTTAACCTGATCCTCTCTCTCACTCTCTCACTGATACATGCTAGTTAGACAAGCAGATATAGGAAGAAAAACTAACTTAGGACATCTCTAAACATCACAAGCTTTACGCTCACGGATAACCAAAAATCACCAATTTTTTCTTTGAACTAAGTCACTTAGTTCCATATTCCAATAAACAAATCCATGATAAAGAAACCGGAAACTGACCTGCAAAGGAAGCATTGCTCAATCCTGCATAAATTTAAGACAGAATCACAAAATTAGCATAGCCAAATTAGGACAGCATGCCACACATGTGAGGACGCATAAAACAGGCATAAGTCTCAACTTTCAACAATTAGCTGCATCATTACCAAGCAGTACTTACATAGCCAGGTTATGGAATATAAATGTGTTAAGTAAAAGATTATGCCTTTGGAGCAAATTCCACACAGAATTTCACAAAAATTCTACCTGGATTGGAAAGGAATATTGGGTTAACATAAAATTGCCAAACTCATGAAAGAAAAGAGAAGAGATCTAGCCCAGATCTGGAAATACCTTCAGGGATTGTGAGAAGAGGCTGGGAAGAGCAATCACAGAGGCAAGGTGGGCAAGTGTTGGAGGAGTGGCTGACGGCTGCTAAGCCTTCCATGAAATGCCAGTACAGCGGTGGACCCACTAGGTAGCCGAACAAACACAGGCCCAATAGACCCAACCCCACCTTCAACGCCGCCGTCTGGTTCACTGCCATCTCTTTTTCTTCACTTTTCAAGCTACCCAAATCAATTTTTATAGATTCAGAGAGCAATATGATGCAGTATTCGGCAAATGTTAAACCTAGCTCTACTTCTTCATGCTCGACAGTCAACACCGATTTATTTGCCTTGTTTATGGTTTTTGATTCCACGGTTTTTGACAGTCATAATTTTGCGGGTGGGTTGTCACTCATTGATCGAAGTTGTAATGAAGAGAATGTGAACGGGAACAAAGTCACAAACTGTTCTGGCAACAACACGTAGGTGTTAGGACTTATGACCATGGCTGCATGCATGGGGCCATGGGCCAAGGCTTCTTCAAGTCCATGCATTTTAGACACCTCTCAGATCACTCACTCAAGCCCATAAGCTCGACTCGATGAGTTGGGTTTCAGCACAAGTTTTCAACCAATTTGATCTCAAAAAAACAGAAATTGAATCCTGGTCGGAACTCTGGAAGTAAAAGCCAACACTCAATCAAAATCCTGCCTTTCAAATGAAAAGCAATGAGATGAAGAGATGACAGAAACTGGGAAAAGGGTAAAGCAAAAGAATGGCTGTTGAAATCCCGAAGGATGTAATAACCCAACTACAGATCTCACTTCGCAAGCAAGCCAACGTCCCTTCCTACGATCCAAAGGAGTCGTCGCTTCCAACTCTTCCTTCCCTCCGTCACTCAATCTCTGACTCTCCCCATCTCCTCTGCCTTCATTGCAATGCCCATCTCCTCCGAGGCCCCGACTCCCTCCTTTGCATCTTCTGCGGCAAACACCAGACCAATATCGACGTGCCACTTCAGCCTATCAAATTCAAGTCCACTTCCGGTTACAGCTGGTTCCTCCACTCCCTTAACTTAGATGGATCTGTAAGCTCGTCTTTTTTATATTATTTTCCTGTTTCAAGTTTTATTTTATCCTATAAAAATGAGGGCATTGAAATTTCTTGATAAAATAAAACTTGGGTATTGTAGGAAATTGTGGGAGAGTCTTTAGAAGGGAATGAATCGAACAGAGGGCCTCGAGAGGTGTTTCTGTTATCTGATCTTTTGGATTTGGAAATAAGATGGAAAGATGCCGAGCCTGATGAAGTTGAATCTGGTTTGAGAAGGAATAATCCATTGAATTTGATTGGACTTGATCTTGATGATTATTTTTTAACTGAAAGAAAAGGAGTTTCTGTTTCGTTACCATCCCCAGGGGCATTGACAGTAAAGAAAGAGATTGATTCTACTGGAAGTAATACGTTTGAATCGCGTGAAAACCTTAGTATGTTTGAGAATTATCAGGATTCTAAGAATAGTGGCTCTGTTTCTGCTGATTCTAAAACTGATCACAATGCTACTAGCTCCCAGTTATTTGATTCTTCTGTAGGTTCCTCTAAGGATCTTTCTTCCCACATGGACATTGTCTTTGGACAGGGTAAAATTTTATTTGATGAAAAAGAAAAAGGCAATCAAACTTCTTGGGAATCGAAAACGAACAGCTGGTTTCAAGATGACATGCAGAGTGATTCCACTTCAGAGGTGAGAATAGACAAAGCAAACATTTCTTCTTCTTTGAATCTTGACTGGATTCAAGATGATAACGCACAAATCAGTGCCAGCAATGCCCCTGGTAAAAAAACCACTGATGATGATGATTCAAAGTTAACTCGGCAAGGTGAAAACTTTGATGCAACTGTTGACGTTATGGATTCTGGAACAGCTCAGAGGGTTTCTTAATTCCCCCTCCATGAACGTTGATTGGTTTCCAGATGATCAATGGTTAACAGGCAACAACAAGGCACCTGATAGAAAAACTGTTGATGAATCAGACAATTCATTTGGAGATTGGAAATTTTAAAAGCTCAACTGCTAGGCTAGATGCTTCTAGTCATTCTTGGAAACAAGCTGCTACTCCTGCTAATCAGACCATAGATGATAATGATGACTTGTCTGCTTCCAGGAATGATTTTACTAGCTCAACTAATGCAAAAGATCCTTCAATTATTTCTCCCAAACAAACTGTCCATCACGAGAAGCCTTCTATTGAAACTTCTGAAACACACTTGTTCGGTGTGGGTTACAATTCACGTAATAATAATTTTGGTAGTTACACTTATATCAACCTGATTTCTTTCCAGGGGCATTCAGCCATCAACATGGCTCTACTGAAATAAATATTATGCGCCCCGAAGCTCCTGTTTCCGACAGTTGTGTGTGCTTATTCGGACAATTTCCTTCTAACAGAACTGAATTTTTAAAGTATCAGACAGGTCTGTTTAAACTCATCTATTCGTAAGTTGGTTGAACTTGGTTGCCTACAAGTTGCACGAAAAGATGGCTTGATTTTTATATTTTATCAAGACTTTTTTTTAATTATTTTTTGAAGTATGCTAAGTCATAGCTTAATTGGTAGCTATGCGCCCATCCAAAAAGAGATACTTGTTGATGAGCAGAACTGGATGAAAAGGATTAGTTAGATTTAGACTAAACTTTATTATTTGTGACTTCCTCTGTGGGGAATTTAAGCGGCCATATCATCTATGCTTTGTGCCGAAATGCATTTTTACTTTTGTCAGAAGACTTTCAAATTTGTAGAGTGACTCTTCTGTGTTGTGTCAGATCTCTGCTGAGTACTTCCATTGTTATCTGACTCAGGGAATTTATTTTCAGTTTTTTTTTTTTTTTTCCAGTTCTTGATATTGAGAATCCATTGAGCTTCTTCTGTGAAAAACCTGTTTTCGATCTCTGAACAAATTGTCATAAATGCTTCTGGCCCTACTGCTTGCATGAGGCCATGGAAACTACTTGTTCTTGTTTTCTTCCTGGTGAAGATCATGTTAAACCAAGCCCATCTCACTGCTTCCCCCAAAAATCATGGGCTTGCATGAGCATGCACATGAGAGAGAGAGAGAGAGAGAGAGAGAGAGAGAGAGAAACAGACAGAACCTGAGGAGAAATTTCCTATATTTGCTTTCACATGTTTCAAATGTAAGAGACGATGGTAATAAAAATGCTGAAGTTGCAAAAGATGGAGATTTTTCCACTGCATTAACAGCCTCAAAAACTAAGATTGGCAATCCAATCCGTATCTGTCGAGTATTTACCCAACCCTATAAGATTTTTTTATAAAAGAAAAATTAAGTTTTGGGTCGAATATTTTCTTTAAAAAAAGTTAGGATTGGGTTTCGTTCAAGCCCAATTCGACTTAATATATATATATTATTATTTATTTATTTTTATATTTATATTTTTTAAAAATATTTTATATTTATTTAATTTTATATTTATATTTAAAAATTAATATTTTATTAATTTCAAATGAAATTAAATTGATTGTAGATTTAAACATATATGATTTCAATTGAATTCATATATTAAAAAATAATATTTTAATATCATATCAAATCAAATTCAAATATTAAATTCATAAAATCAGATTAAGTTTGAAATGAAAAAAATTTATCTTACTCTGATCCAACCTATTATCATCCATATCAATTATCAAAAACTGATAATACGAAGGTGTTGATGTCACAAGTGCATGATGTATCTTTTATGCTGGAAGTCAAATCTTTCAATACCTCCAAAATTAAATAGATGCAATTAACTTTCTAAAATATTGGGAGCCATTTTTCCCCCACTCAAGTTTCTACTGTTCTATCGGTTCTTGTCTGCTTTGTATTCTAGCTTTGATTGGTCCATGGATTTGTATTCTTTCCTGTAGTTCACAAACCAAGAAATTTTATGAGCCATTGTGATTTTGATTTGGATAAGAAGTCTTACTTTTTCAATCGTGTTGGAATTGGACTGAAGTGTGAACTTGAGAATATTTCCATTATCCTGTGTCGTTTTATCCAGAGAATTTGGACACTTTTTGAGCTCATACGCACTATTTTTTTTTCCTTTGCTTTTAGGCATCGTTGAAATCATTCTGACAATGAATTCGAGTTTTTTTTTTTTATAAACAAATTAGTAAATAATAAATTTATAATTTAAATCTTCATTATTTATAATTTTTTTTATTTTTATGTTAGGATCGTTTTAATACCAAAAAATTAATAAAATAAAATTTTATAATCTTTATTTTTTACAATAAAAAATCGACTATTTGTTTTTTAAAAAAATTTCAAGAATTTATTTTAATATTATCTCCATAAAAATAGAAAATTATTACAATAAAAAAAAAGATTAAGTGGAGGGTTTGGATTTCATTGCATTTTTAGTGTCGTGCAGTTAAATTTATTGTATTATCAATTAAATTTAAATATTAATTTTAGTGAGATTTATTCAGCATAAATTTTTTTATAATTTTTTTTAATCATTATTATAATAACTTTTATTATTATTTTTATTTTCATCAAAATTAATTTCATCATTTATCTAAATGAATCTTAAGATGTGATTATCATGTGATAACAAATATATTCACCACAACTATAATTGAAACTAAAAATGTGATTTTCCAATATATATTCATGGTCAAACAAAAGATCGGCCATGAAAGGGTGCATCGAGGCCGCAACATGTTTTTCTCGATTGTCATGTTGATAAAGAAAAGAGAGCAAAAATTAATGATGTTTTGAAATCCACATTTGGAAATCTAAGATGGCATCGACGTGTAATGTTTGGTAACTCTTTTGGACAACTCGTTTGAAAAACCATCGTTCTGAATCATGCGCAGCTCAAATATACGTTGCAGCCGAATGTTTTTGCGTCTTTGTTCCAAACTTTCTGCTTTTAAAACAGCTGTTGAAAGTGGGCAGAAACTTTAGAACATGCAGGCTCCAGCAACTTGGTCAAATTGGAGAAATTTGGGGATTGGACTGTTTAACTAATTCCTTGGACCGCATGCCAACTTTACTTGTAGTTTGGTCCAACTTCTCCTTCGGATTCAAATCAAAATCAAATGCACGATTTATCTTTTTCTATGTTTTTGACGTTTTCACCGTAAGTGGGTGGCTCAAGGATTGTTCACTTTGATGTTACTCTTTTTTCTTCAAATTCAGTCGATTTTTCGTTGAAATTATTTTAAATATATAACCTTCGATCATTAATTTAAATTATCAAATATAATATATCTTATCTTAATTTAATAAATTAAATAATTTATTTATCTTTAAATTTTTCGTATATAAATTTAATTTAACATTAATTAATATCTGTTTCTTTGTCATTTACATAGTTATCGTTGCGTGATATTCTTTAACATTGGTTAAATCTTTGTTTTTTCGTGATTTTACATTCAAACATTATTTTTTTATTTATTATTAATTAATTTTAGATTAAATATTAATGTATTATCAATAAATTTGTTAAATTTTTATTATTCTTCATGAGTTTATCACGTAATAATTTTTTTTATTTGGATTTTTAGTATTGAATCTATATCTCAAAATCAAAGAGTGTTGGATGATGTTATTCTAAATTAATTAAATCTCGAGTTTCACATCAAGTATTTTTATTTATTATAAATTGATTTTAAATTTGATATTTAATAATTATATTACTTTTATAAATATATTTTTAAATAAAAAATTGACATTCATGGATAGGATATGGCAAAAATGATTTAACTTGTAGATACGTGTACGAAGCTTTGTTATTTTTATTATCTTTATATATTAATTTATATATTTATAGCCAATTTATAATTTTACTTCAATTTAGCAAAATGAGAGAAGTGTTAGTTGCAAATTGATAACGTGGCAAATTAAACTCTTAATTGAACGATTTTAAGAAACAAGTAAATGACTAAATCATATGAAATTTTAATTTAAAGAGTCCGAGTTTATATTTTTTATTTAATGTAAATTTTTAATTTTTTATTCAAATGAAGATATAGATAAATAGTAAAAATTTAAAGATAGAGAAAATGATGATTTTACAAAAATAAATATAACATAAAAATTTAAAAATAAAATTAAAAAATATTTTATTCATTTCATATCTTATTTATTGATATCTTTTCTAACAAACCAATAACATTTTAGAATATTAGACGTAGTTGGTCATGACAAAGTCAATTGGTCACATGTTTTTATAAGAAAAAGGTTGGTTGTTGAATCATTGAATGTGAACTCATATTTAACATGGGGGTTCATCAATGAATTTGCTGCATGGACAAAATGATTTCACACTTGACTTCTCCAACTGTGATCCTTCTTCTGCGGATCAAATGTGATGACCTATAAAGTTAGGCAAGCTTGTGGTAACATGTTTTGGACCAACACGTAACTCCAGTTGATTTAATAAATTAAGGTTTTATTTGGGAACGTTCATATCACATTAAATAATACGCGTTATAATTAAATCCTTAATAGAGCCTAAGTTGTCGAGGAGGTTGCGTTCTTCGCTTCTTATTTTTCATTGATGGTAGTATGCTTTGAATAATGAAAAGTGAAAACCTATGTTGAAAAAAAATTATAATTATCATTTATATCTTGAATTGATTGCGGCATTTCATTTGAACTAAAAAATATAGGGTTAGTAATCTAATTCAAATTCGTTGGATTTTGAACAAATTTGATTTTATAGAATTAATTTTATTTTTTAAAATAAAATTTTAAATTTTTTATAATAAATCGAGATCATATTTTAAATAAATTTATCCATCTTGATATAATATATATAAATTTTATATATTAATTAATTAAATTTTGATATACGACAAATGAAATTTATGAAAGATAAACATTTGATGAAATAGTTTAGAATATTTATGAACAATTTTCCTATGAGTAAGATTTAAGTTTCAATTTTCTATTAATTTGTTCAATCAATATGAATTATCGGTATATAAAAAATTAATATGGAATAGACGTGAATATGATTAAAGTGTCACAGTTGCGTGAGAATCCATGCATGTGTAGTTTAAGTATGCGACTATTGGTGGACGCAGGCATGTGGTTGGGAAAGACACAACCATCAATTTTGAAAGACAAGACATTTAATAGAAAAATGAGGAACAAGCTTGCATTTAGCTTGACAATGAAGGATGGGGACGGAAACAGCGGGGCTCGGCCAAGTGGGGTGGCTCGGCCCCACTCCAAAGTGGGGTGGCCAGGCCATTAATTGATGAGTTGGTCCTATAAATTATTTAATTTTATTAAATAAGTTAAATTTTAATATTTTAATATTATATTTAAATAATTCATGAATTTAATTAATATTTTAAATTTTAATTATATATATCAAATTGAATTTGAGTTCAAATTTAAATTTTTAATCAAACTTAAAATCAAATACAATAATTAAATTTATTTTTTATTAAATAAATTTAATTAAATAAGTTCGAATTATTTTATTTTTATTTCAAATTAAATATAAATTTAAATATTAAAATTTGATTAAACTTAAATTAAATTTTAAATCAAAATCAAATTTAAAGTTTTCATTATATTAATTTAATTTAACTCAATTAAACTCCTAATGAAAAACTTCAAAGTCCCTTAAATTGATCAAAATGATTTATTATTATTATTATTACTATTATTATTATTATTATTAATGACTCTTTCTATTTAGTTTTTAATAAATTAATAGATTAAATGAAGGGTTTTTGCTAAAAAGTATTTTTTACATATTTTTTAAGACTAATTAATAAATTTTTGTGATAATACTTTTATATTAAATACAATAATTAATAGTTTTATTCATCATTTCTAAAAATATTATTTTATAACAAAATCTTAAACTAAAATATGAGAAAAATGTTGAAAACAATGCCAAACTTTCAACATAAAAGCTTACACGTCGTTGCCTCGTTTACAACATGAGAAACCGTACATGTGGGAAAAGAATCTTTGCTTTTCAGGCGGTTTCCCCAACAATAATTCATTATTTATTTTATTATAGACTCAAATTTTATTTTTGACCTTAAAAATTAATATATTAGTGTTAAAATTCGGTGGCTTCAACTTCCACAATTATATTGTTATTTTCCTTTTTTTTTTTTCTTTTCAGGTTGATTTTGCATTATTTTGTCATAAAATATTCTAATTTTTTCTTAATCAACACTTTAATCGATCATCTTTTTCACGTGTCTAATTAGAAACATGATTATTTGCCTTTTAGACTAAGTTTAGCACTGCTTAAATCATATTTTTAAGGTCAAAATCAAATTATTTTATAGATTTATTAATTTAAAATATGATATAATAATATAACATAAATATAATATAAAATTTTAATAATTATTATATATAAATTTAATAAAATAAAAAATAATTATTTAATATTTTCATATCAATATAAATTATAACATATAATTTTTATAAAAAATATGATAAAAATATATGAATTAAATATTTTATATAATATAAATATATAAATCACCGTATTTATCCAGACCAAAATTTTAAATCCTACTTTAACGTTATAGAGGTTTCCAAAAATAATACATATATAAATGGAAAAAATGTGATATTAACTATTTATATTGAGAAATTTTGGATTGAATCTTATAAAATATAATTATAACGTAATGACCACTTTGTTAAAAGTGACTTTAGAAAAAATGCAGTGTTTGATAAAAAAAATATGAAAATATGAAAAAGAAAGTTATTAATATTTAATTCGATGATAAATGCTTGCACTTCCGTCTTAAAATTTTGTTCAATGAAATAAAGAAAGTCACGACTTTTTACCAATTGTAACTCACGTGATTCATGTCCAAAGAAAAGAAATATCAAATTAAGTTGTTTTATATTTGAATAATAGAATCTTGACTTTATTTTTTTATGTAAATTTTTTAAAAAATTATAAGTATAATAAAAAAATAATTAAATATTACATCAGTATAAATATTATTAAATAATTAATTAATAAATTAAAAATTAATTAAATAATCAAATTCACATATAATAAATTTTAAAATTTTAGGCTCCCTTATTTATTGATTTTATGAATGAAATTCTTGATTTTTTATTGGAAAACAAGATTTTTAGGGATTAGTTCAAGAAGAGGAATCGTCTTTTTTTTTTTCTGTTCAAATTTTGTGGGAAATATTTTTAAAATAAAATTATAAATGTATCAAATTGATATATAAAATAATATATTTTTAAAATCATCAAAAAATTTAATTTAAATAAAACTTAATAATACCTAACCTTATTAAAAAGATTGTATGCAACCAATCCAATAACAAATGGATCCATAGTGCAACAGGTCAACATTTATTTCTTCTAGATTATCATCCCAACTATTTTGTGAATATGAATTTTTTTAAAATTAAGATAGTTTTTAGTTTTAGAAAATATAATTTTTTAATTTTAATTTAAAAAATAAAAAAATATGAATAAAAATATGCTTAATAATTGAAAATGAAAATAATTTTTACAAAATAAAAATAAAAATGGATTGAAATATTAAAAATATAAATATTTTCAATTATGGAAACAATTATATGCATTACTTTTTTTTGTATTTTGCAAATTACTATATTTAAATACTTTTATTATCATTGATTAATAAATATATATTATATTTATAATTAGATGTCATTAATAGTAAATCATTAAATATTTTATTTATTTTTTATTTTTCATTTTTAGAAAAAATAATTGTTATTTTATTTATCAAATATAATTTTTAGAACAAAAATAAAAACTAAAAAATATTTTTGAAGAAATAAAAATAAAAAAAATATTTTTAAAAATCAAACAGGGTATAAGATTTGTGTTTTCAATTAACATTTAAGTCGTTAAAACATGAAATTTTCATTTTAAAAATCTTTGAGTTTAAATCAAGAAATAAATAGGATCGAATTTATGGGTGAGACAATTATCTTGTGCTCATTGCGTATTTGTGTGGTTCAAAATTATATATAATAAAAATAATTAAATCTCATTAAACTACCAATCTTCAACATTTTAATTTTTCTTTATTCCATTTCTTATAAGGTTAACCAATTTAATGTATTGCTAAAATTTTAATTTCAAAGTAAAAAACCCAAAGATGAGATGGATATGAATGTCATTATAACCATTATTTGAGGCATGTAATTTATGATTATGAAAAAATTAATTATGATTATTAATCTTGTACTGTTATCACTGTTCCTTTTTCATCTTCTCATTACTAAAACTATAGGTCAAATAGAAGCTTATATATATGCATATATATATATATATGTATATAATATTATCTTGTCCATACCACACTTGGACGTATTAAATTTTAATCTTCCTTCCCAATATATTTAAATATATAAATATTATCTTATCCATATTATGGAGGTATCAAATTTTGATCTTCCTTCTCGACATATTTAAATATATATCACACTTGGAGATATAAAAAAGATTGAATAGATAAATTAAGGCTCAAATGAAAGGAAATTAAGTTGTAAAATGAAATGTGGATTTTAAAAAAAATTAATTAAATTCAAAATTTAATTAAGTTGATTCATATAATTATATTTAAAATATAATATTTAGTAGATTTGAAATTTAAATTTCAACTGTAGTAATTTTTTTTACAAAAGATAGAATTTTAGAGAAATTATTTTTTGAAATAACTTATTTATTTTATTAGATTTAATTTTTTTGAAAAAAAAAAAAGGAGAAATAAGAAAGAGAAAACTTTAAAACAGTTGTCAAGTAAATTTTTTGAAAAAGAAAAGTGATGAAAATAAAAAGTTTAGTCTCAAGTGGGTCCATTAATATCAGACTTAGACAAGCAAGTGGGAAGGATGCATGGGATTCGGTCCATTCCAAGAAAAGACGACGCAGTCAAACCGTTAGCTTCGGTCCGCAGAACGAACAAACCCTACGTGGAATAGCAATGAAGTAAAATAAAAAATTCGAGAAAAGTGGGCCCCTTGCACATCAAACACCGTTGACTCAGATGACCTTTTTCAATCACGCCGGATGGACCAATCGAAGCGGTGAATTTCCTCAATGTGGGCCCAGTCTTAGTCACGTGGGCTCCACTTAATTGCCACATGTCCCATTTGCCGTCACTGAAGAGCGTTAGTCATCAGATTCAGCTACGAGGGGTAGTTTCCTCGCTAAATATAGATCAGATTTGCACGTGAACTGTGATATTGAACGCAAGTAACACACTGGTAATTTACTACTGTTTGGTCTTCTTCTAAAGTCTCAAACGCCCTTTTTGTTGCCGAGTCCATTGCACCGTTCCCATCCTCATCTCTCTTGATTTATGGCCAAAGCCAGTGGACTCTCCATTGATTTAGATCCTCCCTTTTCCTTGTTTCTTCACCACCCAACCGTCCTCAATTCTTTCCCTGAAGACAAGACAGACAACAACGTTGTTAAGAATCCCAAGTACCGCAGCAAAATCGTGTTCCCTGCTACCACTCCCATGGATGATGTTACATCAGCGAAGACTTCTCCACCACCCACCATTCAGTTCCCTGTTTACCTCAACTGTTCCCGTGATCAACACCCTTCTTTTCCCTCTGATGATAAGCGCTCGGTCGTCGGTGAGATGGATTTTTTTGCCGAAAAGGATAATAAACTTGTTGATGATCATGACAGGATTGATGATGGTGATGCCAATCCTATTCACACCTCCGATACCGACATCAAAGACTCCACCGACCGAACTGTCCTTGAGATGATTAACGTTAACGTGAGTCACCCTCATCCGCTCTTTATTTCTTTTTGCAGTATACTTGTACAGTTGTGTATTGATGGGTTAGAATTGATGAATTATTTTTCTTGCTGATTTTCAGACTGGTCTAAATCTGTTAACTACCAATACCAGTAGCAATCAATCCATAGTGGATGATGGCATATCTTCCAACATGGAAGATAAAAAAGCTGAAAATGAGGTGACCATTTTATTAAAAATTGAAAAATTTATGTGACTTTGGTAGTGTTTAAAATCAAGTTATAAGATTACTGTGCGATTTTTTGTTCAGCTATCTGTTTTACAAGCTGAGCTGAGACGAATGAACGCTGAGAATCAACGGTTAAAGGAGATGTTGAGCCAGGTAACTAGCAGCTACAACACGGTACAGATGCGTCTGCTCACCCTGATGCAGCAACAGCATGATGGGAAAACTGAAAAAGCTGAAGAACAAGATCAGACGATGGAGGAAAAAGTAGAACAAAAGAAACCAAATGGAGGACTAATAGTGCCAAGACAGTTCATGGATCTTGGTCTTGCAGCTGCTGCTGCAGCTGATACTGACGAACCTTCGCTGTCTTCGTCGGAAGAGAGGAGTCAGGACCCGTCTGGATCGCCTAATAATAACACGGAGGTAGCTTCCAAAGAATTTGGATTGAGAAAGCGAGGGAATGGTGAAGAAGGTAAGGGAACTGCAAGAGAGGATAGTCTGGATCAAGGATCCCAAGGTTGGGGTGCTAATAAGGTTCCAAGACTTAATTCTTCAAAAAATGTTGATCAAACTGAAGCTACCATGAGGAAGGCACGAGTTTCTGTTAGAGCTAGATCAGAGGCGCCTATGGTATGAGACTCGATTGAAGAATTGAATTGAATCAAATCATGTAGCTTTTTAATTCATGGTTTAGTTTTCATGTCATGTTCTGAGTTAAATTATTGGATTTTATTTTATTTTTTTAAAGATCACAGATGGATGTCAATGGAGAAAGTATGGACAGAAAATGGCCAAAGGAAATCCATGTCCTCGAGCATATTACCGATGTACCATGGCAGCTGGTTGCGCAGTCAGAAAACAGGTACTTTCCAATGGTTTTTCCTTCAAGCTTTCTTCTTTTAACTTTCTAACTGATTCTAGCATCATTTTCAGGATGATGTGTTGAAATTTAATTAATACTACCACATTAGAGATCAGTCAGGAGTTGTATTGTATATATTATTCGAGAAATTTGTTTGATAATCGATAAAAAAAGTTGAAGTAAGACTTTTTTTACAGGTACAAAGATGTGCAGAAGATCGAACAATCCTCATTACCACATATGAAGGCAATCATAACCACCCTTTGCCTCCAGCTGCAATGGCAATGGCATCAACCACATCATCGGCAGCACGAATGCTATTATCAGGTTCTATGTCCAGTGCTGATGGACTATTGAACTCGAATTTTCTCACAAGAACTATCCTGCCATGCTCCTCTAGCATGGCTACTATATCGGCTTCAGCCCCATTCCCCACTGTTACCTTGGACCTGACACAGACCCCAAACCCTTTACAGTTCGCAAAGCCACCAGGCCAATTCCAGGTCCCATTTCCAAACCCACCACAAAATCTTGCCAATTCCCCAGATGCATTGCTGCCTCAAATATTTGGTCAGGCACTTTACAACCAATCCAAATTCTCCGGTCTACAAATGTCTCAAGACATGGAGCAACCTCAATCGGGTCACCAACTGCAACATGGCCAGCAAAAATCACTTGCTGACACTGTAAACGCAGCCACTGTGAACGCAGCCACTGCTGCCATTGCTGCTGATCCTAACTTCACAGCAGCTCTAGCAGCAGCTATCACCTCTATTATTGGGAATTCTCACCCCAACAACGTCCCTAATAATAATGGTAACAACCTCACATCTGCCACCAACAGCAGTGGCAATGTCGCTACTACTAGCAACAGCAACAGCAATGGCAACAATAAAATCAACAACTCCTGTTTTGCTGCAAATTAGAAGCAATTAAGGTCACCTTCTATTCTTTATTTTTTTGAAGGAAGAAGGGCATGCACCTTTTTTTTTTTCATTTTGTTCAGGAGGAAATTACAATTATACATATGTCTTGCCATTTTACTTTTTCAGGGTGGGGTAGGAGTAGACATAAGATTTTAGTGTTCTTTACTTAGCTGAATAATTTGTTTCAATTTGTATGTCAATGCAAATTCAAAATTTAACATTTTTTTTTTTTACAGTTTTTAAACTTTTGGAATAACTATCATTATAATCAGGATATTTAAAAAGTAAAAATTAATACCATTTTAAATTTTATTACGAAATTTTTTATAAGATAAAAGAGAGAGAACGTAAAAAGAAATTATCAAATAAATTAATTAAGAAGTTTTCTTAAACTCTACAAGTGGAGTTTATAGGGTGACATATATTATTTAGTGTATATTTAAAAAAATAATTAAAAAAAAAGGACATGCGTCTCTTTTTAATCACGATTATGAAATTAAAAAACTTCATTAACACTGTATTAAATAATGTCTCTAACGCAATAAAGAAATATAATTTGTGTCCTCTATAAAACCAAAAGCACGATAATATTTTTATAAAACTTGAAATTTATTTTTACATTCTTTTCATCTCAAATTGTTTATGTGATATTAATTTTTACGGAGTTTAATAAAAAAAATTTTGACTTTAATTTATTTAATATTAAAATTAAATTTGATTTTTTATAAAATTAAAGTTTCATGATTTTTAATGTTAAAAAATTAAAAAATTATAAAAAAATGATTTTAAAATATAAAAAAGTAAGAATTTTAAATATTTTAAAAAAAGGACATAATTTTGAAATATTTCAAAAAGGAAAGATGGAAAAAAAATTGAGAGAGAGGGAGTACTAAAAATTTTATTTATTCTACAAAGAGGTGTACAATTTATTTACCATAATATATTTTTTATATCATAGAATAATAAAATAATTAAATATTATAGTAAACTATTTTTTGGACTGCCTTGAGTCGAGCCCAATCCAAATAGATGACGTGTCCAAACCCAGCTAAATGTTGGGTTAGGTGAGGCCACTGGCAGACTGATTCTGATTTATCACAAAATCACATCAAATCACCGTTGAAAAGTAGATCTACGGCTGAAATCCAAAGTTCGATTAAGTCTCTTTAAGTAGACCAGTAGTTGAGCAACAACCAGCAACAGGTGCGAACTCGGCTACCCATGCATCCAATAACAAATAGCCACGTCACCATAGTGGGGTCTACTTAAAATGGGAAACATTTGAACCGTTCGATTCGAAAAACTCTAAATTAGATCAACGGTTGAGACGCAGAATTACACTTACTCTTTGATACGCGTCAAAACAAAGATTCTGTTCTTGGCTCTGTCTTCTTTTCAACTTCATTCCTCGGTCCTTGTCTTCTTTTTTGTCTTTCTTCTTAGCATCGATTTCCTGGTACGAATATTTTTTCTTTTTTTTAACTCTTATAAGTTTTTTTTAGTATATCTTAGATTGTCTGTTGGAAAATCTTATGATAATTAAAATTTTTACTAATTTTTTCAGATATTATTATTGGAATTTGTAGTGTTTCTCTTTGATTGTCTGGAAAGTTTGGGAAAGAAGACGAATTTTGATTAGTGTTTGGCTTAGTTGTTGATTTTGTTACTTTTTTTTAATTTTCTAAAAATTTCTGAAATTTTAAAATCAAAAGCAAAAAGAAAAATGATTTTTGATGATAAATGTGTGAATTTTTAGGATTTAATAGTGCATATGAATACAATATGAAAGTAAAATCATGTATTTTCTCATACAAAGACCTTAAAATTTTAATTTTTAATTTTTTAAAATATTAATATTAGTAGCAAAAGTAACAATCAAGTGGAGCTATGAATGAGCCACTCAACCTAAATTGTTCTGATGTTTGATAGGTGAAGGTTACATGAATAATTTTGGAGATTGAAAGCTTCATTAAGCACATTTCCATCTTGTAGCATTAGCACTCAGCACTCTGAATTGGAACATTTAGTGTAAGAGATTAAGGACAAATCCTTGTATTCTCACCTAATAAAAATTTTCTTGACAGCTGAGAATATGGTTTATCATGTATTATAGCAGTAGCTGAGTTTTGTGAGTTATCTCTAAGTTGGAAATGATTAGATTTTGTGGTTTGCAGCAGTGAAAATGGGTAGCAAATTCGAAGCCGTTCGGGTTATACTTCTTCTTTTGCTCCTTCTGTCTCCTGCAGTGTTTTCTGTGCCAAATGACGGATTAGTTAGAATTGGATTGAAAAAGAAGAAACTGGATCAAATCAACAGGGTTGCTGGACAAGTTGACTTTAAGGAAGGGAAACTATCTAGGAAGTATTATCTTCCAGGAAATCTTGGGGCATCTGATGACTCTGAAATCGTTGCACTAAAGAACTACATGGATGCCCAGTATTTTGGAGAGATTGGTGTTGGCACACCTTCACAGACTTTCACTGTCATATTTGATACAGGAAGTTCCAATCTTTGGGTGCCCTCTTCAAAGTGTTATTTCTCTGTATGTTCCTAACCTCACTCTTTTATATATATATATATATATTTGAGGGAATGATCCTTTCTTACTATCTTTACTTAGGAAATTTTATGGTGAGCAGTTGAGAATAAGAATACGTATATGGTTTGCATTTGAATGCAGGTTGCTTGTTATTTTCACTCCAAGTACAAGTCCAGTCAGTCTAGTACCTACCAAAAGAATGGTACATTCTATATACTGTTAGAACTGCAAATGATATTATTTGAGCATTCCCTGCTCGAACTCATTCATTTCAATTTTTATAGAGTTGGAACTTGGAACACTTATTGAGCTCAAACATTTGAGACTGAGTTTGGTTATTTAAGAAAATCTGAAGTCTTGCCTGAGTAATTTATTTAAATTGGTTGAGGTGAATATCGTTTCTGAACTTTGAAGTTTGATCTCACTTTTTTAACTGGTTTAATGGCACATTTCCAAGCTTGTATATGAGTTTAAACTTGAACTTGTTAATCATAATTAAAAACCTAAAATCTCACAATAAATTTCTACATGTCCTGATTTAGAAGGTTCTATTAGAATTAGAAAATATTATGAGTAAATGTAAGACTTGTTATGATTAACCAGTTAAAGCTTGTTATAATATTTGCTAATTTATCTAATGTCAGATTTGTTTGCAGAATTTCAATCAGCTTTGTATTTAAGCTTAATTAAATAGTTGTAAATTTGATTCAAACTCATTTACCTTGTAAAATGATATTAGAAAAGTTCAAATGGAAGTGGGTCTTGAAATGATATTAAAAGAGTTCAAGTGGGTTTTGAGCAACTCATGAGTAATTTCTGTTCACCTGTAACCTTGTATATTGTATGTAATTTTAATTCATAAGCACATTGAAGACAATTTTGGACATGACCTTTTTCTCATGAATGGTGCACATTCTGTATGAATAAAATTGACTTACAGCTACAAGAACCCAACAAGCGGAGTTCCAAATCTAAAAGCTTGAAAATAATTTTCAATCAATTCTCAAATCATTATTTAGGGCATCTTTTATGTGAAATGAACTTCAAGAAAAATCAGAAAAGAGTTTCTGAATCGCCAATCCCTGAACCATCTAACACATCTTTACTCTTAAAATAGTTGTGGTTTCATTTTTTATGCAGGGACATCTGCTGAGATCCATTATGGAACAGGAGCAATTTCTGGATTCTTTAGCGAGGATGCTATTAAAGTTGGTGATCTTGTTGTTAAGAATCAGGTAGTGCTAGTGCTATTTCACTTTGGAGTCTTTAGTTCAGTACTTTTTTAAAATTCACTTTATTAATTCCTCTCTTGCCAGGATTTTATTGAGGCAACCAGAGAGCCTGGCATCGCATTCTTGGCTGCCAAGTTTGATGGCATATTTGGCCTTGGATTTCAAGAAATCTCAGTTGGGGGTGCTGTGCCTGTCTGGTAAATCTTTTGTGTCTATGCCATCAACATACTAGGAATTACTTCATAGCAATGTGAAATTCACAGGATAACTGCTTCAAATTGCTCACAGTTGCTAATAACAGCTTGTCTATGGTTGAAATTGTTTTTTTTATTCCTTTAATTTTTTCTTAATTAATATACATGCAATACTTGTAGGTACAATATGGTTGACCAAGGCCTTGTTACGGAACCAGTTTTTTCATTTTGGTTGAACCGCAATATTGAAGGTGAAGAAGGAGGAGAAATTGTATTTGGCGGGGTTGATTCTAATCATTATAAAGGGGAGCACACACATGTTCCAGTGACTCAGAAAGGCTATTGGCAGGTTGGAGATGCAATTGCTTACACCACTGATTTCTAGAATTGTTGAGATAACTTCACTTCTTCTCTGATTTGCTTGTCTCTTTTGCCTACTTGCAGTTTGATATGGGTGATGTTCTGATTGGAGATGAAACAACCGGTAACCACAGATATCTTGTTTAAAACTAAATCTTTCTTATGTGGACAAATTCATTAATCTCAGTGGGTTTAGCCTACACTGTTGCCTATGGTATTTGAGAGTTGAGACATGAGAATACCCTTTTCAGGATTCTGTTCCAGTGGTTGCGCAGCAATTGCTGATTCTGGAACCTCTTTGCTAGCAGGCCCTACGGTAAAGAAAAATTATTTTTCTATCTTTATAATCTTTTTCTTGTAATGGAGGAGAAATTTTAGAGTAATTTGAGAGTATGAATTAGATATAACTTGACTGCAGTGCACTCTTGAAAAATAAACAGCTCATATATGAATATGCCTTGCTTGATCTTTTGCCAACCCTGTATGTTTCATTTCTGAAGTAGCCAAAATGCTTTGCCTGAGCAATGTGTGGGTTACAGTTTCCCGTACCAGTATGATGTAGAGTTGCCAATGGTTTTTTATGTTTAGTAAATTTGGCACAGTTAGGTACTTGTTCTAGAAATAGACAACCATTTTCCTCCTTCACCCCCCCCCCCAAAAAAAAAGAAAGAATCTTCTTTTTTATTCAGAATCGGCCTGTCTTAACAAAAGTAACATGCAGGCTTTGAACTTCCTGCTTTGCCTTTGTCCTTCCTTTCTTTTGAATTTAGATGCATTGGATGTTTTCTAAGCTTTTGTGATGCTTCAGGTATTTTGCTAGAAACTGATACAAATCTCATTATTTTTACGTGTCTTGCCATGTAAACCCCTTATCTGTAGGAAATTCATCTTCTGTGGCTTGGAATAGCTTTGCCTCACTATAATTTTGCTATTTTCTTGTGTTATAAAATAGCAGATTTTAATTGATATTATCTTATAACTGCCACATTTTCAGACTATCGTTACTCAAATTAATCATGCTATTGGGGCTTCTGGTGTTGTTAGCCAAGAATGCAAGGCAATGGTTTCACAATATGGAAAAACCATTCTGGAAATGCTGGCTTCTGAGGTAGCTGTTACTCCTTTCTTTAGCTATAGCAATTTTGTGCCACACCTTACTTTTCTCTTGAAGAGAAATGAAACTTTTTCCCCTACTGTCTACCCTTTGCAATGAATGCAAAACTTTTGAGGTTTGAGTTATTTAAACTGCTCAGACACAAGATATATTCTATAGATCAATTTTATTCTTTGCTGGTTCTTTACCTTGAAACTCCTTGCAGAAAAACTGATAGCTTCTTTGATTTTCTGTGTTTTATAGACACAACCACAAAAGATCTGCTCTCAAATTGGTTTCTGTACTTTTGATGGGACTCAAGGCATCAGGTCAGATTTAACCTGACTTCTTATTGCTACTACTGTTAAAATGTGCTAGAACTACAAAAGATAATCATCTGACATCTAAAATATAATCAATTAATATCTCACAGTGCTCGAATTGAGAGTGTAGCAGATGAGAGCATGGGCAAATCATCTGATGGTGTCCATGATGCTATGTGTACTGCTTGTGAGATGGCTGTTGTCTGGATGGAAAATAAGCTCTGGCGAAACGAGACAGAAGAGCAGATCTTGGATTATGTGAATGACGTGAGTTATTATTCTTATGCACATCTTGGACGGTAACCTTAAAGATCGCTTATATTTCTTCTGTTCTAACTGCAGCTTTGTGAAAGACTGCCCAGTCCAAATGGAGAATCGACAGTTGACTGTAGAACTCTTTCTTCCATGCCTAGTGTTTCATTTACTATTGGCGGTAAAGTATTTGAGCTTGCACCTGAGGAGGTATGGTTTTTTTTTTTCTCTTTCCTTACCTTTTCCCCTTCCTTCCTACCATATTGTAAGCTATTGTCTGCTTTCTCTTTTTCCCTTTTATCCTCCCTTTCTTCATCTTTATGCTTGGTGGTCATGTGCATCAGTATGTTCTTAAAGTGGGAGAGGGAGCTGTTGCTCAATGCGTTAGTGGATTTACTGCTTTGGATGTGCCTCCACCTCGCGGACCTCTTTGGTATTTTTTTTTTCCTATCATCATTCGTTATGAACCATCTGAACGGACAAACCTATTGATTATTGGTCTCTTAACCGGTATCGTGGAAAGAGTACCATAGAATAGGTTTTATGGAGCTCAGATTTCATGCGATTCTGCTTGCTTGATACAGGATTTTGGGAGATGTTTTCATGGGTCGATACCACACGTTATTCAACTACAAGAACATGACAGTTGGGTTTGCCGAAGCAGCTTAAACACAACCAGCATTATATATTCTACAATAGTATCATTATGATGGATACTTAATCCTCGGTAAAAGACGTTCGGTGTGAACTTGTATTGTAAATACATGCTTCATGAATATGGGTTGTCTTGCAGACATTAATATACTTGTTCAAGTAACATAGCACTTACTGTTTACCAAAATGTCAAGTCTTATGGCCTTTTAACTAACAATAATTTTGTTTTAATAAATTCTAATCTCTATATATACATTTTTTATATTTTTATTAATATATAAAAAATTATTATAAATGGTAAATGTTTATCCAAGTCTTGGATAGAGAATTAATCATTCTTATTCAGGCATTTCTGAATTAATCTTTTTTTTTTTTTTTGAGATTCGATGATCTTCCAACAAGTAAGGGTTATAGTTATACATCAATGGTGTAGGATAGGACAAGGATGTTTTTTGTTTGAGGAAATTTATCAACAGACATTGTTTATCCCCACTGCTTTCTAATATTAGACATTAACACGTGTATGAATCTCTTCAACTGCGGCTTAAATCACTCTAGTCCATTGTTAGTTTCTCTTTTCCATTTTTTTTTCCCAATCTTTTATCTGAAAACCATTTTTGTTCCACCGGTGCTTGGTTTCCCTTCCAAGATGGAGAGGTCCATCATCCTCGTCTTCCTTTCATTGTTACTACTGTTTTTCAACCATTGTTCCTTCCTTCATGTTCATTCTTCCGGCATCACACTTCGACGACCCAATGAACACGTTCGGTTCAATCTGATTCACAGGCATTCACCTGAGCTCGGGGAAGATCCCGGAACGACCCTTGGACCCCCAAGCAGTCAAAGGGAACGCATAAAACAGCTCATGCATGGCGACAATGCCAGGCTGCATACAATTTCACAAAGGATAGGCCCTAGAAGGAAGAATGTCGAGGTTATGATGGCGACTACTTATAAAATCAATTTGGTGGAGCTCCCAATGCGATCAGCTGCTGATATAGGGACAGGCCAATATTTTGTTTCCTTCAGGGTGGGGAGCCCTCCCAAGAAGTTTATCATGATTGCTGATACAGGAAGCAGTCTTACATGGATGAAATGCAAATATAAGTGCAAAAATTGTTCCAGGGAAAGGACCATTCTTGATGAGAGGATTTTTCAAGCAAACAAATCACGTACCTTTAAGCCAATTCCATGCTCCTCCGACGTTTGCAAAATTGATCTCTTCCGATCTTTCTCTTTGGCCCACTGTCCTACGCCAATGGCTCCTTGTGGCTATGATTACAGGTAGATCTAAATCACCTTTAATTCCTTTCTATTATAAGCTGTTATATTCTCCTCAAAATTATTGCCCTGCATATATAATCCATTCAAAATTCTACCAATGTTTCGAGATAGAATGATTCGAGAAAGAGATTAGATCTAAATAAAACTTGAAAATATTTCTATAATGTTAGAACTTAAATATAATATTGGAGTCATTTTCTACCAGATTAACGCTTCATTACTAATTAAGCTTTACGCTTATTCCTAGATACGCAGATGGCACAAGAGTGGTCGGAATCTTTGGCAATGATACTGTTAAAGTCCGCCTCAGCGGCGGCGAAAAGATAAAAGTGACGGACGTAATGGTCGGGTGTAGCGAGACAATAAGGGGGAACTTCCATGACATCGACGGGGTAATGGGGTTAGGTTTCGACCGCTACTCATTTGCAGTGAAAGCAGCAAAGCAGTTTGGACACAAGTTTTCATACTGCTTGGTTGATCATTTGAGCCCAAGTAATCTCGTTAACTTTCTTGTCTTCGGTGAAGTTTCTATTTCTCCATTGCCAAACATGCAACACACAGAGTTGATCCTTGGAATAATAAATCCATATTATGCTGTAAATGTTTCTGGTATCTCAGTAGATGGTAAAATGCTGGATATCCCATCAGATGTATGGGATGTTAGGGGTGATGGTGGGGTTATCATGGACTCAGGTGCAAGCTTAACATTCCTGGTGAAACCTGTGTTTGATAAAGTCATTGCTGCTTTCCAGGCTCCTTTAAGCAAATTTGAGAAACTGGAGTTGAACTTGGGGCCAGACTATTGTTTTAGTGATGCAGGGTTCAAGGAGTCGATGATTCCAAAACTTGCAATCCATTTTGCTGATGGAGCTAAGTTGGCGCCGCCAGTGAAGAGTTATGTCATCGATGCTGATGATGGGGTGAAGTGCCTTGGCTTTGCCTCGACTGGTTGGCCTGGAACAACCGTGATTGGTAATATTTTGCAGCAAAATCATTTGTGGGAATTTGATCTGAAGAATAGCAAGTTGGGTTTTGCTCCTTCTAGCTGTACATTTCATTGATCAAAAGGATAAAACTATAGAGTTGGGCACTCTATTTGGAAGTCATGTCATGTCATCAGCAGCTCTCCGGTGTATCGTTTTCATATATGTATATTCATAAAAAAAAAAATTACTTAACCATGGATTTATATGTAATTCATCCCTATTTGTTTTCCTTTTTTTTCATTTTAAGAATTAAAAATTTGTCATATATCCTATTGTACTATATTTAAAAAATTAATCATACATGTTATATATATATATATATATATAAGAATAAGAAGCTTTCATGTGTTCCCTTTATAAACAAAAGAGGGATAGTTTCTTGGTGGAAGTTTTTCAATGGCCTTAGTTTTCCATCCGTTGCTTTCTTGATACTTTGTGATCATGCATTGCATTAGTCTTTTTGGTGTTTTGACGCAAGTAAACTGGCATTCGTTTAGTTGTTGCCTCGTCTTGAAAACGTGCAGATGCTCCTGGAGCACTTAGGCAATGGTGGCTTGGTGGTGGAACTGATTTGACTCCAGCGTACATCTTTGAGGAGGATGTCAAGCACTTCCACTCAGTAAGGTGGGCTTTTCTTCTTTCTTCCTTACTTTCACTTTGAGAAAGTCAAATATCGATCTTATCAAAAGAAATTTGAAGAAATTCGAGTACTTGAACAGAACCTTCTTATTCCAACATCTGTTCCTTTTACATATCAGTATAGATTAGTACATCAATCGGAGACTAATGTTTCTATTGCCAGCGCATGAACATGTGCATGTGCATTTACAATTGTTCTTTTACATGCTTACTAATGTTAAGACTAACGTTCTTTTGGCGTTCCCCCCACAAATATCAATTCCATTGGACTTCAGTTTGATTTACAATTGATTTGCAGAATGTGCGAATTCTGTGGTTCCTGCATATATTCCCATTCTAGAGAAAAGGAAGGACACACCATTTAATGAGTCACAAGGCATGACAACAGTTGTGAAGGGGCCGCTATGTAGAATTCAACTTGCTGTTGAATCGAGCTATACCTAAACTAGAGAGGTTGGAAATCTTAGATTTCGCTAAACCAGACATTTAAACTACATTTGATTTGTTAATGAAAGATCTATGATCTAGGTACAACATTTGGACTGAAGACAGGAGGTAAAATTTAAAGTATTCTTGTTTCTCTCCCTTTATCTGCACGATGAGAATATGATCATGTAAGTTCCTGCTTATATGTTCAGTGTGATATGTGACCAAGAAGCTGTAACTGTAATTGATAATGAGAGGCCGGTTTCTTTGTTTGAAATACAGAAAGCAGAAGAGGGAAGTGAAGAGTGGAAACTATCAGATGCCTGAATCAATCCTAAGGAATTGATCTGATACTTACTGCTTAGAGTTTCTTTGTATCATTTTGAGATTTCCCATTGGTTCCCAAAAGTAGCTTGACCATAAAAACTATACATTCGGCTCGTTGAGAGAGAGATTTATCATAGAACGGCATATCCACAAAAACTTTGATGGCCAATCAAGGAAACTTCCTCCTTTGACAATTCCTCAAAAAGTGATGACATGAATCTTATTGTTGTGTTGAATTTCCACTTGGCCAATCAAGGAACTTGTATCCTAGAAGTGAAGGTGGCAGGTATGACTGAGTTGATGAAGACGGATTATCTGGGGGATATATATAATCCTTCCCGTATCCAAGTTCTTTCATTAGCTTGGTTGGTGCATTCCTTAAATGAAGTGGCACTCCCTCATTCTGTCCGACAGATTCCCTAACAACCTTCTGTGCAGATCCAATGGCTCGATACACAGCAATAGATTTAGGAGCCAAAGCCAAGTAAGTAACACATTGAGCAAGAATCACATCAGACTCGGGCATCCCCAAGAAATGACAAGCTTGATAGCAGGAAACAGCCTGATTTAGGGCTAATGGATCAGCCATCCCAACATCCTCACTGGCAAACCTTATTAGTCTGCGTGCAATGTAAAGGGGCTCTTCACCTCCTTCCAGCATTCTTGCCAACCAATAAATTGCAGCATCTGCATCACTTCCTCGCATTGACTTGTGAAGTGCACTGATCAAATTGTAATGCTCTTCCCCTGCTTTGTCATATGCCAGATGCTTGCACTGGAGTGCCTCCTTAGCATCATCCACTGTAACAACCGCTTCAAATGAACCAATCTCGTTTTCCAAATCCCTATCTGGCTCTACTCCTATACCTTTTAGTCGATTATCAGCCACTCGGGCAGCTGCTGTTGTGGCAGAAATTTCTAAAGCATTCAAAGCGACTCGAGCATCACCATCACAATTCATAGACAAAAATTCAACAGCATCAACCTTAACATCAACCCTCATCCCTACGCTCCGTGACAACCCCTTCTCTCTGTCATTAACTGCTCTCTTCAAAAGAGTTTCAACATGATGTGGTTTTAAAGGATTCAATGTAAGAACCCTACACCTAGACAACAATGGTGTAATCAAATGAAACGAGGGATTCTCCGTTGTCGCCCCCATGAACACAATACTTCCATCTTCAATCACAGGCAAGAACGAATCCTGTTGTGATTTATTAAACCTATGAACCTCATCAACAAAAAGCACAGTCCTCTTATTATGCTTATCCCTCATTTTCCTAGCTTCATCAACAGCATCTCTAACATCCTTAACCCCACAAGTAACAGCAGATAAAGAAACAAATCGATACAAAGACCGTTCTTGAGCAGAATTAACAATGGATTTAGCAATAGAAGTCTTACCAGTACCAGGTGGACCCCAGAAAACAATAGAAGGGATTCTGTTACGGTCAATAGCAGAACGGAGAAGAGAATTGTTACCCAGAATGTGTTCTTGACCAACCACTTCGAAAACAGTACGAGGACGCATCCGTTCCGACAAAGGCTCATGGATTTTGTCGATTTTGTCTTGCTGAACGATTGGTTTGGGATGTTGCAACTTTTGACGTTTGTTAAGGAGAGGAGATGGGATGGTGGAATCTTGGTCTTGGTCTTGTTGGGGTAAAACTCGGATGCTTGGAGGTGTGGATGTGGGTTCAGGAGATGGAGGAGAATTGGAAGGTTTGGTGTGAAGATGAAAGAAGCGGTCAAGTTTGGGTTGGAAAGGAGGAGGAGAGAGGCTGGGGTTGGGCTTAGGGTTGGAAGGTTTGTGGGAAAGAATCCATTCAGTGGCTTTGAGGGTGGATTTGCCGCCGGTCGCAGCCAGGGCTTCTGCTGCTAATTCACTTGGGAACCCCATACTCAGCAGCTGCTCCATCTCCATTTTTTTTTTCTCTTTTCCCACCAAAACAGTGTAAACGGGGGAATCCGGCGCAAAACTGGAACTCTAGAAGCCACTCTCTTGTTTCTTCTTGTCTTTTTTTTTTTTTTTTAATGAATCGATTTATTTTCCTGTTTTTTTTTTACCCTTTTTTGGATGTATACAATACAATGGGCCCAAACTCTTTTCAATACCTAAATTAGCTTATTAATAATTACATTTAATGAAATAATATTACCATATATAAACAAAATGGTAACGGATTTTATTTAATGATTCTAACCTTTGTTCTTACTGAATTTATTTTCATTTTAAAAAAATTATCTCATAAACAAAACATGTAGACCGAGATTTGACTCAATCATAAAATAGTAAAATGTAAACATACAAGTTTATATTTAATGTACTCAATAAATCTATTAATATTATTTTATTAATGAATAAATTTTAAAAAATATTAATTTTTATATGATATTTATTTTTAAGATTAATATTTATTTATTAATAAAATAATATTATTTAATTTATTGATAATATATAAATTTTACACATTAATTACGCATCAAGCATAAATTATTTATGTACCGATTATCTTTTGGATCAACTATATGTCATTGAACTTGGCATATGAATGTTACAAATTTAAAAAAGTTTAGACGAGTAATGTCTTCACTTTTGACTGTTTGTATTAATAATATGTTATTTTTAATCTTTAAAATTTTTTGTTAACAATATTTAATGCTATATTATTTGATTTCTTATTTTTCATCTATAAATATAGATATTTAAGCATTATCATTCGAAGTTTTATCTTGTATTTATCATTTATTTTTTTTATTTTTTTTATTTTTTATATTAATTTTTAATTTACACATCAAAATACAAATGTAAAAATCACTTCTTGTTTTTACATCTAATTGCTCTTTTCTTTTTTTCATCTTTTCAAAAATATCTTCACGTTCAAACTCGACACCAATAAAATGTATAAATGAACTTAATTATTTAAAAAGAGTAATTGTAAAACTATCATCAAAATTTAAAAATATATATAATTTTTTTAAAAACAGTGATCAAAGTACTCATCGAAAAAGATAAATAAAGAATTCATAACTTATAAGTTGAAGCAATTATTAAAAGAAATAGAAATTACCTTTCCAATAGAACTGCAAAAGGAGCAGTGATGAGAGTTGCAAAGACATGTCCATAAACTACAAGCATGCACGTAACTGCTCGTGCCATTATCAGTCGTTAGCTTTCTCTTTCTCTTCATCCCTCCCTCATTTTCTTCCTGTTGTGCTTTCATTTTCATTGATGCCTTATCAAGTGGTGATCATCTGCTTTTAACTAGACAAAGACAATTGGTATTAATTTTAATTAGGGATGATAATGATTCAATTTAGATCAAATTTGATTCGATTTGGATCGAATTTTATTTAATTTTTTTATATTATATAATATTATGAAAATTTAAAATTTAATTTGAATTTGAATTGAATATTTATTCGATCCGAATCGAATTGAATTAAATTTTATCGGTTTCGATTTAATTTATTAATTTATTATTTTTTAATTTTTATATATTATTTTAATATAAAAATTTAATATATTTAAGTATATTTTGATATCAAATTTTTATTTTTATTTTATAAAAATTTTAAAAATATATATAAACTAAGAAAAGTATATAATTCGTTTGATTTGACTTTTTTTTTTTTACCTCTCGATCTGAAATCTAATCCGAACCTAATATATACATTTAATATTTGAATTTGATTCAAACTGAATAAAAAAAATCGATTTGAATTGAACCGAACACTACAATTTCAAATCTATTTTTAAATTTTTTTAATTTTTTCTCACCCTTAATTATGATATTTCACAATTCACATCACCACCAAATCAATAATTTGGCAAAGTGGTTCATCACTCGGATACTAATTTCCTTATAAATTTTCTTATTTACCATTTTGGCACTTTTTGGATAGATGATTAATGATTATAGGTGTTTGTAAATTTTGTTGGAATTAGACTGTCCATATGATATACAAAATTTCTTTGGAATTGATTAAAAAAAAGAAATATTATTTATCATCTATACATAGATCTGACAATTTAAAATACGATATCATGATATAATATGAAAACAATATAAATAAAAACAAAAAGATGATATGTTTTAAAATTTTAGCAAAAATTATAAATATATTTAATAAAATAAAAAATTATTTTTTATATCAATATAAATTATAACATATAATTTTATATAAAATATGATATAAATATACAAATTATTAATATTTTATATAATATAAATATATAAATTATCAAATTTAACTTGACGTACATGGACCATGCCTATAGTACCTGAATTTCCAAGTGAAATAATTTGTTGAAGAAACATTGGTTTTTTACCAAAAATAAAGGCTACCAAGCTCATTGCTTTTTAATTCTCCACAACCCCTATAAATATGCATTACCTTGATTTCATCTGCAGTGGATAAAGAAGTACACGACAGAAGTACACGACACAGGGTCACTCAACGACAAATCCATAGTTTTAGTACAGGAGATGACAATATCACTGCTGGCTTTGGTGCTAATTATTTCATCTGCCGTAGATCTGATTTATGTGCTGCTGGGAAGAAGGATGAAGATGTCCATCAATGCTACTGCACCATCACCTCCGTCATAATTCTAATATATTACTATATTTGTGGCTTCTCATTCAGTCACCGTACGCGTTGAATGGGCTTAAGTATATAAAAAGTCCTAAAACAAAAATTAAACAATTATTCAAGTTACTAATTTTTTAACTATTTATTTTTATTTAATTAAAATTTAAAATTTTTATTTTTATTTAGTTAAGTTCTTGATTGAATAAAAATAAATGATGATGGTTAATTAAAAAAAATTTTAAGTTTTTAATCTACTATTAAATTTTTTATATTTTATTATTTATTTAATTGAAGAGGATATTAAACATATAAATTTTTTTAAATTCATAAATTTTAAGTATTAACTTTAATAATATATCAATTAATTTAAAAGATAATCAATTCATTAATCAATTTTTTAAAAATAATATTTAATAATTTTAAAATTTAATATTTATAATATTTTTTATTCTCAAACTATAATAATAATAAAAAAAAACTCCAGACTCCCATCTTAAACAAAAATTGATAGGACAAAAACTTTCAGGTCTAAAAGAATAATAAGGCCTATTTTAGCGTTGCTGGTGAAAGTATTTTTGAAATTTCCTTTCAAATTAACGTTTTTATTTTTAAACTTAAAAGTAAAAAAAAAAAAAATGAATGGAGGTGCCCAACACATTACGTGGCAGGTGTAGACCACATTAACAGAGAAGAGAAAGAACTTAAGAAGTGGGATCGCATTCGCATGCGTGAATAAAGAAGCACGTGTGGACCACAAATGTGACTATTCCAAGCGTGACAATCATCAATCGCTTCATCATTTATTATTTAATTTAAATTTGATAATTTCAAATAAAATTCGATGATATAATATAAAAATAATATGAATAAAAAATATAAAAATAATAAAATTTAAAATTTTAATAAAAATTATAAATAAATTTAATAAAATTAAAATTTTATATTTTATATTTTTATATCAACATAAATTATAATACATAATTTTTATATAAATATATAAATTATTAATATTTTACATAATATAAATATACACCGCCTTCCTCAATCACTTTCACATGTTTCACGTAAACCATTAATACACATTCAATAATAAGAAACCAAAAAACCTATGAGCAACAAGACAAGGCAGGCGGCCACTGTCCTAATATAAACACGAAGCCCAAGATAAAAACACACTCTGTTACCATATAACAATGATAATGTAACGGTAATATTAGTAATAGTAATGTGAACGTGATCGACCTTATCTGATATTAGTCCATGGGGCTATGATGGCTGAATGCTGAACATTGCGATTCCGGCCTCGACGGCTGCCTTCCTACACTGGCCGGGCAGGCTGATATCCCAACCGGCGGCACCATGCAATTGTAGGACAAGCATAACGACACCGTATCGGGTAAAGCCGAACCTTGAGGTAATGGGAATCCTGATAAATAATTATGTTGTAAATACAGTGTTTTGGTGGTGCCATTGTAGACGCTCTTAACGTACTCCTCAGGGACTGATCCAATCAGATGGTTATTGTTCAAGAACAGAGTCTCGACTCCGGCCAACAACGCGGTTATTTCACCCGTGATGAAGTTGTGGCTCAAGTCCACGATGGATCCCTCGCCGTAGGATTGAATCGTGGGGTCCATCTTGATTGATGGGAGCCCACCCGATAAATTGTTCCTTTGCAGAAACAGTGAAGAGAGGGTGGGGTTCATGAAGAGTGAACTTGGGATGGGCCCACTGAATTTGTTCATACTAACGTCGAGATATACTAACTCGGTTAGTGATTCCAGGCCGTTGAGTGGACCCCACATTGAGTTCCCCGACACTGACAAGTAACGTAGAGTTGACGGCAACCTTGGCAACGGTCCACTGATGTGGTTCTTCTTCAAATCCAAGTGTAATAGCTGCGCCGACACAGTCCTGGGTAACTCGCCTGTTAACTCGTTTGAACTCAATATCAGAACTTTTAAAAATGGAAGCTTTGTAAGACCTGGTGGGATTGACCCGGTGAGTTGGTTTGAACTCAGATCGAGAGTGTGTAAGTATGGGAGAGTAGAAAAGGAGGTTGGGATGGGTCCTGTTAAGCGGTTGTTGGTCAAGGAAATGACTCGGAGACGAGTGAGCTGGCCCAGTTGGGGAGGGATAGGACCGGTGGCGAGACCAGGGAAGAGGACGAGTTGGGTTAGTTCGGTAAGGTTGGAAAGAGCAGGGGAGAGTGAGCCAGCGAGGCCAGGTGAGTTCGAGAGGCCAGTGCCGAGAGAGAGAATGGTGACTCGATTTTCAAAAGAGCAGGTGACGCCGGTGAACGATGAACAAGGATCTGGTGCGTTGAAATCCCAAGTGGAGAAGAATCTTGAGCCTGGAATGTCCGTCAAGCTGTCTCTAATGGCTGATAATGCTGCCAGATCAACGGCGCAGATCTTGGGTCGGTGCTGAAATGATAAAACAGCCTCATTGATACAAAACAGCACAAAAAGAAGAAGAAAAACTTGTGCTTGGTTATGGTGAGCCATGAACGAAATGCTGCAACGTAGCTGAATCAAGAACAAAAAAATCTAAAAAAAGATACAAATGCTTTGAAGTAAAGACAGTGGAAGAGAGAAAGGCGGTGTACGTGATTTTATTAATGAAGAAGAATATTTTATACTCGAAGTTGAATCTATCTGATTTAAATTTAATAATTTAAAATATAATATAATAATAAAATTCGATTAAATAAAAATATAAAAATAATTAATTTAAAATTTTAATAATAATTATATATAAATTTAATAAAATAAAAAAGATATATTTTATATTTTTATTAATATAATTTATGACATGTAATTTTTATATAAGATATAATATTAATATATAAATTTTAATATTTTATATGATATAAATATATAAAAATAGAGAAATCAATGTAATAATTTAATTCAAAAAATGAAAAAAAAAAAAAAAAAGAAGACAAGGTAATTATAATGGAAGTAAGTGAGCGGAGAAGGAAAATGACAGTAGAGAAGGGGGAGAGGGAGTCAGAGAAGGATAAATTTCTATTTGTTTTTGTTCCAAAATTTGTGGTTGGAATTAGTCAGATTGGCCAAATCATCGTACGGATTGAAAAACATTCTTACATATGTTACTTTTAGAGCAGCCTTTGACCCATAATCTATTTTTGATGATTTTGATGTATATTTTCCCTCTTTTAGCTTTGCCTTTTTATTTATCCTCGCACTTCGATTCTTGGATTCTCCTTTTTAAGCCGCGCATAAACAAAATGTAGTACATACTCTTTTTTTTTTTTTTTTCAAATTATAAAATGAACTAATGTATGGATTAAGAAAAAAATTAAAAAAAATAAAAATTTGATTCAAAATTATGGTGTTTAGTTTGATTTAAATTGATTTTTTTATTTGGTTTGGATCAAAATTAGATATTATATATATTAAAATTTGATCAAATTTTAAATTAAAATGTGAAAAATAAAAAAATAAAAAAACCAAATTGAATGATATATTTTTATTAGTTTTTATATTTTTTTTACATTTTTATAAAATAAAAATAATTATTTTATATATAAATCTATTTAAATATATTAAAAATTTTATTAAAATAATATAAAAATAAAAATTTTAGATAAATTAAACCAAACTAATAAAATTTTGTTTAGTTCAATTTTAAAAGAAAATGAATTTAAATTTAGATCAAATTTTAAAAATTTATAATACTATACATTATTTAAAAAAAAAATCAAATTGATTCTAACGTTATTTAAACCGTTATTATCTCTAAACTCATGTATTTTGAATATTTGATCAAAATATGGATTTCGTTTTTAAATAATAATTGTAACAAATTAACTCCTTTTACTTTCCGAAATTTAAAATTTCAATTCAAATTTGAATAAAGCTAAGATTTCATCATTAAGTTTCTAACGTAAATTTTGGAGCTCAATTCAAATTGACTTCCCCTAACTTTTGCTTGTGAAATCTTAGCATTTGAAGATGGCATTAGAAAGATAAAAGCTCGTTACCAGATGCATGCTCTTTAACAAACACTACATGCTAACAAGAGTAGCAGTCAAAAGGACCCAATCTCACCCAAGGTTGATCTTTTATTTTAAGATCAACATGCAAATTAATTTACAATATTTGAACTTCAAAAAAGAGTGATATGCCCTAGATTTCGAAATTGAAATTAATTTATTTATATAATTATTTTTAAAAATAATATTTAATAAATTTAAAATTTAAATTTGAATGCCTATAATATTATTAAGTGGATCACTAGCAGAATTTTATATTAAAGCAATAAATTTTACAAACAAAAAAAAAGACAAAGAGGAGGAGAGCAGTGCACATGGGCACATGAGGCACATCAAAGTTAATTTGGCGAGGGTATCATTTGATGGGAAAGATTGTAACTGGGTTTGGCAAAAGCATTCCTTTTCTCGCATGTCTGCTTATTCATCAATGCCCATCACCCATTATTTTGGCTCCCCAATCCCTAACTTTTTACCCCATAATTAAAATATACCTAAGTATAAAAGTACAAAATCCAACGCCGGCAGATGCAGGCAAGAATCAATATAATAAACTATAATAAATAATGACGTTTTCCTTTATTATATAATGTGTTTGGTAAGAAAAAAACAAATAATATGCGTTAGTATCGATTTATAAGAATAGAAATTTGAAATCATAAGATGAGAGATCAGTTAATAATAAAAGTTGGATTTTTTTTAATATTTATGTTTCGAGATTCAAATTAATGTTTAAAAAAAAAGAAAAAAAAACTTAAATATATATATATATATCTCGAATTGAGTTAATATAAAAATCCAATCACCATTAAAACAAGTTGAACTTACTTATTTTCTCTCTTTTCCATTTTATTTTCGACCTGATTTTTTTTTTTATTTACGTGTTAGAATGCAAACATTAAAAACACATTTTACCTTTATCTCTAATCGTTTATATTTTTTATCTTTCCAAATAAATCCTAGAATCAAAACTCTACACCAGCAGCCCCCTTCTGACTAATGGCTTACATTCTAAAATAAAATATCTACCTTGTCCCTTGAACCATAAAATGCTCCTAATAATATGGAAGGAAAAAAATTTTTTTTTCACCATATTTTTTATTTGGTAAGAGAAAAATACGAAGAGAAAAAGGAATTGGGTTTGGAATTTAAGGCAATGGTCCAAAAAGTCAATAAGCCAAGTCAGGGCAGGGCAGAGAGGATAAAAGGAGACAGTATGGGATCAAAATCATGGGTTATGATGAGTGTGGGCCAATTGGCACACATTTGCTTTCGGAGTCCAACAAAGTTATTACGACGGAGGTTTCGTCGCGCAATAGTTTGGGAGATTCTCCTTCCAATTCCCCATAGTCGGATTCCGTCACCTATACTCTTTATCCTTTTTTTTTTTTTTTTGTTCTCTTAGGTTAGTTTTTATATTTCCATTTAAAAGTACGTTATCCATCAAAAAGAATCTTTTATATAATTCCTTTTATAATTACTCTTATTAAATCTTTATAATATTATAAATACAATAGGTATCGAAAAAATATTTAAAATCTACTCAGAATTGAATTTTTCATAATATGTTAAACAATTTCATGATATAAGTTTACTATTAAAATATCAATAATTAAAATTTCCTAAATTTAGAAATTATTTTCTATTTTTTAAATTTTCATTTAAAAAAATCCATTTTCTCTTCTCCAATACCTCATGTTTTCATTTGGATAGATTGGACAAGTTATACCATGAATGTTTTGGGCTATATTTGGAGTTGGACTTTATTTTACTAATGTTTCATAGTTTTGGACATGAGATGGAATGGGTTTGGTCTTGCTTAACCTGGGCCATAACAAGCCCCAAGTGAAGTGAAACCCAATTAGCTCTTTAATTATATTTTTGAAAAAAAAAATTATAAAAGAGATTGAGAATAGAGAAGAAATTATAAGTATTAAATTTGAATATCATATTTATTAGATATTATCTCCTAATATGTATGCATGAACTATCCAAATCAATTTTTTTTTATGCATGTAATTAGTTGAATTATGAACTAAGATAAAATATCTTCCCATAAAATATCTTCCCTCTAATGAGGTGTAATTAAGATTTTAAAACCTTTAGTAAAATACAAATGCTAAAACCAATAAGGTGAGTTTAATCAAACACAGCACAAAATTTTTATTGGACTTAGAAAGGTTTGATGGGATTTTTTTAAAAATCATAATTACATTAATTTTTGTCATCGTTTTTAATTTTACCGAAATTAATTTTATCGCCTCCAATGAATCCTAAGGGTATTATCACTATTCTTTTCTTTTTCTTTTTACCTCTGATTTAAAAATGGTCTTCAAATGCAAAAAACATGGAATTTTGGTGAATTTCAAGTTTCTTTTCATGTTTATGTTTTTCATAATATTCTATATATCTCCATTATTTGCTTAATATTTTGTACATTCAAGCAAGATAATTGATTTTACTCTGTATAATTTTTATAATAGTGATCATAGATCATCAAGGAAATTTGAAGCATTTGGAATCATTTGAAATTAACTTCCTTTCAAGGTCATTTGGCTTAATTTCTAGCAATTTGTGAACAAACATTGTGGGACATTTTTTATTTTGCAAAACAGGGATAAATTGACTTACTATAATGTATGTTTATGAATTTTCTCCAAGTTATACCAGCGTAAAAATATGTGATCGACTTGAAGTAATGATTAGCTAAAATACACGTAAAAAAGAAGGCAATGGTGGTGAATATTTTAAGTTGTCAACAAATTGTTTCTAATAGAACCCATGGACAAGCAACTAAACTAATATTTTATGTATAGCTACTTGCAGTTGAATCCTTTTAAAAACATCGCTCACATTTTGTTGTTTTCTACTAATTATAATTAATTATAAGATTATAAATGAATTAAACATGAATGAATGAACGTATGTATATAGTTTGTTCGTTTATTTTATAAGTATTTCATAATAAAATAAATTTAAACAAATATAAATAAACTTTAAAATAAAATTAAGATAAAAAATAAAAATATAATTTTATTAATATTATTAAAAACAAATAGTAAATGAACAACAAATAAATAATAAATTAATAATAAATAAACAAATTTTAAACAAATTTATTCAAAAATATAAATGAATCAAATAAATTTTTATTTTTATTTAATTCATTTAATAAACGGATATAAAATTATTATTCAATATCATTTATTAAAATAATAAAAAAAACTAAATATATTCAAAAAAAGTTCGTCCTTTCATCATATACACCCATATCTAATTACCTCTCTCTCTCTCTCTCTCTCTATATATATATATATATATATATATATATATTATACATATATCTTGATTAACTTCAGTTGACGCCGTATGAATGATTACGATTTATGCATGTCATTTTCCCAACCACGTACGTAGAACTTTCGAGTCCAACACAAAGTTACTTTCGAAATTAAAAACATGTTTCCCAACATTACATTTTACATTATCAGCACTCAAATTGAAAACAGAACAGAAAGCTTATAAACACAATTCTTCATTGGAATTATTGTACATAATTTCTGCTTCAACCTTTCAGAAAAGTTATTCTCTTGCAAACTGATCCACACATGAGTCCACGACCTGAAACCATCAAAAGGAATCACCTAGTCAGTGCGAGATATCGTAATGGTTTTGCTAATGAATCTTTGTAAGAGCAAAAACCTCGACATATGACTAAAAAACAAGGTACCTTATCCTTATGCTGGACATTGGAATCCTGCAGGTGGAGTCTTGCCACAATCGATTAGGACCTGAAGGGCAATTGGTAATAGAATATTGATATTCAAGAGCTTGGCCTTGATTGTGGTGCAAAGACAAATTGCAGCATCCAAGTCCAACAGCCCTTGAAGCACGGGGCAACATGTGTCCTTTGCGCTTGTGCCTATACCAATGTGCACTAGGCCACCTAACACGTCCACACATGCACCCAGTTTGAGTGTGTCAATGGGGCATGTTTGCTTTGCCGGAGGTGGTGGGTATGGAAAGGATGGTGGTGGTGGAGGACATGGTTTCTCTTCTGGAGGTGGCTTCACAATAGGAGGACTTGGATATACAGGAGGCAGAATTGGTGGTGATATGACTGGCGGTTTTGGATAATAAGGTGTTGGGGGTTTGACGACGGGAGGTTTGGGCACATAAGGTGGCTTAGGCACCGGCACGTAGGGAGGCTTGGGTACATAAGGTGGAGGCTTGACAACGGGAGGTTTGGGTACATAAGGAGGCTTGGGTGGAAACTTTGGAGGTGGACAGTTTGGCGGAGGAGTTGGGTGAGGACATTCGGGACAAGCAAGAGAAGTGAGCAAAGCTCCCAGGTTCAGGAGCAGGATAATCAGATTGGCTAATTTATGCTTCTCCATCATCAAACTTCCTCTCCTCTCAGCTTACCGAGTGGGAATTATATGGCTTAATTTCTTTTCACCTACTCTTTCGAATGATTCTCTCTTTATATAGATCATGGCAAAGGCACACAAAAAGAAGGCAATCGACATTGCAAATGCCTTTTTCATCTAATTTATTATAGCCTTTGGCATCATTCATTGACTTCAAGAACTCCATTCGTCCGATTCTAAACCCAATTTTCAAGCTTACTTCACAATCAACTAGTGATAATGGCCCGAATACATTTGTTTTACATGACTTTTCAACTTCACAGGATAAGAGATTCGAGAACCCGAGTGCTTGATTGAGGACATTTTTAACTTGTTGTGCCCAGTTGAAGCCATTATTGGATACAATTGGCTTAATAGAGACGCCCAGGTTGGATGTGATCCTTTCACCATTCCATTTTCTTAAAAAAACTTTTGCAAGATGAGTACAAACCTCACCCAGATTTTTTTCATCGACGTAATTTACACGAACGAGAGCAAGAGCCCTGCCCTGGATAATACCACTGAGCCATGTCGGTCAGAAATGTACAAAGAATTTGTCCATATCAAGCATAGGGTAACAGATTTTTTTCTTATTGTTTGCCTAAAATTTTCCACTTACTGTAAATGTCTAGTTGCCTAAAAAGATTGATGGTGATTTATTCTACTGTCATATTTCCGACAGAGTGGTGCATAATGGACCATCGAATTAAAGCAGAACATTTAGAGTAACCCCACAAAGATCTTCATTGTTTTAGCACTATATTCCCTTGTCAAAATCAGCTTCACTGTTTTCTACAATCTATGGCTGATTCCCCTTGACAATTTGTACATGTTCAGACTTCAGAGCAGAGAGAAGCAGGAGACAGATAAGATCAAATCTTGTGGTTCAACAGTTAATAGACTTGCAATGACCAACTATCAAGTCACTAATTTCAATCAAATTAACCAATCATTACATCGTTTTTCTCACACTTTTTGGACCTCAGACAACGGTGCGCGTGCTTGAAAAGAAGGAAAAGAAAGAAAGATAAGCTCTCATCTCTGCAATCATATCGTGTTCTTGATTTCCACAAAGAACATTCCTATTTAATTCGTGAGGTAAAAGTAATTAAAACACATCCCATTTTTGGCCTCAGTTTTTTCGAGGAGATCACTTTTTTTTTTCTTTTGTACATCTAATATTAGGTTTGAATTCAAACTTCTATCATACCAGCACATGAATTAGACCATACCACACAAAGTACAGAGAAGCAATAACTTTTTGTACTAATCAGAATCATTCAGGTGGAAGGGAAAAAAGAGTGGCCCCTCAAACCCTTTGTTGGATCAGTTCCTGAACTGTTTGCAAAACCCTGTGAGTTGTTGAAAAAGGGACCAGAAACTGATTGAAATGACGTTTGGGACATTCTTGTGTTGTATAAGTGTTGGTTCCATTCCATGAATTGCAGAATCACTTCCACCCTGAATTTGGCCTTTATCTTTTCCAACCAAAAATACAAAAAACTTATGGAGTACCATATCACCTGAACAAAATCATTGCCGACTGCTACTGCCCTGTCCTACAGCTTATAAAAAAGGCTATGGAGTACCGTATTCACATTATTTTCTATCTCAAAGTATTGTAGGTTTTCGTTTATACATTATGATATCATACAAAACATAAATTACCCAGGATAAGTTACACATCATATAAAATATACTATCCTTTAAACTCTATCCTTTTCATAGGAGCAAGAAAACAAGCCAACAATTTCCAGCTAAGTAGTTCAACAGCCGAACTGCGACCTCTAAATAGAATCACATCTAACAAAAAAGTGCAGGTTCTAACTCCTCTTAAACAGTCTTTTAAATTGCTCTTTCTGTCTTGGATAATCAACTGTAGCTGAACTGGCACTTGTCAAAACCTGTCATATTTCCATTGCAAGAATGTTACTAACATTGAGCAATGTGTATATTGTAAAGTTAAGTTGTTCTAAGATTTTTATTTGCATATTGGAAAGTATAGATTATGATATTAAATCGAACTTACTGGGACCAACAGTAACAAGCATGGCAGTTCCTCCAAAGTCACTAAGTGCCACCACTCCCCTTTGTATTTTGCCAGTAGCTGTCGAAAGCATATGAAGCATGTGCGATCAATGTATAGGGTTGAAAGCAGGCCTCGTTGGGCTGAATTGTCTTGCAATCTGCAACAGAACCACATGCATAATCCATGGCTGCTTGGGTTGTTGACTCAGGCACTGTCGGCTTAGCGACATACCAAACACCAGACTGTGACCCTGGAGCAGATGCTTTGGGGGGCTGGGAACATATTTTGGTGGGCTCGGCTAATGTTAAGGGGGACTGGGAAAATGCTAGGTGGACTGAACCCATGTTCAGGAAAATTTACCGGGGGGATCCGGATGTATGTGTAGCCAGTCCGTAGCTCATTGGAGAGGGTGGAAGGTAATTGTGGGGTAAACTGCTGGTGTTGATACAAGGGAGGATAGTGATAAGGCTGAGGAAGGGAGTGATAGTGAGTCAAAAGGAGGTAGATAAAAAGGTGAGTTTATGATATAAATAAATACATAATATATATATATATTTATACGGATCAACGTTGTAATTGACTCGATTTATTATTTTTAGCTTGATAATCAATTCGCTAATTGGACTTTTCTGGAGCTATGAGCCTTGGTGCATCTATATTTGAACCATAATTCTGACATCTAATAGAAATGAAAACAAAAGACGCGACAATAATGAACTGCAACGAATAACACCCTAACAAATTAGATTCAACCTTGGAGATTCATTAAAAACTTGGAACTGAATTTAACTAAAAAAGAGAAAATAAAGGAATATATAATTAGAAGGAATTTACATAACACAGTGAGTGAAGAGGGGTGGCTAGAATGGAAATGCATCCGACTGAATTGAGCAATCTTAAACAGTTCCCACTTGACTCCATGGCTCTAAGCCAAGCTTGAGAATACTAACTGATATGTGCAACTCTTTGGGGATGAACTCGGCGTTCAACTACAGGGTGTTAACAGGGAAAGGGAGAATGGAGCAAAAGAAGATGACCAGAAAGCGGAATTGTCGCATTCTAACAGATGTGCTACTGCAATGCTAGGAACAAAAGGAGAGCATTTGTAATTTTAGCTTTTCAGAGTATATGCTTGCCTGAAAATGGAGGAAAATAGGGGAAAAAACTGAGGTCTTGCACTTTGTTTTCTTGCTGTCTACTCTTAAGTCAATTTAAGAACACTTGTCTGATATTCTCTGATCTAGAATCCCAGAAAACATGCTGCGAAAAGATTCAAGTAAACAATGGATACAGTTCAACAGTGCATCTCCTACATGCTGCCTCAAATTAGCATAATAGTTATACGCTGTCTTTGGTGCATTTGAAGTTCATGGTTATGACATTTTCCCCAAATATAAGGACAAAGATTCAGGAGCATCCATGGATCTACAACTTACCAACATTTTCATAATGCCAATACCACGGTAGGGAATTGCAAGAAACTTACCAATTTAATAAAATGCAAAAAAACAGGTTACAAACGTAATACCAAAGTTTTCTAAAGCTGTTCTAACTCAACTGATAATATGAGAACAAAAAATTAATGTTTCTAACAAGTCAAATGGCAAAACACAGTCCTCAAAACAGCAACCCTACTTCTTGTCTTCTTTCTCAGCGTCAGCAGCCTTCTTCAATCTGGCACCAATATGGCGCTTATTCATACGTTCAACTCGAAGCTTGTTATAGGCCTTGAATGACTTCATCTCCTCTGTGACCTTCACCAGCTCAACAGAAGGTTTCTCACGAGAAATAGGCATGTATGGTCCTTGGACTTGGGTTGCCGTTGCAAGCTCCTCAGCAGTAGAATCACCAGCCTACGGGAACACAGAACAAACAACATTAAAAACACCAAAGAAGATAAAGGATTTAACAATTTGGCCTTGTCATACCTTAAACTTGCGAGCACGTCTTGGGAAGACAACAAGTTTGGCCTTATAAGTCTTAAGCCTCTGAACATTGGCTTGAAGACCTTCAAGAGATCGATTCTTACGTCGGTGATCAACAGCAATACCGATGGTAGGTGCAAGTTTCTTCGAAATACCGGCAGCCTGGTCATAGAAGAAGTTGAGTGCCGCATTCAATAAAACCACATACAAATTACATCAAGATGGGAAGTCACATATTATCTAACATATCTGCTATACGGATCCATCTACACACTTATAAAAGCACCAATATGATTCATTATTCCTTTTTCCTTTACTTAACTGTCAATGAGGGTGTAAATAACATTTAAACTTTATCACTTAATCACATGCAGAGCACCAAAATATTTCTTCAAATCTACACCAAGGTTGCTACAACTACTGAGTGAAAGATCAAGGCTTTCTAAACATAACCCAAAATTTGAGAAAACAAAAGCACATGCCTTAAGCTCTTCAAGAGTGAATCCCTTGCCAGCTCTCAACTTCATGTTGTACTTCAAGGTCTGGCCATGGACAATAGGGCGAAGAGGTCCAGCAGTTGGCCTTGGAAAGGTCTTTACAGCCTTCTTTTGCCTGGCTGCAAACCCAAAGCCACAATCACACATCAATTTCAGCCACTCAACGAACATTATTTTACAAAAACAAAAAAGAAAAAACCGAAACTAAAAAACCCACCAATTCTTCTTCTAGCCTTTCTTGCTGGCTGATTGAACCAAGTTTTCACATAGTTCTGCCAATGCTTCCTAAAATGGCCGTTTGGCACAACATTGTTATGCTTAACCATGGCTTACCTGTAATTTCAATATAAAAACAAACCAAAAATGTCAAGCGATTCAAAACAATCAGAAAAGAAAATTGCGGAGAAGAAATGAAAGGAAAGCAACGGAGCACCTTCGGCTGCAACGCTAACTAGAGAGAAACAGAGAGAGGAAGATTGGCGCAAAGAGGAACCAGCCCTAAGCCCTCCTTTTAGGGTTTTTCTGGACAATGGGTAATTTAGATGGTCCCTCCGTTTTTGATCTGACGGCTATTCATCAACCGTTTGCAATCGGACGGTGTATAATGTATATTCGAAACAAAAGTGGGTCAATATTGTGGAACTCAAAAGAGATGAATTACCAAAAAGGATGAATATAAAAAAATAATAATAAAATTGATACTACTTCCAAATAAAAAATTAAAAATAACATAATATCTATAGACTTAATCTTCTTTTTTTTTTTTTATTTCATAACGTATTTTGTCTTTTTGTTTTTTATACATGTGATTTGAGTTACACAACGAGATATAACCATATGTTTTTCTACTTTTTTTTTTTGCTTTGGTGACTCAAAAGGTTTTTGTCCTGGGCATAGTTAGTAACGAATAAATACATCGTTTCATATATTTATATCATATAACATATTAAAAATTATGTATTTATATATTTTTTTTAAATAAAACTCAAGTGTCATATTTATATAAATATAAAATAATTTTTTGATTTTTATAAAATTTATATAAATTATTATTAAAATTTTAAATCATATTATTTTTATATTTTATTTTTATATAATATTAATATATTATATTTTATCAATAAATAGTTGATTTAATTCGTTAAAGCTCGTTCTCTTCGAAGAAAAAATTTTAAGTTCGAATATTATCGATGATCACTTATTAAAATCATCTCGAATGTATGATTTGTAATCATTTATTTTAAAATATCAATACGATACATTTTATTCTAATTTAAAAGATTGAATAATCTATCTATTTTAAATTTTTTTTACTAAAAATATATATTTATATTTTAAATTATCAAATTTAATAATAAAAATTTCTAATCATCTCGTTTGAAAGTAAAACTAATGTCGTTATCCAATGTGAGTGACCAATCTATAAATTCTAGCATTAATGAGCAATGAAGTCAAGCAAGTTAAAATTCCTCAACTAAGCCACTCTCGAAATATTGCCAACTTGGGCTATTGAGCACCACAGGCTAAATCAATGGGCTGCTTGCCTAGGCTTCTGAAAATCGCTCGTATCAAAAGCGTAGATTTAGTGCCCAGATTCTCACGCATTTTGGATGCAGCACGATTGAATTTATTGTATTATTAATTAAATTTAAATATTAATTTTAATAAAATTTATTTAATATAAATTTTTTATAAAAAATTATTTTTAATCATAATTATAATAATTATAATTTTTATTACTGTTTTTAATTTTATTATAATTAATCTTACCGTTCATCGTTATAAAATCATGCACCGTTTGAAATTATAATGAATTGAAACTTTATCAAAGGAATTGTAGTAAAAGGAAAAAAAAAAAAAAAAAAGAATTTGTATAAGACAACTTTAAGCCCATACAGCCAGGAGAGACATAAGACGAGACCCAAGAAGAAGAAAGACACTGACGCCTGCTTGAAGTATTCCATTGTTTTGCAACTTTGGGCTCATGAAAGCAGCAGCCAGAAGATCCACAAGCGCCATATATATTAAGATCCCAGCTGATGCTGCGTCGAATATCCCTTCAACAATGAGAGCCATGGGGCTGCTCTCATTGTATGTATTTGATATTCCTATTCCTATAGCGATTCCAACTGGGGTTGTGAGAGAGAAAAAGAGTGCCATAATTGCAGAAGATCGAGACTTGAATTTTGCCTACAAAAACATTGAATAATTTGGTCTACTTCAATATTACTAATAATAAAGGTATTTATATATCGAGTCGAATTCATATTTGATATTAATAATTTATATTATTTAGATTCAAATCAAATTTGAATTTTAAAAATTATGTCTAAATCCATTTAATGAATTTTAATTTTTTTATCTAAATTTTTTTAAAATTTAGATAAATCTTTAAAATTAAACAGATAACTCGACTCTTGAACAAATCTAATTAATATTATCTCAAAATTTTTCAAAGGCTGTTAAGAAGGCAGGATATATTACTTGGGCAATGCATCCACCAAGTCCCATGCCCTCAAAGAACTGATGAAGGTGAGTGCAACAACCAAAGGTTTTATAGTCTTTGGACTCTCAGAAGCACCCAATGATATCCCTATTATCACAGAGTGAACCACTATTCCCAACTCCAAAACCTTCAAACCATCATGTGTAATATCAGATTAATTTCATGATATTGAAATTTGATCAAAAGAAAAGAATTCGAAATTTCATGATATTGGAAGTACCTGTGATACTACTCGGTGTCGAAGAAGCTCAGATGAACCTGAATGCTCAAGCATAGAAAGCGAACCATGAGCATGGCCATGAGTTGCATGAGTATGAACATGTACGAGATTTTCATCATTTTCCCCAGTTTGCTCTTCATTGCCGTCAACCTGTTGGGTCTTATTTAAGTGGGTCTTGGTGTAATGAGAAGTAGCAAGCACATCAACCATCAACGTAGCAATGGCAGAGGCCATAGCCACCAATCCAGCGAACGGAAACTTCCCCCAAGGATTTTCATTGAGGCAAGGGGATGTCAATCTGTCAGTAGCATCAGGAAGGACATGGATAAACCCTGTTGACAATATCACACCCGCAGCAAAGGCTTTGATTAAGAAGAAAACATTCTCTTCGGGACGTAAAGCCTTGATCCTTTTCCCAAGCAGAGGAAAGCAAACCCCAATGGCTCCAGCAACAAGAATCGAAGCAATAGCAACCATCTTGTATTTGAGCGCCAAAGTCTTGTTGCGATCTCCACCTTCAGGGTCACACGTGCACCCTCCTTTTACTAGGGAAGGAAGTAGGATAAGAAAGCAGCCAAGAAATGTCAAAAGCTGAGTTTGTTTAAACTTGATCATGGCTGCAAGCCTGCAACTGCAAAATGAATCCGATTGAGGGTAAAGAAAATGCAATGTTTTTATATATGGGAAACTAGGCAAAGTCAACTGAAATCATTGTGCCCCAATGATGTGGACTTCCTATGCAGTTTTTGGCGACATTATCAGTTCGAAAGCCGTCAACCAAACGAAAAAAGAGCAATGTTTATGATTCTTGAGTAGGACATGGATGATTTGATCAACTGATAATGAAGATTAAACAATCTGTTGCACGGTATTTGTAAATTATGAGTTCATTTTCAATATAATAGTTGTACTTTCAACAGATTCCCTGAATTAAAAATGCAAATTTTAGAGATAACAACGAATGAAGACTTTGGTTTTAGATCTAGGGAACAGCTAATGGTGTTCAAAGAATGTCGACATAACAACCAATTAAAAAGAATTTTCAAAGCTTTCCCATTGCCAACACCAAGCTTAAATTTGTAAAATTCAAACAAAATGTTTATATTCATGTGGAGATTTTTTATTTTTGGCAAGAAGATGCTGATATACTTGCAGACGTAAATGCCTAATATGATATTCCTCCAAAGGCATCTATCTGTCCATTTCCTTACAGGATAAACAAGGAAAATTGTAACTATCTTTTCATCTCTACTGTATGCCTGTGTGATGACATTGTTATATTAATGCATTTTATATATAATTATTGCATAAATTATTAAAGCTGGTGATTAATTTAACAAAATGGCACTTGATATCTTCGAAGGGAACCCTTAATAGGTCAAATTTGAAACTTTCAACTATAAACTTTTCTGTTCTTACTTTTGAAAGCTACGAGAAGCGAGGAAGCAGTATTTCCAAGAGAGCTAAGAGGCCGAGGAATTTTATGAACTTTGGAGCAGCAACTCCTCAGTTTAGAAAGCTTATATCAATTTCCTTATTTGTCATAATGATTATGGCACCCAAATCGCAACAAGTGGCAAGATTCATGCAAATCGGCCCCTGAATTTGTCTTCAGGAGTTCAAGTGCATGCTATCAGTTCAGACAAACATATATATATATATATATATTATATTTATTTATAAATATAATACCATCTGATAAAAGAATTTTGTTTTCAAAATATGTCATTCTATATTAGTAAACTATACAATAACTATTCATTAAGAAAAAGTTTACAAAATCTGTCATCCTTTATCTTCAGGCTGCACAACCGCCTTTGTACAAAAAAAAATATGAATAAGGCTCAGTTCTAGATGTAATAAAAAAAACCATGCTTATCCTGCATGTGAGATCGAAAAGTTGTATAACCCCTTGCATCTTACAACTTAGATGACAAGAACAGGGAAGCTCCAAGGCAAAAACTGGTGGGACAGCAATTTCAGGTATGACTGGGAGACAACTTTTCTGCCCAACATAGAAACATGGGTAAAAAAATTAGGAAAGAAAAGGCTTTCTACTCAAGGGCCTGGCTCGATTTAGCTATAACATCAACATATCACACATTCCACAGCTACCATTTACTACTTTACGGTACCCTAAAGTAGTAAACAGGAATCTGCAAGCATGCAGAAACAAATTTATTTCTTTTCTTTTTCATTTTTCTTGTCTTTCTCGTCGTCATAATATTCTTCATCATCGTAGTATTCCTCCTCCTCATCATCATCATAATCATCATCATCATCGTAATAATACTCTTCGTCTTCTTCACCCTCACCGTTTTGCAGCAGATATGTGGAATCCCTTGATTGCTGCCCCCTCAACCGCTCCTGGATTCGATCTCTGATTGCAGTGCCCTGAAAAGCATCCAAAGTTCTCAAGTGAGGGCAACATAATCATCCATTACATTCGTGAAATTTTTATATGCATGAACTTATCTTTACTATCTAAATAGAATATTAGATATGCTCACCATTTTGTGGCAACCTTCTTCGAACATTTCAAGAAATCCAGCAACCCAGCGGTCAGCATTTTCCAACCACGCATTACGATAAATGGCAACAGTTTGTATCTGTGAGTATTGTCGGGTAAGATTAGTGAATTATATTAAGCTACTGACAAGGTTAGGAAAAAAAGAAAAATGGGATGTAGAACAATAAAAACAAACCACCGTGAGCTGAAAAAGCATTCCAGATCCAGGGTAAATGGCACCTTGTCACGTACATGTGTACACTACATATACATACATACATACATATATGTATACACACACACACACACACACACATATAAAACAAATGAGGGAATGGTCATTAAACTAGATATTCATGTCATGAGAGTGGACACACACACACACACACACACACACACACAAACATATATAAAACAAATGAGGGAATGGTCATTAAACTAGATATTCATGTCATGAGAGTGGACACACACACATATATAAAACAAATGAGGGAATGGTCATTAAACTAGATAGTCATGTCATGAGAGTGGACATACCCTTTCTCCTACTTTTTCTTGGTGTTCCTTTACTTTTTCATGTAGTTTCTTCAGTCTCATGTTCACTCTCAATCTCTTTTCCTGTTTACATTAATGGGAACATCAACAAAGAAGCACTATTAAGAAAAACAAGACATTCAAGACAGAGACCATACCTTCACATAGCTAACTCCAAGCTCTTTCCTTGAATATCCTCGGTCCAAGTTACGAAGCACATACTGGTTATAATCTTTAACAATTCTCATTATAATATCTGACGTAGAAATCCCATCAGTTCGTTTTGTTTCCTTGAACTTCCCAGCAGCTTTAACCTGAGAACAATAACTTGCTTAATATAACACAAAGTTTAAAAAAGCACCTTATGTAATAAGTGCGAAGAATTGTCTCAATAAACTTACAAACTCGTACACATCGTTCCCAGCTCCACTGGCATCAGCATAGCTGTAAAAGGTTTATGGCAAATTATAATGACTGCATGAATAGCTGAATGCCACGTATTTATATATTTATCAGGAACTATAAGTTAACAGGAGAAAGGACTCGAAAGACACGGGAAAAGTATGAGAAAAATATAGTAGTTTTCGATATATATATATATATATATATGTATCTTTCTTAACAATGCAGCATTCACCATGAATAAATTAGTCCCAAAGAAAGAATAGTCTATCCTTACGGAAGTGAGTCATGAGCCACATAGTCAATTTTGTGTTTATCTAGAAATTCTTGATTGATCACCCATGGAGCATCAGGAATGACTTCATCAACCCACCTGTAATAAATGAATAACAAAAGCCCTTCAATGAAGCTCTTGATAGCAATATAGTTAACTCACTCAAATTTATAAATTAAAATGAAAAATCTCATAAAATTTATAATCAACGTTCCATTTGGTTGCGGCCTTTACTACTTCGAATTTACTTCCTAAAAAGCAATAATTGATTAAAAGTGAACAAATAACACAACATCAATTCTAACATAATTATTCTGTACAAAAGTAAAACTATGCATTATCCAAAGGTGTTAGGAATAATGACCAAAATCTCATAGTAGATCTGTTTGGGATTTGTTAGAGATTTTTTTGAGATTGGCCAAATATTGTTTGATGGACGAGAAGACTTGAAAAAGAAGAATTTTAAAAGGAAAGAGATTCTTAATAGGCAAGTTTGACTTGCAGAAGAAGAATTCTAAGAGAAAAAAGATTTTTAGTAGGCAAGTTTGTATAGTTATAAATAGGTAAAGTCTCTACAGAGTTAGGCATGAGAAAAAAATGTAAGAGAGTAGGGTTTTATAGGTAGGCACCCCATAAGATTACTGAAGATTTACGTCTTATAAGTGTGTATGTTTGTTTGTATGTGGACTAGAGAAGACTAAGATGGTCCACATAAGTATGTTGAAAGAGTGGACATGGTTTATAGGATTAGAGGAGATTGAGAGTGTCTTATGAGTATTGATTGTTGAGTGAGGTTGATAATTTGATTTGTATGTCTATAATTCTCTACAACTAGTGAATCTTATTTCTTATCCGTGTACGTAAGTCAATTAGACCGAATCACATTAAATTATTATCTCTTGTGTGATTTATCGATTGTTTGATTAAATTTCTGCTGTCATGATTAGATTGGGGGTTTTTGCCCAACAAAAGGGACATTTTGCTTTTCACTCTCAAAAGCAAAACTCAAGCAGCAAAAGCAACAACCAAACTCAAACTGTACCTCAAAGGAGCATCCTAGGTGAAATGTTTTTCCTTTAATGTTTTCCAGTGCAACAACTAGAAAAGGTTGAGACTTGAGAGTTATAGGAAGAAGTAATACTTGCAATGGCGAAGGGATTCGTAACGCTCTGCTTCGTTCATAACAGTTTTGCCCTTGTACTTATGGGTTGTTTCGTCATTGCAACATCCAACCAGCAAATACGTATCGGGAAACCTGGAATTTCACAAAATTAAATCACATAATCAGATAAAAAAAAAAAAGGCAAGCAGTATCGCTTAAGCAACATCAAGAAATAATGTTTCTGAAACAAATAAACAAATATCTCACACATGAAATAAAACCACAAATGAAAATTTTTGAAGAAACCCATTAATCACCAGGGATTTCTAAAGATGAGAAAAGAATGCAGATCAAACATGGGAAAAAACAATAAGAGGGGAGGAAAACAGACGATTTCTTGGCTTGTTCGAGGGAGCGAGCGTGGCCAAAGTGGAAGAGGTCGTAGATCCCATCGGCGTAGACACGGACAAGGCGATGGGAATCGCTGATGTCGTCGTTGTTAGTAGTAGAGGGGCCGTTGTTCATGGTGGAGATTTTGGACTTTAGCAAAATTTTGACAGTTTTATTTCTTTTGTCTCATTATAATCTGGATCACTGCTTTTCTCTCAAGATAAAGGAATGGCCTTCCAACAGCCCCCGGTCATGGCGTCTCAACCTTCGATTGCGCGCTTCTTCCGCTTCTATTTTTGTAGTGTCAATTTTTTTTTTCTTCGTCTATTTCCTTTGTGTTGTCATGAAGTCTTAATTATGTCACACTCTTCAGGAAAACGCCTTTTTTTGGTCCAATGAAGAGGCTTTTTATTAAAAAATAAACAAATAAATAATTGGTCCCGCTCTTAGGAAAAAAATTAATGCTGCGGCAAACAAAAATAGATGAGATATTAATATGGATAATACCACGTTTGACTCTTAAATTATTATATTTTTAATATGATATTTAAATAAAAAAATTTTAATTAGGTACATAAATTTTATTTTTGTATATTAAATTAACTCAAATTTTTAATATAATTAAAATAATATTAATATAATATTTAAATATTGATATAAATAACACGTGATTATCTATGATATGAGATAATTTAATGATCAAATGACATTTTATCTCATAATAATACATTCACATATATTTTATTTTATAAATAAAAACTATATAAATATTTATTTTTTAAAATTTTTTATTTTATTTTGTTCTTATTTTTATTTATGTGTATGAAATTTATGTAGTAATTATGTGTATATAATTTTTTAAATAAAATAATTAAAATAAAACTAAGAAATAAAAGGCTATAATAATGTGTATATGGTAATTATGTGTATCCACAGAGGGCTAGACCTATCCATCGATTAAGCAATCAGTCAAATTCGTAAGTTTGACTTAATTTGAATTAAACCTATTAAAAGTAAAGTGGTTTGTCCAAATTTAAAAGTTCATCTAAATTTTTAAAAAAAGTTTTAACAAAAAATTAAAATTTATTAAATGAATTTGAAGACAATTTTTAAGTTTGTTTAAATTTTAAATTGAACATTGATCAAAAAATTTAAAGCTTGAACCAACTTAATCCAGTCTAAATTCACATTTATATATATTTTACTTTTATATATATATATTATATAAATTAATTCATATAAATATAAATTAAAAATAAAAATTATATACATTTTATTAAACTTAATTTATATTTTTAATTTCTATATATATATATAAATTAAATATAATCTCATTAAATTTAATTTAATCATATATTTTTATTTTTTATTATATAAATCAAATTTAATGAATGAATTTATGATTATTTTTTTGATATCAAATTTCAAGTCATATTGAATTTAAACAAATATATAAAACTATCAATATCAAATATGAATTCGATTCAAAACTAACTTAACCTAACCTATGAACAACTTTAATTTGTATTCACCTAATCTATTATTTTTTCGTATCATTAAAAATATCATAATTGGTAATTTTATTTCGATACCAATCATACTGGTCAATACACTTTAATTCTATCAAAATATGGTATATCTAAAGATATTCTTCATTCCGAATTTGTTATCGGATAATATCAATTGTTTTAGTTGGTTTTGGTAAATTTTGATGGATTAATGTATTTTGGTCAATATGTAAATGTGAAACATATTTAGTAATTTTTATATTTTTTTTGTTATTTGATTATTTTTAACCTAATAAAAATAAAATTAATTGATAAAATAACTCTTAAAAATTGAGTTTTTTTTTTATTTTTTATTATAACTTGTTTTTTTATGTTTTATTTTTTCAAACTAAAGTTTATAAGCATTTCAATCTCTTTAAAACAGGTAATTGTATTATCTTTTCAAAGTTTAACAATCTTGAAATTAAGATTAATTTTTCATTTTTTTTATTTTTATCTTAATATTTATATAAAAATATTTATTTAAATATCATATAATCAAATTAAATATTAAAAAATATCATAAAATTTTTATGATATTATTTTTATTTTTTAAACTTATATATTTAATTTTTAAAAATATTATATATTTATTTTGTAAATTATTAATAATATTATAATATATAAATTTATATATATTTATACTAAATAAAAAATTTTAAAATAATATATTCGAAACCACTAACATCAACATATACCATATCTAAAAAAAATCAATATGATTCGATATTAACAAACGTGACAAATATACCGACATCATAAGTTAACATCATATAGAAAGAAGCATACATATACAGTAACAACTAACAACTCCCATTGATCAAATCCAAATGAATATGCTCTATTGTGAACTCCAAGTCATTTTCAATCTTTTGAGAGTCTTGATTAGCTGCTACCTGCCAAATTGGAAAATGCAATTTGGGTTGTGAATTGCGCTTAAAGCTTTCGCATCACTTAAAAAATACGACATAAAAACTAGATAAAAATATGGTAAAAAATATAAAATAATATAATTTAAAATTTTAATAATAATTATATATAAATTTAATTAAAAATATATATTTCATATTAATATAAATTATAATATATAATTTTAAATAAAAAATTTAATATAAATACATAAATTCAAATATTTTATATAATATAAATATACGAATCGTTACGTTTAACTTGATCAATTAGGTCTTAAAGGCAAGCTTAGGCAAATCTATAAGAAAAACAACATTTTGAGTTGGGTTGACTTGAGTTTAAAAGGCGTTACCGACAAGAGTATGATCCATAGACAATTAATTCTAAACAAGGTTATTGATAGATTTTAATTTAAAAAATTTCTTATCAATAGGATAACTTTAAAACTTTAGAGACAAATTGGTACTACTAATTAAATTAAAGCCAAGATTATCCCAATAATATAAGATACCATAACTAAAGTTGAAAAGAAAAAAAATGATCGGATATATAAAAAAAAAATAGGAGCTTCTCATGTTTAAATAAATTGCTTGATGATCCTTGCTTGTAATTGGGCCAATAATGCTCGCACTTGAACCATTACAATGACTAATGTCTATGATATAATATCATATGTTAAGTTTAGATTTAGATTTCATCTAATTTTTTATGTGGTATGATTGAATTGATGATATCATCAGTTGAATTCAAATATTAATTTTAGTAAGATTAATTCAATTTATTTCTTTTGTTAAAATTTGTTTAAAGTTATAATAATAATAATTATTATTATTTTTAATTTTATCAAAAATAAATTTAATCAATCGCAAAACCTAAATTTATCAATAATAAAGGGTTGGTTCAATTAGCAAAAATTATTTATTTTGATGTAGAAATCTTAAATTTGAGTTCAACTAATGATTTATTATAAAAATCAACTTGAATATACTATCTTTAATCATTATTTTTTTTATTGTCAAATTTGAAAAATTAAATAATTTAACATGATGTGAAAAATTGAATAACTTATATATTTCTAAATTTTTAGTAAAAAAAAAAAATTTGGATTGGTCTGATTTTGACTGCTGTGACAATTGTAATTTTGACGTATTAACTTTCATCAGAATTTAAGATGGGGAGTTATATTTTTTTTCTCAAATCTTAATTAAAAAAATTAAAATTCAAATATTTTAAATTTACAAAAACTTAAAATTAAAAATTAAATAATTTATCAACGAATCATGCGAAAATTATGAATTTTATAAGACATAAGCAGGACTTGCTTCTGATGGATAAGTTCAAGTCCACATTAAAATTATTAACATCAAAGTGGTCAAGATGATCAATCAGACTTTGAACAAGCGGCGCATGAAGCATACTCTAAATTTCAAAATAAAAATACACGTGTTTGACATGATCTGATTACTGTAATAATGTTGAAATCAAAGTTGCACTCAATAATTTCTTTTACCAATTAAAGATTGATTTTTTTTTTAATTTCAAATTTGCAAAGATAATTAGCCTAAATTTGACTTTGTCAATTGCATTTTCTCTCTTTTTTTTTTTTTCTATGTCGATTGGGTCCCATTACATGCTCAGATTCATCCCCTCTTGCCAACCCATGTCACACTCATTTCTGTCCTTTTCTATCAAATTTTGAATTTCCATGTCCCCTGTCTCTTTTTTTTTTTGGTTTTTTTTATTTGAACCTATGAATGTGATCACAGAATTTCCCCTATTTACCGGCATCTTTAACCTTCTGTTCCAAATTCCTGCCATTGAAATTTAGTTTCAATGATTTGTAATTTTATATTATATTTTTATCGTATTATAATTTATGTTAATATAAAAATATAAAAAATATATTTTTTAATTTTATTAAATTAAACCTTAAAGCAGCTTAAAATTATTTTCTTTCTACTTGGATGAATTTGGATTAAAAAGTACATTTAAAAGTAACAAAGAAATATTAAAGTATTTACTTTGATAAATGATGTAAGTATCTTTATTAAAAAATCAAATTGTATTTTATTTTTTAATAAAATGAATGAATAATAATAGTAGATTTTAAAATTAAGAATGATCATGAATATAAGATTGAACTTATTTAGTTTATTTAATTATTTTTTAAAAATAATATTTAATAAATTTAAAATCTATATTTTAACATATGTAATAATCTTTTGATTATTCTCATATACAATCTCTTTAAAAAAAAAGTAATAATCAAAGAGATAATATGACTTTTCAATCTATAAATGGATTCTAGATTTTTTTTTTTCATTTGATAGATCTATTTATGTATTTATATTATATAAAATATTAAAATTTATATAATTATATAATATTTTATATAAAAATTAAGTGTCGTATTTATCTTATATTATTTTATTTAAAATTTATATAAAAATTATGTGTCGTATTTATCTTAGGTACTGTATTTTAGATTAATAAATCTTGTCGTATTTATCTTAGGTACTGTATTTTAGATTAATAAATCTGGTCACGTTTTCCTTTGAGTCACATCGGTTTTGAATTTTATTCGGTTCGGTATACATATAATCTAAAGAAAGTGTAATCTCACCCGAAAGCTTACATGTAGAATCTGCACAGCTGGATTGCATACAGAATGTTAGATACCTTTTTTTTTTTCCCAAAAGGATGAAGAAAAGAAATAAAACTATAGCAAATATCATATGATTTTAAATTCAAAGTTTAATTTTAAAAAAAATACATTCAACCATGGTTGTAAAAAAAAAAAAATTCATATGGATTTTTTAGCTGAAATTAGATCGATGTGTTCCTTGTTTCAACAAATTCGCTTAAACAATTCCCACACTAGGATAAACATTGTCATTAAAAAACAAGGAAAAAAAAAGGTATAATTAAGACAAATATTTACATTGGTCAATTGTTTGTTTCTCCCTAAGACAAGTCAGTAGCTAACTTTCTCCTTCATGTCCTTCTGAAGGTATGAATGGAGGGTAACTCCTATTCCCAATGGAGGAAGTTGTTTCTAGGAGGAACCTGAGAGGAAACGCCCTCCAGAACAAACCCTTCGGACCCAGCTTCCATGTTCGGCCTAGGGTTCCCTCCAAGTCTTTGAAGGAAAAGGTCCCCAGCCCCTTGATTATTATTGCTGTTCAATGAAAACATGTACGGATGGTTTTGGTGCTGGAACTGAGGCTGCTGCTGCTGCTGCTGCTGTTGTTGTTGATATTGCAAATGGAATCCAGCAGGAGGAACCATCAGAGAACCAGGGTTAACATGGGGTTGACGTCCTCCAAAACCGAACCCAAAATTTGGACCACCAGGGTGAGCGCCTGCAACAAAAGGAGCACTAGGACCACCAGTGAATTGTTGAACCATGGCTCGGAAATTTGTAGTATCCGTGTTGAGCAAGGTAGTAGGGGTTCGCCTTGAAGCCCTCGATCGTCTTCGAACTGTCTTCCCAACGCGGCCTTCGGGACTCAAATGGCCACCACTTGAACTAGCCGGTGCGCTGCTCGAGGTGATCGTACTACTAACCACAGTGGCTTCCGAACCCTGATCACCAAACACTGAACGATTCGATGATATTGGTTGATCAGAAAGATTTAGCTGGTAAAATTGTGGCCACTCAGGAGGACTAGACATGGTTTCAGCACATGTGATGTGCAGGGGACAAAGAGAAATGGGATAAGAAAAAGAAAAGAACAGTTAGTAGGTAAGCTAAAAATAGTGAGAGAGCGTAAGTTACGTTGATGGTATTTATGGTGGATTCAACGTGGTCAAAGGAAGAATATTGGGAAAATCATGGCCGTTGATTTTTGTTAAAGTAAGTTGGATTGAACGGCAAGTGACATGCTACAATACCCACGTCAGCTTTGGGTTGGTGGCCATTGTTGACTTTTTGGAGTCTTCAAAGATGTACTGTCCTTCTCCTTTGTTCTTTTTCACGGAAACATCCTACCCTAGTTCCTTCTCATTTTTGCGATGTTATAAATAATAATAATATTATTATATTAATATAACTCGTATATTTTTAAATTTTTAGATCAAAATTAAATTTATAATTTATTTAAAATAAAATAATATTTTTAAATTTAATAATTTTAATATAAAAATTTCACTAATATAAATTGATTCATATTATATATATCTTTATAATATATATGCACGTGAAAATGTGTTTTGATATACAATTACTAAAAAGTTGATTTTTTTTTTTAATTTAGCTGTAAAAGATTTTTGAACTTCATTTAGTATTTTTTTTTTCTGGTTCGATCCAAGTAAATTTAATTATATTAAATCAAACGAATTTATATAAAAAAATATTTTTTTATAATTTTTTAACAAATTCGAACTCAAAGAACAAAAAAAAAAAATCACACTTTCTTTCTCAATTAAATCAATTTTTCATTGATTTATATAATTATATCTTTAAAAATAATATTTAATAAATAAAAAATTCGAATTTCAACTTTTGTAATATTTTTATTCTCAAACTACGATTTTTTTTTTTATAAAAAAGACAAAAACTAAAGATTTTCCAATCCAAACTGTTCTTATTTTTCCTTGGTTAGAGGTTTCAAAGTTGGACAATTCCTTTTTCCTGCTTGAAGCCTGATAATGAAAGTGGACATTGGAGGAAGGCAATGAGTCGAAAAAGAAACACACTTTCGCTTTCTTTTTGGAAAATCAACTCTTTCATTTTCTTGTGAAGGAGAAAAGTAAGAAAAGTAAGAGACCAAATAAAATTCCAACTAGCATTAACTAATTACTATTTATATTAATTTGTTCCTAATTTAATTTTGACAAGAAGATTGTAAGGATAATTCAAATAGTAATTTTTTTATAAAAAAAAAAAATCGTAATCCAAAGATAAAAAAATTAATAGTAAATATTGATATTTAAAATTTAAATTTATTAAATATTATTTTTAAAAATAATTATACGATGATTTAAATTAAATCTCGAGTTCAATAATATAATTTTAACAAAACAATGTGACAAATTAAAATTTTTTCTGTATATAGTCAGTTGTAAATATATATAAACATGAGAAAAAAAAAATGAAAAGTTACTCCCCATTATTCAGTCTACTTGTTTGACTATATAATTGAAAAAACAAAGTGCTACAAGTTTTTCTTTCCTTCTGTTTCCCCTTTTCTAACCAAGCAAAATATGTAACCCTAAAACAGTTCGTGTAATTATATCATATAAAATATTAAAAGATTTATATAATAATTTCTCATAAAATTCCTTTTCACCTCTAATTTTGGCACATCAATGTAATTGAAAGCAGATTATGAGGTAATTGATATCAGTATCCCTTACCTAATACCAATACCACTAAATTCTTCAACTACCATTAACAATTTGGACTAATAGTTGCGAATCAAATTATCTAAAATTAAATTAACTAAACTATATTATATTATTTTTGTTAATCAAATCAACTGAATTTAAGTTAAATTAATCAAATTTAATTTGATTAATTCAATTATTTTTTTTCGATTAATCAAATAATAAATATATTTAAATTAAATTATATTTTAAACTCTTAATTTCTTATATTTTAAACCAACTAAATAAAATTATCAAACAAAATATTTAAATATCAATATATTATGTTAAAAATTATAACAATTTATGAAATAAAATGATATGTTTTATGTTTTTTCATTTTATATTTGGATTTTGTTATATTTCAATTAACATTTCGAGTCATTCGGTTTTCAAACTGAGTTAACCGAAAATTGAAAATTTTTTAAAATTATTTTCGTTAACTGATCAAAAATTAATTCGATCGATTAATTCGATTAAAACTGAATTATGAACACCCTTAGTTGTCATTTCCAGAAAATATGGGTTCTTGACTTGTAAATGCGGGCAACCCTAAAGGATGAAAACATAATTTACCCTACCAATATTATAATTTGGAGACAATTGTTTATATCAACTTCATCACATAAATGTACAGAAATGCTACTGTTGCAGCAGTTAGGATAGGTGCTTATCATGAAGATGCTTTGATGCAATGCCATGAAAATGAGTGGAGTCGATGGACCGCTCCTGCAATCAGAGTAATGAAACCATAATAATGGTATGCATGATAAATCACAGAAAACCAATCATGATTTTCGTCCTTGTAAGCGCGTACCTCACTTTGCAAACTGTCCTGAATGTCAAAACCCTGCATGGCTGCTGTTCTAAAGCCAAGCTGACCCTGCAACAGTATTCCAGGGGAGATCACTTCCAAATCAATTTCTATGTAAAACGGAATTGTTCAATGCAAAAAGAAGCTAGAAAAAGAAAGGAGAAGGCAGTAATCATCGGCAAATCTAGTACCAGGCCCGGCATACTCTGTTGGTTCCCATAGTGATTATCACGGGCTGTTAGCGAATGTAGCTGTCCCTAAAATTAGTTAATGAATTGAAAAGCATAATGTTAAAGCTATATATTGCTTTAAAAACATTAATCCAACAAATCCTAACAGTGGGGACTTACCAGCCCTAGTAAACCCTGTTGATTGCTACAATAACCATCACGAAATGGAGAAATTGAGTTCAACTGTCCCTACAGAAAATACAGTATGGTGCTTATTTCCTATCATCTGAAGGTAAGAAATGAATGTTAGTATATGATGTGATTGTTAAAAGACACCATACCATTCCTTGAATATTTTGTTGAGCACCATAGTAACCATCAAGTGCTGGGGCTCTAGAGCCTACATCCTACAAAAATCAGTGTCAAACACCAAAAATTTAAATCATATAGCTAATCAGCCTCATCTTAACAAAACATGTTTTTACGTTAAGGATATTCCATACCATTTCTGGTATGTCCTGTTGAGGAACATAACAGCCATCAAGGGTGTGTGTTCTTGAGCTTATCTGTTACACAAACCAAAAATAAGAAATAATATCTTAGATACAAATGTTGCAATCCATTGCCATTTTTAGTTAAAACATGTAAGATGGACAAAGGTCTAAATGAAAACAAACCATCTGCTGGCAGCTGTCTTGCCCCATACCTACTCCTTCCAACTCAGAATGAACCTAGAATAAAAAATTAGTCTAATTTCAAAAGGCTTATTAAAAATTGCCAAAATACAGTTTTAAGAATCTGCATGTCAAACATTGAGCCTTAACAAACCTTTCTCTTTTTGTGAAATTTCTTTTTCTTAGACGACTTGGCTCTAGTATTGCAATAAGTCTCAGCTTCAATATCAAGAAAACCAGGAACAGGCAATGTGTTGGGCTCATAAACATTTTTGGCAGAGTTGTTAACACCAACACTATATTTCAAGGCTTCTTCCAATGCCCGTAATGCAATAGTAAATACTTCTTCAGATAAAGACCCTTCTTCACCCAATTTGATGGCACGCTTACATAGATCATTGAAACGCTGCATTCGATGATGAAGCCTGTTTGATATTTCACCTAGGTTTTTCCTAATCTTTGCCTCTTTTGTCCAACGCTTCAATATATAGCAGGATGGAATATCAGAAACACCACACATTTGAAGAACAAGGATGGCATGCTTACAAAGGAAGCCTCTGTATTCAAATGAACGGCATAAACAACATATATCAAATTCTCTTTTGTTCCAAGCTACAAAGAAATTCTGATTTTCTTCTAAGTCATCAACTCGAAAGACTACAGTGTCCTCATCTTCACTTTCCTTCTGCAGCTGACAAGACGTCATTCCCAAAACCTCAACCTGAAATTTCTTGAATATTGTATCTGTATAGATCATGGACAATTGCTTCTCAAAAGCTGACAGAGATCTCAATTCAGGTTGCTTATTTTGTGTTTCATAATCAGCTTTTGCCTCCATTTCGTACAATTCTAGCGAGAATGATTTAAACTGCTCAATGAACTCCTTGAATGTAGCCTCTTTATGCATGAACTTGTCAAAGAAAGATGCAATACTATCAGATCGCTCACTTGTGGATATTCCAGCTAAAAATTTATCCTGCATGTAAGTTGGAACCCACTTTTTCCTGTCATTATACAATGAAAGAAACCATTCATGCTCTTTCAGCTGAAACTTGTCAACCATCTTAGACCATCTCTTTTCAAATTTTTCTTCAGTCCAAGACCTATATATGCATTTGTTAAACTTTGTCATGAAATTCTCATTCTGATTTATAGTAAAACCCAAATTTTCAGGAAACTTACTTAGTACATGCCACAAACAGAAACAATGGCGAGAGTCAGGAAACACATCAGCAACAGCTTCATTCAAAACTTTGTCTTGATCAGTAATTATAGCTTTAGGAGCTTGCCCACCCATTGCTTTAAGCCATGAACGCATTAACCAAACAAATTCTGATGTAGCATTGTCCCCAATTAGAGCACATCCAAGCAACATGTACTGGAAGTGATGATTTACTCCAATAATAGGAATGTAAGGAATCCTATATTTGTTTCTAACAAAAAAGGTATCAAAGAAAACTACATCACCAAAGTGACTGTAATTGTGCCTACCTTTTGCATCGACCCAGAGCACACTTCTTGCACATTTTTCACTATCCAAATCTATCGCATAAAAGAAATTTGGATTCTCATCCTGCATACACATAAAATGGTCAAGCATCAGTTCCACATCTTTCTCATCTAGAGCCAACTGCAGGCCTTTCTTTTGGCATGCCACCGCACCAGACTGTTTGTTCCTTCCCCTGATAGCATAGTAAAACTCATCAGGACAAATCTCATGGTTATGCTCTTTTACAAAACTGTGTATTATCCATTTCTCATCATGCCTCCTCTTCATATGCATACGTGCCTTGCAGCCAGTCTTTGGACATGAACGTGGATTGAGAGTTGTGCTAGACTCACGCTTGCTTCCAAATCTAGAACATGCAATTTTTACGTCAATAAATTTGCCAGATCTTTTTGAACGACGACTAGAAATGATTGTGATTCCGAATCCCACAGACCGAGCATATTCTCTGTAGAAAGAATACGCTGCTTCCTTTGATTCAAATTCCAAACCATTTTGAGGCTCGAAAATGGTGCCTTTGAAAACATCTGCTTCGACAGTAGTCGTGTCTACCTGATCGTCACAACCAGAAAAACTTACTATCAAATTTGGTTGACAAACTTCCTCTGCATGCTCACTGGTTGTGGGAGGATTTCCATCGTTATCTACAGCAACTATTTCCTCTGCAGCATCCATAACATCATCATTTTCATTTGATCCAGGAATTAGCTTCTCTTGTTCTTTTGAAGGCACCTCAAGATCTATTTCCATGGAAAGTATTGAAATTGTTTGAAAAACAGATCAAGCTCACTAAAGATACCTGGAAACTGAAAGAAACAAAGAATCAATAGCAACAACATGGAGCATAGTCCAATATTTATGAAAAGCATAAGCTCCAAATCCACATCCATAATGACTTGCTGCCCATTTTATAAAAGTTTAAATCACAGAATGCTAATTTAATTAGAACCTAGTATACTTCTTTGTAGAACTTAGATACTATTATTACTCAAAGTAGTTGTTAGGTGCACGCATGCTAAAATTATAAGCAAAGTTCAACTTACGTGCATTAAAGGAGAAAACGTTTTTTGAAGCTGAAACTGATTGCTATGCTAGTCACTAATTCTTCTCCCTAATTCTTACTTGCAAATCACATTATCTGTGTTACACAACCAAACAAGCCAATTCATTGACAATGTGAGGACTGCTGTTAGCTTCACCAAATTTATTTCGAGTTCCACAATCATGGTCTTCCACTAAATATGATCCAAAAGTACCCTCTCTAAATTTCAGCTAGCGCATCTTTTTATACCATTGATAGCTTCTATAAGCCATGGAACATGAAAATCAATTTCTTTCAACTCAATATGCAACCCTGTTAATCCGACCAGCCGCTGCAACAGACCAGAATACAAGCACCAACACTCTCAAGTCTCATCCAATAAACTAATACTTGACTGAAATTCACGCACAGCCTTACCGTTAGAGCAGAACCCACAAAGTATCAAGTAAGAGGGGCATTGAAAAAGCTGTCGTTGAATTGTTCCTAACTTAGATCACAAAACCCACAACTTTAATGCTTAAACAAATGAAAAAGAAAAAAGAAACCCATAATTTTATTTCATTACACAGTAAGAAAACTGGGTTTTTCATAGCTTTCAGATTAAGTTCGAATCCTAAAAATTTAACAAGATGATCTTATCAGCTTACTACAGTCAAAAAGGAAAACTTGATTCCATTTTGTTGCTTTGTTTTTGTGGCCGTTCTTGTTTACGAAGCAGAGATTGAGAAAAGGAAGAAACAATATTGGGAGAAGTTGAAATGCTTACATTGCTGCTTCTGCAACTGTTATGAAGAGTGGCCACCGCTTCAGCCAAATGAATGTTTGGTACCAAATTCTAAAAACTAGATTAAAAACAAGTTTACTATTTTATTTTATTAAAAAAATGTTACGTCATTGTCCACGTAAGCATAGTAAATTATTTAATTTAATAGGTTAAGAAAAACTTTAATTACGTGGCGTTTTATAAAAGATTATTATTTTGAGCTTGTTTTTATATATTTATAATGAAAACTTTTAATTTCATTAAAAAAAATTGAAAGGTTGTTACATGATTTATTTTTTAATATTTTTAATTTTATTAACAAGAAATTAATTCAATTAATAAGATTATTTTTTTTTGACTTGGATATTTTTTTTTATAAATATTTCGAAAGTACAATTTATAATTTATAATTTTAAATTATCGGACTCGGATAGAATATATTTTACTTTAATCTAAATTATTTTATCATTTCACATAAATAAGTTAATAAAGATTTTATTATTATTGTAAGGAACTTTTTCATGAACTTCTTCAACTCCAAGAGAATTTCATTTACCTCATTGAAAGAGCTCAAGGAAAAGGACCCAACAAGCTCCAACTGCCCTCAAGTCCTACCGGTCATGGCTGTTAAAAGCAATACGTAAAATGCGAGTCCGTATAATTAGCAATACGTATAATTAGCAAAGACAATAGTTGTTGCCTTGATTTCAGCTCACAACGTCGCATAGAAAATTGTGGGATGACTCTTGTATTTTAGTTTCGACATCAAGGAAATCAGCTCAAGTATACAACACAGAGCAATAAACGTTTCATGGATTCACTTTTCCTATCAGTATATACATGCCAGGAGGCAGTTCCAGGAACAATAACGGTGTCTCTTCATCACGGATGTCTTGAAACACCACCATGCAATTGAGTTGATCTCAATTGGGGCTCATCCTGCAATTGGGGTGAACAATCAAATACTAACATGCATCAAGAAATTCCAGCTCAAAAATATTATCTGACAAATGTTTTCCAGACTAACCTGTAAAGCATAACTGAAACTAGCTGAAGGCCGATAATCCAATTGTCCCTACATGAAAATGCCCGATAAAGAAAATTTTGTCATCATAATCATTTTCGTATAACCAAAGTTATCAACAACAATAAAAATAGTATTACAGAATTTCATACCAGACTATGCATGCTTTGTTGAGTGCCAAAAAAACTGTCATGGCCAGGTGCTATCGAGTTCAACTGTCCCTACAAGTACAAAATGCAACTCAAATGATAACTATAACTGCTTATAAGTAGAGATGATAGACAGTTTAGGTTAGGTGTACATCAGGTTAGATCATTGCTTTTTTCTCTAGCCAACTTGGGTCATGTTGGACAGGTTTCGGACAGTTGAGTTAGACCAAGTTCAGGGTGTTAACTTCTGAAATCAATTTAGGTATCGGATTTGGCTTGGGCTGGGAGGCTGCTTGGTTGGGCAGCTTTTTTCACCTTCTTTATAAGTGATTATTACAGTGGCAAGTCCAACAAACTTACAAGACCCTGCATGCTCTGCTGATTAACATAATAACCATCATGAGGTGGCTCCATCAAATTTAACTGTACCTGCAATTACCCCGTTTAAAATATCAGTGCTAAGATCACATTAATTTTATTAACCTCCCTACATTAGCTTAAAAAATTTTACTCAAATTAGAAAATATGTGATACCAGTCCTTGCACGTTCTGTTGGGCACCATAATAACCGTTAAGAGTTATTCCATCTGAGCTCAGGTTCTCCTACATGGATAAAAGACAAAATGCCAAATTAACTTGTTATGATAATCTATATCAAACTGCAGGAGGAGGTTGAAGTAGAATCTTTTCAATTATTTTTCCTTCAGAAAAATTTTCAATAGTTGGAGCAATTCGACTTGACTACCACTTAACACCACTGTCCATAAGTGATAGTACTCTCTTCTATTAAAACAAATGCATCGTACAACATGCAATAAATGATGTTAACATCCTCTTCTTCAGAGCCAAGTGCACCATGTTATCGACAATTTATATTCAATTCAACTGAAATTACACTAGGACATCCATCAAAAATAAAAATAATAAAAAAAAATTAAGCTATGACAAACCATTTGCTGCAAGCTGTCTTGGTTATCGACAAACACGAGAGCTGGCTCTGATTGCCCCTGAAACATAAAAGTTCCTCTCTTGAATGATTGTATTTTTAGCTTGAGATAAGTGGCAAGTGTAACATCATTAGAATATAGACACATCAATCAACTTTCAAGTTTCAGAACTAACCTTTCGTTTCTTGTTTGTATTCTTTTTCTTACTCGATTTTGAAGCAAGACTCCCTGGATTTACTTCTTCTGCTTCACGAAGACCATGAGCATGGCCGGTAGATTCTACAGCACTGACACAAGAGTTGTTAACATTGACACAATTTTTCAGAGCTTCAACCAGTGCACGAAAAGCGATGTTATAACTCTCTTCAGACAATGATCCTTCCTCACTCAATTCAATCGCTTGTTTGCACAAATCATTGTAACGTTGCACCCTCGTCTGCACTCTGTTTGTTCCTTCAGCAGTTGACTGCCCACTCTTAGCATCCTTAGTCCACCTCTTCAATATATAACAAGGAGGGATACTTGTGCGACCACACATTTGGAGAACAATCATTGCATGTCGACAAAGAAAACCTTTGTATTCAAACAAACGACAGCTACAAGAAACCTCTGACTTTTCCTCATTCCATATTACCATAAAATTTTCACCCTTCTCACAGTCTTGAACTCTAAATGTTACAGTTCCTTCATCTTCATTTTCCTTTTTGGGATGACAGCCAACTACACCCAAGACCTCAACTTGGAACTTTTTGAATATTGCATGTGTATAAACAATTGACATCTGTTTTTCCCAAGGTGATGGAGATTTTAGTGCTGGCTGTTTCTGCCAGGTATCAAAATCAGCTACAGCTTCCTCTTCATACCTATTTTGCAAAATTGCCCCATACTGTTTCACAAACTCTTTCAAAGTAATTTTCTTGTGGATGTATTTATCAAAGAAGGAGTTCATACTTTCAGAACGCTGACTTGTAGACATTCCAGCAAGAAACACATCTTCCATGAAAGTCGGCACCCATCTTTTGCGGTCTTCATACAATGATTGAACCCACTCATCATCGTGGAGTTCAAATCGAGTTATCATTTTCCACCATCGCATATCAAACTCTTCATCTGTCCACGACTTGAAAATGCACTTATTGAATTTAGGCAAAAAGTTCTCATGTGGTCCAATTACATGTGCAAGAGATTTGGGGATTTTTTCTAAAATATTCCAAAGAGCAAAGCAATGCCGCGCAGTTGGGAAGACCTCTTCAACTGCAGCCTTCAATCCTTTGTCTTGGTCAGTAATTATAACTTTGGGAGCTTGTCCACCCATTGCTCGAAGCCATGTCTTCATTAGCCAAACAAATGTGGGCTTAGTTTCATCTGCAAGCAATGCACATCCGAGTAACATAGACTGAAAGTGATGGTTAACCCCAACAAATGGTGCCAATGGTAATTTCTCATTGAATTTCACGTAAGTGGTATCAAAGGAAACTACATCATTGAAACTAAGATAGTCCTTCCTACTTTTAGCATCAATCCAAAACAAATTTCTCAAGCGCTGCTCCCCATTTAAATCTAATGCATAGAAGAAATCAGGGTTCTCCTTCTTGACACGCTTAAAATACTCTAGCATAATTTGGGCATCTCCCTCATCCACAACCAAGTGCCTGCCTTTATCAAGCTGATTTTTTACGTCATTCTGAAGGAAGCTTACATTTTGATATCCACCGGACTGTCTAGACATCTCAACATACATCTTTCTTGTGCGTTCACTAACTGCATTCAGAATGTCAATGTTATTCTTTTCAGCCAATTTCACATTCCTATAGATTCGAAAATGGTAAGCAAGGGCGGGTAAAAGCTCATGATTATGCTCCTTAACAAATTCATGAATAATCCACTTCCCATCCTGCCTTCTTTTCACATGCATGCTGGCTTTGCAGTCTGTCTTTCTTACACTTGATCTTCTACTGCTACCAACATCTGATTCTGGTGTGACTCCATATCTGGAACATGCAAATTTAGCATCAATAAATTCCTTTGATTTCTTTGACCGCCTACTGTTTTTAATGGAGGTAGTAAATCCCATAGACTTGGCGTATTCCTGATAAAAAGCATAAGCTGTCTCATGTGACTCAAACTCAATGCCATTACGTGGCTCAAAATCCGTATCCCCATCAAATCCAACAACAGTCCTTTTAGAGGAATCAACTATCCTATCTCTACTTTGTGCCGCTTCATCCACAATATCAACCATGTTTTCATTCACTCCATCAGTACAAGGCAAAGAGTCTCCTCGATCTACCATACTACTAATTGCATTTTGGTTTTCCCCAATCTTTATCATGATAACCAATTGGTAACTGCCCCTCTATTTCCATGAGCCAGAAAAACCCACTTTTCCAGCAGATAATCTACTGTGGAGCCTGGTAAACACCCAACAAAGCACAAGTTTTAGAAACCTAATGTCAGTAACAATGGGATAGTGTTTGTTCAGTTCAACTATTCAGCGAAAACTAAATTACCCCAAATTATGACCATACCACCTCATATTTAGGTTAATTTGCTTTGATTAGCATACTTAAACTTAATCAGCACTTGCCAAAAGAAAAAAAAATGAAAACTTCATCAAAATCAAGTCAGCAAGCTCATCAAATATAACCTTTTTCTAACGAGAAACAGCATTTAAAAGAAAAAAAAATCACAGAATACGAAGAAACAGTTATCCCTAACAATAGATCGATTGAATTGTCATAAACTCAGACGTGGCAGCACCAAATGCCGATGAATTGATTACCCAGACTTCAAATGAAAATACAATTCGGAAAAAAGCAAACACCTTTCAACAAATTGAAGGAAAAGAAAAAAGAAAAAGCCATATACCTGAAGGGACGTCGAAAGATATATCAACCGTTTAAGGTTTCAGTGTAGAAGAAACAAAAGAGATTGGAGAAATGAACGACGGCTGGCGGGGCATGGTTTGACGGTTGAGTGATGATGTGAGACGTTGAATGGAGAAATGAGCCGAAGAAGAGTTTAGGGGAGATTTTAGGGATTTTGAAATTTGGGAATTTTAAAAAATCAGGTTTAATCAGTAAAAGTTTTTATGTTCCTCCAATACATTTTTTAAAGCCCTTATCTAATATTTTTAAGTTTGTGTCATGTAATATTAATAATTAATGTATTTTATCATATTTTACATAAAATTTATATATTAAAATTCATATTTACATAAAAAAATATAATTTTTATTTTTATTAAATTTATATATAATTTTTATTAAAATTTTAAATCATGTCATTTTTTTAAAATTCTATATATATTTTTGTTATATCATCATATGATATTTTAAATTATTAAACTTAAATAAACTTATTTAGTAAGATCTAATAAATTTATTTTTTTAAAATGTCACCTTTAGGATTTTTATTTTTATTTTTTAAAATGAAATAGTGCAATAACATAGAAGTCTTACAATATTTACATAATAAATAACCTAAATTAATTAATCAAGTTTAAAAATTAAAATTTTTGTTTAAAAGTGTTAGTGAAAAAGAGCATTTAATTAATAATTTAAAAATAAATTAAATTTTATTAATTTATTAAATTTAACAAATAATCATAATATTTTAAAAATAAATAAATAAATAATATAATTTATTATTTTTAAATTTTAAACCCCTAACATTGTTTGGTAGTTGCTCTAAAAGGCTTTATTATGACAGAAACAACCAGGAGAGGAAAGGGAAGCCTCGGCCGAAGACTTTGGTTAGACCAACAACCAAAATCAAGAATAATTGGTGGGATCCACCAAACCACATCCAACATTAAACTCAAACACTAAAATTATATCGGAAGATGATATATTATTGCCAGTAACTCAGCACAGCATCTCACAAACTCACCAGTTATTACCAGAGGCGACTCTATCTCTCTCTCTGTCAACGATTTACCCTTTTTGTCAATTTCTGTGTTTATTCTTCTTTTTCAAAAGTTTTTCAGTTTATTCTTTCCTTTACTTCGCTTCGCTCTCACCCTTCCCTTTAAAGCTGCTCTCTTCTTTTCTCTTTTTCTTCCTTTACTAACTCTGACTTCCAACTAACCATTTTACTAACATTCCCTCATTTTACTTTTTTTTTTAATCTTTTTTTTTTTTGGGCTCTTAGTTTGGTTTTTCGTTGCAAAGAAGGAAACCCATTTCCCTTCTCTTTCTTTGTCTCCCAAAACTGTTCTTTTTCTTTTTATGAGTCTCGGGGTCTCCCTTTGTTTGTTGTTAGGGTTTGGGTTTTCAGGGTAGGGGGAGGGTGTGAATTTTGAGGGCAGTTATGGTGAGGAAACATGGATGGCAACTACCTGCTCACACCTTTCAGGTAATGCACTTTTTTTTTTTCCTTATGCATGTTTCTCCAAAAATGCTCCTTTGATCCATATTTTCTATCTGGGCTTTTATTTCTTGGGTGTTTATATCCTTATGAAGTCAGTAACCAGTTTCTGGTCACTTACATATTATTATATTTCCTTGAAGTTGATCTTTAACTTCTTGTTTTGATAGGTTGTTGCAATTACTGTGTTTTGCTTGTTAGTGGTTGCATTTTATTCTTTCTTAGCTCCTTTCCTTGGAGGGCGTATATGGGAATATGCCTTGGTTGCGGCTTACTCGCTGGTGGTATGTGAATTAATTTGTTCTCTTTTGTATAGGGCTACAAAAAATCCTTTATTGCCTTACATTTTTGCATAAAATATCTTAATGGATTGCAAATCTAGAACATTTTTTTAAGGGCCTGCTACTATGTCTCACTGTATGAATTGTGCCAATATTTTAGATCCATGTTAAGGTATAAGTTACTGCAATGAAGGCTGCATGGTGCTTGGGCTGTCTGCAAATGTTTTTGGTGAAAAAAAAAAGTGTCATTTTTCATTCTGCATAAACAGTTTATGAACATAACCATTGAATCTTATATCACTCCCATTATACTTGTGATGGCAATGCAGGCACTTCTTGTTTTTGTTCTTTATGTTCGGTGTACTGCAATTAACCCTGCTGATCCTGGCATCATGTCGAAATTTAATGGTGGAACAAACAAACTTGATATAAAGCATGGGTTATCAGTGAAGGATTTGCCCAGAAAATTTGATGAATTTGGCAGTGGGCTGCATACATCCCCATCAACAGTTTCCAGAAGTTCCATTGCAGCACCAAACTCCAGTAAGAAAGGTTTGGTGGGAGATACTGGAACAATAGAGGCTCCAGCACAGTCTGCAACCGGGAAATCTTGTTGCATTGGAGGAATCTTTTGTGCCATATTTGTTCATGAAGATTGTCGCAAACAGGAAGGGGCTGCTGAGCATGGCAGTGAAGATGCTTTGTTCTGCACATTGTGCAATGCAGAGGTATTTTGGAACCTATCTTGACTGACCCTTTTTATTATGTTAGATCAGCTTTAATTTTCATCATTTCTATTAATTTTATCTGTCCATGGTGTCCTTAACCTTCTTTCCCCCCGATGAATTTGGAAACTTGCTCTTATCTTGTTCTTAATGCAATTATGGGGTAGGCGAAGTTGTAAATCTAATGAAAGCTTCTAAGCTGGAAAAGGTGATATTAATCAGTGTGACCTTTTAATGGCACAGTTGGAGGTGTAGTAAGATGTCTGCTACTTTGATTTGCCATTAAAGCCTACAAAAGTTCAAGGGAAATAAAGAAGAAATAAGAATTCATTTTTGGGTCTCAAGTTTGTGAATTTCAAATTTTAAAAGAACTTGAGCAGTCCATGGTTTGCCTTACAGTCGTTAACAAGATAAGATTGTATTAAAATGTTTCTTGATCCTCTATATGCTAAGTTCATCTCCCCTCTGTTACTTTCAAATACACCTTTAATCACCATTCACATGTTTGGCCAGAATTTATGGTTGGGTCCTACACATATGAATGGTGATGATGGATGTATTAGAAAGTAATGTACAAGAAGTAATAGAGGGGATCTCAATCCCTTTTTATTACAAGATACAACCATAAAACCGTAATAGCATTTAGTTCGATCTATCAAACATCTTTAATTCTAGCTGTACATGTTAGCTTAAATTAAAAAGAAACAGAACTTGAAGAAACTTATTTCTAAATTCTAATATTTTCTCCCACATCATTCTTTCTCAGCTTGGTAACATTCTTGAACCAGAAATAAGGTTTTATTGTGATTAAATAAGGGGAAAAATAAACTACTTTTTCATTAGCATGTTAGTGGTTAGTTTGCCATGCCTATTTGAAATATCCTTACCAACACTTTATGCTGCCCCATTTGCATTCTATAGATATCTCCAGCAGCACCACTAGTACACTAATCTACTATGTTTTCTTCACTACTCCCTGGATTTTCATATGACACCCTTAGCACCAATCTTATCAAACACTACAAATTCATGTGACTACAGGCTATTACTTATGTTCTCCTCTGTCAAGTCAATGCTACTGCCAGATGAATTATAAGGCAACAGTGACAAGTAAGGCAGATTACAGAAAATTTAATGCCTTAAACCAAACTTTATACCCCAACAATTAAAACCAATAAATTATATGGGAACGTATTGGTCCTTTTAGAGACTCAGTTTTTCTTCTTTTACATTGATTAGAATCTTTAGTTGTCTGCTTAACTAATAATCCATTTAGCCGGGATAAACATTTTTATGTGATCTAGTTTTAAAGGGGAGCACTTGAAATTATATATTAAAAAATTTTGCTGATCAGGATTGAAAAGTTGGCAATATCTTTCTATGGCTTTCTTTCTTACTTATCAATGATTTCCCTGGTGCAGGTGCGCAAGTTTAGTAAACATTGTAGAAGTTGTGATAAATGTGTGGATGGTTTTGATCATCACTGCCGGGTAAATATTTTCTTGTTGCTTCGACTGTTCTTTACGTTCATTTGTGCAAGAATATCTTTCAACTTGTTTGGTATTGGCCAAATCCAGTTATTTGTTTGTGGAAATTAAATCTCCATATCATATGTGGCTGCAGTGGCTAAACAATTGTGTAGGACACAAAAATTATGTCACATTCATCTCTCTCATGGCCATCAGTGTTGTTTGGGTATGTTTTTTGCTCAAGTGTTTGTTATTTAAAAAGCATGCTTCCCAAATTCTAATGATGCCTCTCTCTCTCTCTCTCCATTGTTCAGCTTGTCATGGAGGCTGTTGTTGGTATTGCTGTCCTAGTTCGTTGCTTTGTTAACAAGAAGGGCATGGAGACTGAGATTATTGATAGGCTTGGAAATGGTTTTTCTCGTGCTCCTTTTGCAACAGTTGTGGTACATCCCTTACCAAATGCTGTGAAGTTGATTTGTTTCTTTTTGATTTTGTGTTATTGTAAGTACTTAAGTTTGGATCGCAAACTTTTGTAGGCTGTATGTACTGCAGTTTCTATCCTGGCTTGTGTACCTCTGGGTGAACTTTTCTTCTTCCACATAATACTAGTCAGAAAGGTTAGTTGCCAAGAAATTTAGCATTATTTTTATTTTAATGGTGCTCTAGTTTCTGGTTGCAAGATGGAAAATTTTGAACATTCACATTTATAGTTAGGGTTGCTGTAGTTTTTAGAATTTCCTACATTTTGGTAACTGTAAATAATGGAAAAAGTAAATAGGGTTGACTTATAGGGCAGGTACTAAGGTGATTTCTGTAGTGACCTGTTTAACTTTAACGTGGAATCAGGGTATTACAACCTATGAGTATGTTGTGGCAATGAGAGCAGTGAGTGAAGCACCTGCTGGAGCATCGGTAGATGAGGAATTGGCAAATGCAATGTATTCGCCAACTGGATCAGCTACAACTGGCATGAGTGGTGGAAGTTCTCTGGGCCTGCAGTACAAGGGGGCATGGTGTACCCCTCCTAGAGTTTTTGTGGATTATCAGGTACTATCAAACTTAGTTACCTCCCTTCACTCTCTGCCTTTCCCATTTCCCTCAGTTCCCTTCAATTGCTGTGATAACCTCCCTTGTTGCCTAAGCACCTTAATCGTTTTAATTTTTTTAACTACTATAGTCTCCTTATGGATGTCACATGTTGAATTCTATATTTCTATCTCCAATAGTATCAGATGAATTCAAACTTACGAGGCACATTCCATTTTGTCTTTTGAAGGGAATGGCATTGCCTGGTTAAATAAATCTATCAACTCAACCTTAAATTCTAATTATTCTTCCATACCACAAGGAAGGTTCTTTAGCACTCCAGTTTGAGATAGTTGCATAAATTTGTTCATTCGTCTGACAAGTACCTTCTTATCTTTTTTCATGATAATTAATATGAAGCCACCTTCTTGGAAGTAGATTAATCCTATAAGTCTCTGGTTTGACTCCAGGAGTTGGGTCACCTTTTGCATGTATGTTCTACAATTGATGTGCATTTGTTATAAGACTGGTGACTTAATACTTCTGTTGGATATGCCTACATCAGGATGAAGTTGTGTCCCATCTGGAGCCTGGAATGGTCCCGTCTACTGTTGACCCAGATGCAGCTGGTTTTGCAGAAAGAGGGCACAAGGGACCCAAAAGGGCTGTTCGTATTAGTGCATGGAAGCTTGCGAAGTTAGATTCTAATGATGCCATAAGGGCAGCAGCCAGAGCAAGAGCATCTTCGTCTGTTCTACGGCCTGTTGACAATCGTTGTTTAGCAGATCCTGAACTAAGTTCTAGTGGCAACATGAGCATAAGAAGTAGTGTTAGCACAGATACAGGTGCAAATAAAGAGATAAAGAATGACCGGAGATTATCACCATTAAGAAACTCTTTTGCACGAAGTCAAGGTAGCCGTGATGAGTATGAAACAGGAACTCAAAGTGCAAGTAGCTTCAGCAGTCCAAGCTACATTCATGAGTCAGTCACACTTAGTCCTCTACCACAAACTCAAGGTGATCATTTTAATACAGCTACCTCTGCTCCTGGCATCCCTGATCGTACCTTTATGTCTAAGGCAGCTTTTCCTGCTATCAACAATCCCATCACACAGGCCCCTTCAGGATCTGATGAAAAGGTAATGTATAAGGGTGGTATTAGTGATCCATTGTTGCTTTCAGCTCCTGCTATTTCCCTACATAGAGATGTCAAAAGGACATCTGTTGTCTGGGATCAAGAGGCTGGAAGGTATGTATCAGTCCCTGTCTCTGCAACAGAACCTCGGAACAGATCATCCATGCAAATGGGTTTGCCAAATTCTAGTGGGGAAACTAGCACGCAGGGTAGAAGGGAGGTTTTTCCACTGCAGGAATCTACTTTGGCAGCAAAGGCTCCAGTGCAACAGGCAGAGAAGCTGTTGTACACAGGAGACTCTATTTTCTTCGGTGGCCCACTTTTGAGTGTTCCAGTTAGGGATAGTCTGAGAAATGATAAGGGTTTGGATTCAAGGGAGGCTCAAGAAAGAGTAGCTCTGAACTTGCCTCGAGAGTCTAGATTCAAAAGGGATTCAGTGTCAAACCAACTTCCTGTGTTTGTCCCTGGAGGTTCTGAAAACAGCTCTGCATCTGTTTCTGGTTTGAAGTAGATTCCAATTTGACTCCTAACAAAGTTTCTGTACGCAATTTTCCTAGAATCATCAAAGATTAATGATGAGAGGGTAATGGAAATTGAAGAAACCTCTCGGATGAGCTCCTTGTGCATTGGAATCTTGCAATTTTGTGCTTTTGCAAACTAGATTATTTTGCATGGTTCAAGTGGTCTCTTCTTGTGGTGAAATTTGTGAAGTGATGTCAAGAGGTGTCTCTCTATTGAAACTGGGCAAAGGTGTTTCCAAATTCCATATGCTTTAACCAAGCTTCATGGGGATTATGAATATTTTATTTGTCAAACTTTAGGAATCAAAGCCCATGGGATTTCTATTATAATGCTTTTCTCTATTCTGTTCTTCCAGAAACAAAAAAAAAAAAAATCTATTATCCTCCAAAATTTTTGCAACAGAAAGCAATTTTCTTGCTGAATCTATCTGTACATTTGAGCCAAAGTAAATATCAAAATAGGATGACTAAGATAGAGGCCCTGTAAGGATCTAGAAACGTCAAAAATGAATAACTCAAGGTGGAAAAAAGAATCTCAATCATTGCCTAATTATTCTCTCAAAACTCCATCACAGTCAAGCTGAGGTTTAGCAAAGGCTCCAATGCACTAGGAGCAAACTTTCGAGCAAAGAGATAACACACGGATGTTTGCTCCTCATTATATGAACAAAGTGTTCCGTTATTCCTTATGGCTTGTATAAAGCCCTCAGTGATGTTAGCTCCCTCATGCATTGCTGGATGAGGCCCCCCCATTGACCAATCAACCCAAGTCACACTCCGGTTTGCATTTAATGATCCATGGAACATGTTCAAGAAAGTTGGAATGTAATGCTCGTCTGGATAGCAGGCAGGCCTACAATACTTCTTGAAAAGGGCGTAGTACTTGGTGTCCGAGATAATGTAAATGGCAACTGAACGGTGCATCTCAAACCATTGGGATCCTTTTCGCCATTGATAGAGCTTGATGTCAGGAAGCATCTTGCGGTTGTAGCGACCACGACCATAGCGGGAGGGCTCATCATATGACTCCACGAAACTGTAGGTTGAACCAATGAGATACTTGTACACAGTTGGGAAGTTATAGACAGGGATGCAGCTCTCGGAAAGAAGTACAAATCGCTCATTTGAGAAGTCAAGCAGCGCATTGGCTAGTAGGCGCCTCTCTGCATCAGCCAGTGAAACAGTCCCCCATTCCACATGCTAAACAAAAGAAAAATGGTTCATGAAATAAACAAATATATATATACTGTTATCAGATATGACAATTTAGTTGTAGAATGATGGTGTATTTAAGATGTTGGCATGTCATTCAGAAATAAAATTCATGTTCAATGTTGATTTTACCCGTCCCAAGTGAATATTTAAACCAATTTTGCCATGATTTGTTATGACATGTAAACAGATTTTCCCACCTCTCTCTCTCTCTCTCTCTCTCTCTAAACTACTAGCTGAACCAAAAACAGGACTTACTTCTTAACAAGAATCTGGCACAAACAGTTGTACCAAAAGAAAACAAAGAATATGGTAAACACAGAGGCAATCAAACAAAAATAGGTGGACTAAAGAAAAGAAGAAAAACAAGGTTACAAGGCAATCACGTCATATGATATATGTAAGTGCAGGCAATGCTCCAGAGCACAGCTATTGAATAACTATGTCATTCTACATTGTTTTCTACTCTTTTTCTTTCTTTCTCATCACCATGGCTAAAGAAATGAACGGGGTGAGCTTCTGCAGTGCGGCTTGATAGGTGAGAGGATGGAAGGAGGATAAGGAATGGAATAGGATTCAGCTGAGAAGATGGATCTAAGATGAAAAAAAGGGAAGGAAGGGGGGGTGAAGATTGACCAAAACACATGAAATGCAATGAAACACCAGGAAAATCAAGCACATTCAATTTGATAAGGTGGTTTCAAATACCCAATATGAAAGGCCCCTTGTCAACTTATATATAACTAGGAGCTATGAAGTTTGTTCCCCCTATATATGTTTTGTTGGGAATAAAATGGAATTTTCTTGCTTTACGAAAAAAGGGTTACAGATTTTAATAGACTTTGTGTAACGAGCTTTGAACTTGGAACTATCCTGAGCTCTACCACTCTATGAAAAGCGATGGAACAGAGACAGACTCATTGTTTGTACAGATCACAAAATGTTTACAACAGATTCCAAAGCAGACTTCAGCATCCAAACTCTTAAAATGGCTATGGAGGATTATGTGTAGGTAGAATTAATAAGCTAAAAGAAAAGCTAATATCTAAGTGAACAAACAGGTTCAGGTATATCTAAAAATAAAATGGAAGTAAAAATCTAAAATAATACTTCTCATCCAGAATATAAACACCTTATAGAATCAGTGAATTCAATCTCTATTTTGCATGCCATTGTTACCATTGTTTACAATTCAACAACACTCCAAAAAGCATTAGAATTCCAGACGTCACAAAAAACTTCCCTCTTACTAACAATAATAACTGAATCTCCTACACCCTCACTGTTCTCTAATAGTTTTAAGCAGTCTCTACCAGGTAAATAACATAACAGTCCTGAGGGTATTTTCATCAATTTTGAGTATGAATCCATTGTTCCTTTTATACTTACAGGAAAAAAAAAATCCATTTCCCTAAGTTTCAAAGAAGCAGAGCCAGAGTTTTTTAACAGAACACGTTTATCAGAATTTCAAGCATACGTCTGTCAATGTCATGATGTAGTAAAATGAAGAGAAACAACCTAAAATCTGATTTTCATGGTACCTGACTAGGGATCTGTCTTGCATAGAAAGGAGAGTGAGAGGAGACATTGACGTGAAAGGCCGGAGGAGTGTGGAGATAAATGGAGAAATAACTTTCATGGCCTTTAAAGAACCTCTCCCACAAAGGAAGCATAGGCAGAGGCCCTCTGGTAAGAAACATGAAGGCCACCTTTGGCACCCTCAGAAATGGGTACTCGTTTTTGTAAGGCGTCATTGAAGCTCTCCAAAACAACTCAGCATCCGACATTTTATGGGTCAAATTGGTTGGATGAAGGAAGGTGTCCATGCTTAGGCAATCAAGTTTCTGGCATGAGGTTTGGCTGCAATTGGCTTTGGTGCTGGACACTCGAAAAGACGTGGCTGTGGACGTCGAAAAAAGCTGCGCTTGGGAAGAGAAATAGGTGGTTATGTGAGAGCTGGTGGCTAAGCCGATGATAACCCCCGCCACGAAAACCACCAAAAATGACAGAACCTGAACCAGTTTCAGCAAACCCATGTGCGTCTCTCCATCCTCTCTCTCTCCTCTCCCTCTAGGCATGCTTTAAGATTTGCTTCTTTTCCTTTCTTCACCACCCAAATCAATTTAAATTCAATTCAAACAAAGACGATACGATCAATTCAATTCCAAAGAAAAAGACTACAACATATGGTTGACTGCAACAATGAATCGATCTTTTTTTCTTCTTATTTCAGATCCAAAATCCACCATTTCTCTTCTAAATCTCTAAATGATTTCTGCAAATACAGGAAAAAAGATAGCAACAAAAACAAAAACTATGTATCAAACAAGAATCAAGCCAGATAAAACTAACAGCTGAAGAAGAAAGAACATAAAAAGGAAAGATAATGGTACCTGTCTTAGCTTAGCAAAGCTAATAACATAAAAGATGACAGTCGCTGCTGCTATAATTCCCAGAACCTGAATGGCTAATTGCGTCACCCCATTAATATTTCTCCTCTTTGCTTTTGCTTGTACACCAGGTTCCTTTGTACCAAGTACCAACTGCCTGGGGAGAAGCCTCGGCCCTGGTGATGTTAATTCTTCTTTATAATAATTTTGCTTTCCACTGTGGACAGACTAAAGAGATTGGGCGGCATTTGGGGTTGGGCTATGACCTCAATTCATGACAGCCCATTTCAGCAAAAATCTAACTACTCGAATTAGATTAAATTCGATTAATATTTTTTTATTAATATAAAAAATTATAAATTATAAATTTTATTTATATTTAAATTAAATTTTTGTATGATTTGATTAAAGCTAAATTTTATCAATTCAATTAATCGATTTTTTTATTTTATTTATTATAATTTTTATATATTATTTTAATATAATATTTAATACATTTAGATAGATTTAAATATTAAATTATTATTCTTATTTTATAAAATTTAAAAAAATATAAAATTTTATAAAAACATGTAATTCGATTCATTCAATTTTTTTCAATTTTTTATTTTTCAATTCAAAATTCAATCTAAACTTAATAAATATAATTAATATTCTAATTTAATTCAAATTAAATAAAAAATTAATTTAAATCAAATTGGACATTATAATTTTAAATTATTTTTTAATTTTTTCAATTTTTAAAAATTTTTTTCTCCACCCTTGACGGGGGTAGGACAGAGGGCCATAGCCTGCCTATGGCTACGAAGCTAACGCCAACAGATTTGCATGAACATTACTTTGACGCATCAACTTACGTCCAAAAAAACATCGTCACTGTGTGGTTTTGGTTGGTCAGTCCAAGGGTCCGAGGAGAAGTTTCCTAAAATTGTGGAAACATCAATGAGACAGCAAGATGAAAATTGCCTGCATATTAAAAAACTTATTTTTGACATTCTCATGGTAATTTTTTTTTTCAACCGAACAAGGCCAATGGTGTCCTTATTTTCCAACTTAATTAGCTTTGTTATGCTAATAGATTCTCTTAGAAAAGCAACAAATGTAGGGTGTTATGTCCTTAAAATTAAACTGTATTCAAGATCTTTTTGGTTACATTTTCTTCAAAGTTTGAAAGTTGCTTAACCTAAATCATGTGTTGCAGATTGAAGGATAGAGTAGAGGTGAGATCTAAGGATATTGGTGGATTAACTTTCTCAACACCATCAAAACGTAAGAGAAAGAAAATTTTGAAATTAAAGATAATAATGGATCGAAACGGATTTATGTTCGTTCTGATTTTGATCTGATTCATAAAATTCATACTTAATTTTTATTAGAAAAAATATTAATTTTTATATACAGCTTATTTTTAATTCGTATATATTTAAAATTGTAATTGGTTTAACTCAAAATTCGATTGAAAAAACTAATTTTAAAAAGATTAAATCAAGTTAAAATCGATGAACTTCAGATAAATTTATCATCCCTAGATGGAAGCAGCTTATCTGCGAGCTGCCTTCTCTTCATCAGTAACTACCCACACCAAGACTTCTCCGTTTGACAACCGTTCATTTTGGAAGTAGCATTTCTGTCCGTGATCATTGGTGGCGTTATTAGTTTAGGTTTTTTTGTTTCTTGTTTCTTGATTTTGCCCCTTCGTTAATTTTTCTTTGAAACTTCATGAACAATTAAAATTCACTACATCACATCTTATGTTTGATAAGATGATAAAGAAGAGAAATAACTGACATGTAAAACAAGAGGATGACAACAGGTCCTGCGTTCAGCTCCCCTCACCCCATCCAATAGGCCACAACCAAATCTTTTATTATCAGAGCTAGAATCTTGTAAGTTGTCCGTTTTCCTTTTCCATGGCAAAGACAGGTACTTTCCCTTTCGAACCTGCAAACTGGGGACACAACTTGTTTGTCATTGACCAATAATTTCACATTCTTGTTCTTGGCTAAAATTAGTAGTAGTACACTTTTTCAGAGTTCCATAACCATTTCTATTATCAATAGTTTATAAATTTTAGATACACAAAAATGGAAGTATTTTAATCGGACGGCTGCCACGCTGAGGCAGTCAACAAGGACAGATCTTTCCACCCCAACTTGAGGCACCCGTTCTCCTCCAACAGGGTATATCCTTTCCAAGGGAACATCCCTAGCAAAAGGCTAGCTTGGGCTGCTGGGTTTCCGCCCAATGAAACGGGTTGGAACCCGACTCGTTTCAACTCTTCACCCCATCTCTCCACTTTAACCTCGCCCGTCCTCTTCGGCCCACCGACTGCCACGATGTTCCTGATCTCGCTCCCAAATAGCTGCTGCTCTACCGTGTGCCTTTCTAGGCTGTCCACACCTAAGCCGTCCCCAAGCGCGTCAAACAACGCGCTGTAATAATGTAATGCCTCCACGAACCTCCCTAGAAAACTACCCCCGTGACTCAGGTCCTGTTCGACGATCGTGATTAATTTCGGTTTCAACATGGTCAACAATCTCAAGGTCCCTAAATCACTCCCCGTAATATCGTATAAGCAATGATGCATCCAATGAATCACCACCGCTTCACTCGACCGCACTTCGAGTTTACTCAAATCTGTTACATTTCCGATTTTGCCCTCCAACGGATGAAACTCGAATGGCAACCCCAATGAAGTCGCGAATTCGGCGAGTCTTTTACCGGTCAATTCGAGAAGCTCCGAGGAGGGTCCGAACCCGGTGATTCTCATTGATCGGATCTTTTTGGACCGAGAAGCGAGGATGTGGAACAATCCTGGCCATTGTAGACCTTGCATGATGTCCAGATCGATGACGTGGATACGATCCTCACCATCCAAGGCTTGGAAGATGGCTTGATTGGCGGTAAAGTGAGAGAATTTGACCAAAGGACTTATCGAATTGTAAGATTGCAGAGCATTGAAGATCTTTTGGGATTGAGTCAAGGTAAGCGACTTGGTATCGAGGGGAGAATAAGTTCTTAAGCAAGAACTCACCACACGTGCCTGGAGAGCGTGTGCGAAGTACGCGCCGACGCGCTCGGGAGATGACCCGAACGGAGAAGAAAGCTCAGAGATTTCAGGTAAAAGGTCCGTGGCGTCCTCGAGGTTATCCATTGCGACACACTCGGCACATTGGAGCAAGAGACCTAAAAGCCTTAACCCCGTTGACTCACCTTCGATCACCGTTTCTTCCTGTTCATCGACGGCTATTTTATCGCCGGAGGAATAATTAGGACGCTTGTTTGAAGGATCATCGGCAAAAGAATCTTCGCCGGTCGCTGCGGAGACGTCTCGATCGACGCGCTTTGACTTCATGGAGGAGTTAGGATTGGAGCTAGTGTTGGAACTGATTGGAGACTGAGGAACTAAGCTTTGAAGCATGATCAGTTAAGACAGAGAAAATCAATTTAGAGACAGAACAGATTCGAAAGGTGAAGAACTTTTGGGAGAAAAGGACAAACCCCTTTTGAAGCGGAGGAACAAAAGTTGTCCAGTACAGAGTTTTGTTGCAGAGTTCTGTGAGAGATTCAAACTTGCGGGGCCTGTTTGGGATTAGAGAAACCGGAGGAAAATTTTTATGGATGAGAAAAAGGTGTAGAACTTTATTTTATTTTATTTTAATAATTTTATCATACGTGATGATTAAGGGGAAGCTGTCGTTAAGTCCGTTTGATTAAGTGGAAGGATTAGGAACTGAAAATGAAATTAATTAATAAAAAATTAGTTAATAATTAAGCTAATCGAGATTATTTTGGGGATGTTGTTTTGGGTAAGATCAAGGGATGGAAGATTGTCTTTATGTTAGGACATTGATAGGTCTAATAATTATTTTATATCATATTAATTGTTAATAACTTATGATTTTATCGAAGGAACTGGACTTTTATAACTTTATATTATTAAAATAAAAATATGAAAGTGTATTAAAAGGTTAACAAAGAGATTATTAAGTAATTATAATCAAATTGAATTAAATTAATATAATAAAAAATTTAAATTCTATTCAAAATTTATTATTCAAAATTTGATTCGAATTCAAATCGAATTTTAATTTTTAAATTCGAATTCAATTTGAAATAAAAATTTGATTAATTAAATTCGTTTGATTAAATTTATTTTCTAAAAATAAATTTAATTTTTACACTCGATTTCAAATTTGATTATATATTTGAACTCGAATTTATATATATATATGTATAAAGATAAAATAATAATTTTTAATTAAAATAATAAAAATATATTAAAATTTAAAATTTTAATTAAACTTATAAATTATTCAAATAAAATATTAAAATACTCAAACTCAACTTATTCGATAAATTGAACTGAACTTGATTTGACAATAACTAAATCGAATTCAAATTTTATTTTAATTGAATTAGGATAACTTATAAATATTAATACATTAATTATACCCCTGAGTTATCATTCATTTTAAAGTATAACTATGTAATTAATTCTATACTAATAATAATAATAATAATAATGATGATGGTAGACATTCGGTATAAAACTTGGTACATAACTGATAGAACAGTTCAACTTGTCATTAATGCTTTTAATCAAATTGTGCTATTAAGCTTTTATATCTTTATATTTATGTGAAAAGTATAAATTTAATCTTTGAATTTAATTTTTATACAAGAATTTGAAAAAAATAGTTCCTTTATTTTTCAAAATTTCCCAACAGAATTCTAAGTGATAAATCTTAAAACTACACATCCATGAAGGTTACTTTCAAAAATGCAGAACTAGCACGAGACACCAATGGTTACTTTCAAAGAAACAATCAAGGATTTAGCAAATCCAAATGAGTCCTATCTTTTAAACCAGGATATAGAACCATTCGTGTATTTAAAATCGTATATTGATACAATATATTTTATAAAAATTTTGTATCCTAATTCATCTAAACGTAAAAATATAAAATATATATTTTTAATTTTATTAAATTTATTATAATTAAAATTTAAATTATAATTCGTATCTTATTATCGTACCTAATTATGATATTTAAATTATGATAATAGTTGGCCACCATTAGGTGACAAGTGAAACATTGAAGAACTAAATTGCACATACACTTAAAAATACAAGAAAAAATCACACCTAGCAGAAGCAACAAAATGATAAATCATAAAGCACCCAGGATAGTTCAACAACATAAGATTCTAACAGAAATGAGCAAGCTTTTATGTTAATACCTCATATGACAACAGGAGAACCCAGAAATATCTCATCGAAGCAGATTGAAATCCGTCCTTGAAATCCAAAAGTTTTAAACTTTTAACAACAACTCCAACAAAATACTCAAAACCTAAGCTTGGTAAAGAACCACCTGTTCTTTCCAGTCTTGAACCTCTCTTCAAACCTCTCCTTGGTAGCCTTACAGGCAGCCACTTTCTTGTCCTTTGTCTGAAGAGCATCGACGGTAACCATGTCTTTCAAGTCCACGTCGAGGGTGTAGCGCGTGGGCATCAGGTGTTGGTAATTCACGAGCTTGACGAAGCACTTGACGCGTGATTTCTTGGCTGTTTTCTTGGCGGAGTCCTTGCGGATAACCTTGCTTGGATACTTCTTTATTCCTGCAACCAAACAGTGGCCATAGGGGCGGTCACGCGTGCCTTCATCGAAGGATCTCACGATCACAGCTTTTCGTCCGGCGTATCGGCCTTGGAGGACGATCACGGCCTTGTTGGGTTTTAGAAACTTCACCATGGCGACGGCGCCTTTGATTCTCTCCTCACAAAAACCCTAAGTCGAGAAAGAAAAATGAAATTCAGGTATATATAATAAGGGTTGAGTGAAACCCTAGCACGTATGGTTTCTTAGTGAGTTTTGGTGGGCTTGGGCCTGAATTTAGCAGACACTATATATTATTCAAAGTTTTGGTGGGTTGGAGCTTGCCTTATGGGTCTTTGATAACTGACCTACATTTATTGCTAAGCCCAAAACTATATCATCAAAATAATAATGATATTTTGATATAATATTTTAAATATATTTTTCGTATTTTTTGGTATTATACCTTATTTAAATATGAAATTTAGATATAGTAAATTCATGATAATTTAAAATATGATATAAAAATAATATAATTTAAAATTTTAATAATAATTATAAATGAATTTAATAAAATTTAATAAAATATTTTATATTTTTATATTGATACGAATTATAATATGTAATTTTTATATAAAATATAATAAATATATAAATTTTAATATTTTATATAATATGAATACATAAGATATTATATTTAAATTTTTAAAAAAAATACTGTACCCAATATATATATATTTATCAAAATGTATTTTCCGTTGCTTTCCGCACATTTTTTGAAATATCAAACAACAAAGAGATCTCGATTGTCAAAGAAAAAACAAGAAGAGATCTCTGTGTCTGACCAAAGCAATGTGTTTGGTTTCTTGTAGGGAATTAATCAAAGTCAGAATGCCGTTTGGTCCAAGTCACCAGATCCCCCAAAGCCTCAAACTTTTCTTCCGTTTTCAATTTCCTCACGTCTTGTAATTATCCAAATCCAAGCAAAATTTAGTATTACGCCATTCTTCTTATTTCCCTTCGTTAATGATTTTTTTAATCAGTTTTAAGTTTTAACAACTTAAAAACTAATCATTTAGACCTTTTTCTTGTACAACTATTTTGACCATTACATTATATGTAATAATATATTAATATACAAGAAACTTGATATGACTAGGAAACTTTTAAGCTTCAGCAAAGAAGATCAAAGAAAATATTCAATCCTACAGCAACAAATTCTCGAAGTCCTTCAGTTTTTCAATCTGGGTATTCTCTATTTTTTTTTTTTTTTTTGGGAGGTTTATGTGGTTTTGGCTATTTTTGTTGTTGTCCTTCAGTTATGTCTATTCCCTTGCTCCTGTCTTACTGGGATAACGTATGCTCTGTTTGTTTGGCGAGAAAATGAAGGGAAGAATAATAATTAAAGGAAATTCATTGTTAATTTGAATCATCTGCTTCTGTTTAGTATAAACTTCTCTCAATTCTGTTCATCTAAAAGTCATGATCATCAGCTAAAGACCCTACTTTTTTACTCCATATGTTTATATTGGATAAAGAATAGCTATGACAGAAACCTTATTTTGTCTTCTATTTTCTGGATTGTTTAGGTTATGGGTATTTCTATCTTACCTCATTCTGGATCGGGATTGCTTGAATTTTTCAAGTCCTTTTAGGGATTTCTTTTTTGTTTTGATAATTTGCTGTTAAGCTTTTGTAGGATAACTTAGTTGCAAGTAATCATTTATTCTTGTAGTTTGAGAGATAGACTGATAGAGTCTACACCAGTCCGGTCATGGATCATTGTCAGCTTTTGATTAATCTCCTCCTATTTGATTTTCTGTTTGCCTATTTGGAAGCTTATCAAACTTTTCGTATTAGTATATTTGATGGCTTAATATACAATATTCTTGCAACCTCATTTTTTCTTGGCTACATGCTATTATTGAGATAGTATGAGTGAAGGCTACAGAAATGCAAGTGCAAGCTCCAGCTCAAGTTTGAATAGCAGTTTCCAAGATACAGAGGATGATCAGACCTTAGCAAGCATCTTAGCAGAAGAGGAAAACTTGCACAATGATGGCAGGCTTGCAAAAAAACTCTCTCATCTGGATTCCATTCCGGTATAATCATCTCTACCTCTTATTTGTTGGTTGGTCCCTTTGTCGAAGAAAATTTTTGCGTTGTTATGTATATGAATGTTTCTAGAACCTTTTAAACCTTCCTTGCAGGTTTAAAAAATTGTAACACAAGGCATAGACCTAATAGCATTGAATCTAAAAGGCACTGTATTTTCTTGTCTTTGGTCCCGGAGGACTATGTTCTGCTGACTGCTAAGTAATATGCTACCCTTCGGAAACTTTGGGGATTATTATTATATGTGCGGCCAATGACTGTTGAAAAACCAGATATACTGCCAGAAGATGGTGCTTTGGGAGAAAAATTGTTTTGCATCATATTATTTTCATCATTTTACTTCTAAGATCCTTGCACTATTTCTTTCTCTGCCTGTTAACAGTTGAATAATTTCATTTTAAAAGTTTTTTTCCCCATTATAAAATGTAATCTTGGTTCTTGATATGTATGTATTATTATTACATATTCATTTTTGTGTGAAGCAGAGTTTCTCATAGCATGATACAGATCATTGATCAATTAAATTGGTGACAAAATGTTCTTCTTGCAACTTTTTCTGTTGTAATTTTTATGCCAACTCAAAGTACAAATGTAGCATGACTCTCATGGTATGATCTTTTTGTAACTTTTCATATTAAAATGTACATTTTTATCATAGAGCACACTTTACATTTGTAGGCATTATAGGAGTATTACTAGGAAGGGTAATATCGTCCTTTCGTCTGTTCATGTCTCTTACCATAGATATACTAGTCTATAAAAGAGTAAGTTAGTGCCCTAATGGTTTCCTTTTATCTCTCTTTCTTCACGGTAGGAAATTGCCTAATTCATTCTAACACTGTTTTCACAAAATTCTGATGCCTCTTTTTTCTCCTATGTCCTGTTATTAATTCAATGTTTGCCTTAACCTGCATTACTTACTAATTGACTAGCATGTACTTGTTCTCTTCTGCAATCAGGATAGTCTTAGTGTTATTGGCTGATCTAAGACTCACATGATCGTTTTTGTTGACAGCACACTCCTCGTGTCAATGGTGAAATACCCGATGTGAATGATGCAACCTTAGATCATGAACGATTGTCTGAAAGGTTGTGACCTTATCATATGCATTATTATCAATTTCTCGTTGATTTTTATTTTAAGTTGTTCAATACTTATAGTCTGCTCCAATTTAGGCCGTTTTAATTTGTCAGTTTCTTTTAACAAAAACTTTGTGTTTCCATTCCATTTTGCCACAAGGTCTCTTGAACTCCATTCCTCTTAATTGGCATCATGTTTAAAAATCATTTTGAGCCTGTGATGTTAATAATCTGGTGCAGAATACAGATCCTAAAACCACATTACCATCCTTGTTGGGTCTGTGTTTTCTAATTTTGTAGTCAGTTAGAGCTCAAATATGACATAAAGACATACTTCCTGGCATAATAGTCGAAGATTTTGCATTTGACATCTGGCCTTTCATACTTCTCATCTCAGTTAAGCATATAAATTGGTTTGTGTTTATTTGGTTATAATGGTTTTGTTTTCCATTCAGGTTGGCCACTTATGGTTTAGCTGAATTGCAAATTGAGGGTGATGGAAATTGCCAGGTCTTTATTTTTGTACCATATTTAGTCCTTTCTCTACCATCACCTTTTTTACCCACATTTATCATGCATATTATACCCATTTATACTTCCATATGCAGATGCACATATATGCCACAATGAGATTTCAATATGAAACTCACTGATTCTTGGCATAATTTCTGTTTTCTTTGTCTGCATCTGCTGTTTTGTTGATAAATCTTCTATGACGGTGTTTATTGTTATAGTTTCGAGCATTAGCAGATCAGTTGTTCCGTGATTCAGACTACCACAAACATGTCAGGAGGCAGATTGTCAAGCAGGTAAGGTTTATGCTGCTCCACAAATTCTCAAATGCAAACATCTCCTCTTAGCTTATTTTCAGATATAATCCTGTTGGATAAACATCAGCTGTAGTGATAAGTACAGGAGAACCCTTTCCGTTAGCAAATACTATGACTTGTTATATGTCTTAATTGAAGTAGGAGATTGTCCTATCTTTTGTTTTTAGGTATATTTTCTCTGCTTTTGTTTGTGAGATTTATTATGTCTCTGTTTATATGGGCAAACATGAGTACATATATAAAAGAAATAGTCTGACTTTGATAGCTGCATTTTTTAACATTGTCTCAGGAATAAAAGGTTTCTTCTACTAACATGAATTATAAAACACTTCAATACAAGTTCAAAATCTAAAAGATTTCCATGTGTGTATGTATATATATGTACCTACAGTTTTATGATGCCTATGTTGCTATTGAGAGTACAAGAGCAAATCTTGGTTGTTGATAATATATAAGGGTTAATTACACATTTGGTACCCAAACAATGGGCAAATTTTCGATTTGGTATCTAAAGTTTAAAAATGTGCAATTAGATACTCAAACTTTGCTTGTTATTACTTTGCACATGATATGCTTTATAAATATGCAATTGATAATCATGCTTTATAAAAGTTGGATTTTCCAAATGATATGCTTGTTATTAATTTGCCAACTTTATATAATTAATGATTTCTTTGAAACGAATTTAAAGCAATTGATAATTATGCTTTATATAAGTTGGATTTTCCAAAGATATATTTGGTGTATTATATTGCATGGATGTGGATACTGGAGTTCAAAATCATTTTCACGTGTTACTCTAACAGATAATTTTGTGGCTATCCCCTAAGTTTAGTTTCTAATGGTCTCTGATCATTAATCCTTTTGTCCCACTATTTTATTTTTGAGCGGCATGAACATTAAGACACATGTCTCTCTCCAGAAAAAAATGGCATGTCATTTCACAATGTGGGGTAGATAAGCAATAAGTGAGATTAGAATTATCATTTTAATGGTGATATTAACTCTCTATTGTTTTTCCTTTTATTTTTAATTTCTTAATTTTCAGCTAAAACATTCCAGAAAGTTGTACGAAGGCTATGTCCCGATGAAGTACAAAGGCTACCTTAAGAAGATGAAAAAGTTAGATACTGATTCTTCCTGAATTTCCTCCTGAAGAAAAGAAAAGATTTTTTAATGATCTCAAATGAGTAAATGCTAACTCGTTTAGTGCAAAATTTTCTGTTCCACTAGATCTGGGGAATGGGGAGATCATGTCACTCTGCAAGCAGCTGCTGACCGAGTAAGTTGAAGTTTCATCTTCTTGACTCCTTAGAGTGTCTTGTTGTTACTGCCCCCTAGAGATGCATTTTTTTTACAAGATATTAGCTGTTGTTTCTTTCATCTTACAAATAGCTCACATTTCCACTATATTTGAAATTTGAAGAGTTATGGTAAGCCTAAAGAAGCTAAAGTCAAGCTGAAACAAGCCATGTAATGAAACTCTTCTTTGTCAGCAATCTTTGTAGAAGAAGGCCTTGTCTACCACATTTAACTTGCAGATTCTTGTCTTATATTGAACTTATAAAAAAAAATTTACATTAGAATATTAAATGGCATTATGGTTTTTCCATCCTTAAAACTGAATCAATTTCCAAGAAGTTTTATGGCATTAAAACTATCCTCTGTTTGTGGACCTGTTAAACTTTCTCTGCTACTTCTGTTCAAAATGACATTGACTTAAAAGTCCTTTTTGATTTGAATAATCATGTCAGAGGAATGACTCTGTGAATTACTATTTTGGATCGATCTTCTTTAAAATCTTTCAATGAGCAAATGTTTCAGCATTGTTGTTGTCATTGCATACATGTTGATGTCTTGGACAGATATGAGCAAGCATACTCACAGTCTATTGTACAAGGCCTCTGTAAGATCCTTTAAAAGTTGTTTGACTAAATGACCTGATCTTATGTTCTACAATAGCATCTTAGATAGAAATGGCGATGGACTGCCACCATTTTCATTATTAAGTTATATTTGTGATTTCATATTTCTCTAAGCCCTTAATTGGCTATCCTATAAATGATTTGATCTGTATATTTGAAATAGCTTTTTGATTATTATAATATTGAACTTAGAACTTACAAGGGGACTGTGAGTATGCTGGCTGTAAATACTAAATACTTTGGTTTGTATTTCGAGGTGGCTTTCAGATTATTGGAACGTTGAGCCTAGAATTTTCTCTCAGTAAAGTGTTCCTTCTTCTTCCTCTTGTCTTTTCTGTTTCTATTTCTTGCCCCATTCTTCTGTGTTTCTCCCTATTTGTCTGCTTATCCTCCATGTCTCTCTCTACTCTATCTCTTCAAACCTGTTCTTAATCAAGTGGTTTTGTGGAGATAGGATAAAACTCATTGCACGACTTCATAAAACTCGTTGCACGACTTCATGCATACAAGGTTATAGTTTTTAATCTATCTTTTGCTGTGAGATTGGTAAGTTAATCCATGCTTATGAAGTTGAATGACAAGGCCTGAGTATGGGTTCCGTAATCTTACTGTGCTCTTTGAAATGCTTTCATGCTATTGTCCAAGGTTTTTTATGTAAAATTTATGCATATGTCTAAAACTTAAAGTCCCCCATGCAATACGTTCTTTCTTTGTTATTCTATCTATTAGCTATTTCATTGAGTTTTCAACTTTTGATGTTGATCTTTATGATATCAAATACAGTTTGGAGCCAAAATTAATTTAGTAACCTCTTTTCGTGATACTTGCTACATCGAGATCATGCCCAAACAAGCAAGTCCTACTAGAGGTAGATGTTATTTCTATATCTTACCTGATTTGTCTTGAGGCTATCCTTTCTGTTGCTTGATAGAAATTTTATTTCTTATAAACTTTTATAGTAGTTTTATTTTGAGCATAGGTAATTACATTTCTCAACCACGTTAAGTGGTTAACGATAGGAAAATGTGTCTTTTCACTTGACTAGCAAAGGTTATAGCACATAGACGATATGGTTAACCAAAAGCACAGACGAGGTTTGCTATGCTTGCTTCTAGTTTTAGTCAAGCACATTGCGAGCTCAGCATAGCTCAAATAGGCTTTTCATATTTGGTAGTAATATCTGAAAGTAATTTCGAAATAAATATCTGTTGATTATCTGAGTGTGTTGGTTGCCCACCCCATAATTTATTCAATTACCACGTCTAAAGGAATCAAGAATGCAAGTGAAACCCTATCGGTTTGTCGACCCTACCCTTGCACCAAGGCTAGGAGGTTACTTATTCCCCATCCAAAGAACTGTGGCAACCATAAATATTGCACATCTTGTCTTGGCTTATGGCAGTTGCTAGATGCCATAAATTTGAAAAACTTCTACCACTTCTCAAGACTTAGTAATCTTTGCTACAAACACTAGTAATGGACTGTAGGAATTTTTGGCATCTGAGTTGCTTGTTTTTCATTTAATTTGATTGTTTTCGACATCTCTATGAAGACAATAAACATTGTTGTGTATTTCAGAAGTCTGGCTGAGCTTCTGGAGTGAAGTACATTACAATTCATTGTATTCTAATGGAGGTGAGACCAGTTTTACTACTTTCATTACTTTTGTCTTTTCAGTACTGTTACCTTTTACGTTATTGTTTTCATGGCATCAGCTGGATTAATAAACTCCGTTCCCTCACCTGATATTATATGTTTACAGATGTTCCCACCAGAGCACCAAGAAGAAAGCATTGGCTCTTTTAGGATTATATATATATATAATATTCACCGTTTATATATATATCGAATGTACTTTTTCTTTACCTTTATACTACCTTCCAAAACTTGAGGCTGATGTTGTAATTTTATAACTAAAATTTTACTTTTTATACAAATAATTGACATTAATAATAATCTTTTTGTGTATGTATATAACTAAAAGTCCCGGAATCTCTACGAGAAATATTTCACCTATAATTTTTATTTTTTTTTTACAATTCATCAATTAATCAATTATAATAAAAAAAATAAAAATTTATTATCTAAGAGTGTGAATTCTACAAATTTTTAGAGACTTTACATAATCCTAAATTAGTAGGCTTTTTTAAACACCAAATTATAATTAATTAATTATATTATAATTTTAGGTACTATCATGAAATTATGATTGCTAAATTGGGATTGCAAGTTGCTGCTTTTGGAATGGGTCTAATCATACATTTAAAAAGCTTTCCCCTGACCTTTTGGAATTCTGATAGGTAGCTGAACGAAATCATACATTAAAGAATGAATTATTACAGGATAGCATCAAAGTCTGATTATATATATAAACATGTCAAATACTTTCTAAATTATTACAGGATTCTGATTACTCAGAGAAGCCCCTTGCCTTGAATAACTCGTCAGTTTCCAACAAATAGATGAAAAGAAGCACGACAGACACCCACTTGGACATCATCAGACTCCATCAGAACTAACATAATGAAACAGTATATAAAAAAGTTTCCAAAGGTTATGTACATTCTAACCCACTACGCTTCCACTTGTATTGGAGTCTCAACACGGAGCACCAAAATAAAGCTCCCCAGAAGCTGAACTTCCAGTCACCAACTCCCATCATAATACACATTCACGTTACTATAAGTTCCATCAAGTTGCCAATCTTGGATTCCTTCTCTTCAAGGATTTAAAATAAAAAAAAAAAAGATAAAAATAAGAGGGATAGAAAGGTGAGGGGAGAGTACAACCACAAGAACCAAAGTGCAAGGCAGATAATGATGGCCCCTCTAAACCAGACTCCTACAGTAACTACACACCCCTTGATTCTGCTCTCCCATTCCACATTATATCAGAGGTAGTGTTGAGGACATTTTAACACTACCCTTGTCCTTTATTAACCCCTCACTGATTCAGAGTTTATTTGGCTAGCACTCCCAGCAGGTGAATGGGATCCATTGGTGGGCACATAACGCTGAGAAAAGTCCATCAAAAGCTTCCTCTGGCCTTCATTTGTGTGAGGAAGACTAGCTCGTAGAAGCTCACAAGGCATTTCACGGCTTATAGCCTCTGAACCAATTAGTTCCGTGCTTCGCTGAGTCTGGTTATGCATTGATTGCATTATCATCTCATATTTACTTGCACAATACTTGGTAAGGAGAGCGAAAAATTCATCAAACGATGCCCTCCAGAACGCATAATTAGGCATGCTGCAACTTCCAGAAGGATGACTTAAAAGTTGAGTGGCCCTTTCAAGAACTGGTTTTACAATAACTGAAGCACCATCCCCAGCAGGGCTTCCAATGGGCCTAAGCGGTGGCTGCTCTGAAGAACAAACAACTGCAACAAGGCAAGCACTAAGTGCACGAAGTTCCATGCCATTAACACACATAGAAACAGTCTTTGCAAGATTAGTAGTTGTCTCAGCTGCTTCGGGATCAGAAGAAAGACCACCAAACAAGAATCTCAAGTGTCGGAAAATGGCCATGCACACTATTCGAATAAGCTCACTTCCAGGGATGAGAAGCTGAAGGAACCTGGTGAGGAGCTTACGGCCCTTTGCAAGAGAGACTAATCTTAGGAACACAATGTCATCCTTGGGAGCACAACTAACTGCATGCCCGCCTTTGCTAAGTGGATCAACAAGCTGAAGTGATGCTGCCATACCTTCAAGCAGGATCTGCCGCCTCCGCCTGAGCTGAGCCCCACCATCTTGGGGTTGACTAAATAGTATGAGCCTGTCAATATCATCAACATCAAGAAGAAGACAGAGACCATCTTCAATGGTAATTCTAGCCGCAAAAATAGGTTCCTGCTCCAGAGGCTTCTCAGTTTTCTGTTCAGAAATCCCATCACCTGAACCTAAGGGAGGATCAACTTCAAGTAGAGGACGAGGTCTACGAATGGAAGAGAAGGGAACCTTGCCAAGTGCATCAGCATGGAGATGCAAATGCTGCTCTCCACTGTTACGGGATCGAGAATGTAATTCCTTCAGGTGAGATGGGCAAAAGTGATTTTTAGCCCTGGATCCAGAAGATCTTTTGACAAGACAAGCTTGGTGGTAATAATCATCTACATAAGGATCATTGCTATGCATGGCAGAATGCTGCATCTTAAGAATACTCTCTATCTCTTCAGCAGTCATATACTTGGATCTGAATTGCACCAACCCACTGCCGCTTTTCTGGCTACCAGTATCAGAACTTTGCTGAGAAAACCGCATGCTCTGCCTGTTTCTTTGTGATGATTTAGTTCTTTGATCCCTAAGATCAGCCAGTCCAAGTATCATTTTATGTGATGAAGGATGGGCATTATACAGCTGAGATTGCAATGCTGCAAAATGTGCCAAGGACGGTTGAACTGAATGGTGCAGTCTCTGCTGTTGCAACTTCTTTCGTGGTGACATTAGGCCATTTGGATGAGGTATTTGCTGTTGCAACATATTATGCAAAAGACCTGCGTGATCTCCGTGCAATAAACCAGAGTGGTTAAACCAGTGATTTTGTGACCTGCTACTAAAAGATAGGCCTGGAGATGTTAACTGGGACATATTACCACTGTAATGCAGTCCATGATATAGACCAGCCAGATTAAGACTAGAGTTAGACAATGGAGAGAGGCTTGCTGCAGCGAAGGGTGGCTGAGATCCACCACTAAGAGCGGAAATTTTCAGGTGAGCAGGTGAAGACTGCTGGCATCTGCTACCAGGAGGAGGGAAAGATGTGAAGGTTGATTTGGGTCCAACAATTGGTTCACTTGAGAAGTGAAGTGGCTGTGGTTGCTGCTGGGGATATGAGGAAGTTCTATACAAAGGCTTCGATTCAGAAACACGAGCAGAAGAAGGTTGTGGCTGTGAGGACCATCTCCTAACTTCTTGAGCATCTTCTGCATCAAACATATGCTGATCCATCCAGTTTATATACTCTCCATCCTGAGCCCAGTCAGCAGCAGATGAACCTGAAAAGAATTTTTTGCAACATGAAACATAAGCAATTAAAAATATAAAAGTTATCAACCACTTACCACAAATCTAACAACTCATTACTCAACAAATGTGAACAGCTCAGATACTAACAAAGGAATTTCTAATTAACAGCTCATGCATTTTACACAATCGACAAGCTCTATAATGTTATCTTAAAAGATGAGAAGTTTAGGTTAAAGAAAAGGAAGTTGAGTAAGAGTAACTGCAATATCATCCTCAAGTTAATCTTTTAGTTAACCACTTTTGCAAAGAGATAATAAAGAAAAGTAAAAAAAAAAAAAAAAATCCAACATTCACGTAATTCACCATGAAACCATGTTAGGACTAGAACAAGAACATATGTGAGCTTGCACCACATTGGAAAAATATAAAAGAAATAAGCTAGCATGGCCTTGAAAGAGAAAATGCAGAAGAAAGTTGGCTCAGCAATATGTCCAGCATGTACATGTAAGAAAAACAAAGAGACCAAGTCATCTAGAAGAGACAGCATCATTAATTAAAGCATATGCTTCCAATGCTTCAACACAAATTGGGTAAGGCTAATTGCAGCACTGCAGCAAGAAAAAATGGGATAACTAATTTAACCAAAATTACACTATGATTAAAAAAAAAGGAAACTGATAGTAAAACATGAAGAAAAAAAAAAAGGATGCAAATGTAAGAAAATAGCATGAAGTATTTAAAGAGAATATAGCCACAAACAAAGATGCATTACTTAATATAAAGAAGAGTCATCAACAAATCTTGAATCTAGCTCTACAAGAAAAGAATAAAAAACTATTTATGAAGGGTGGCACTGTTCCTGTCCCGGGAGACGGGTGAGGGTTGCTCTCTCTGGAGATTTTCATGCAAAAAAGTGTAATAAAAGATTTTATTTTTTTCAAATATCAATTGATATTACCTTGTTCATTCATTAATACAGATTATAAATAAAATATAGTAGCATAAAATATGGCATAATTCTACTCACTTTCCCTTGAAAAAGATCCAGATCTATCACCAATAACTCCTGGATTTCTTGGTCCTGTAACAACTCTATTCAACTATGGGAAAAAAAAAATGAAGAAATATATTAAAATCCAACCAACATGAAAGGACAATAAAAACAAAACAGCATCAGTAGCAAGAGAATAACAGAAAATAAACAAATATCAGCATCTGGAGAATTACATAATTGCATACTTTGTAAGATATTCAATCTTCCAACATCAGGGTAAAACAATGGTCTTCAAGGCCGTCTTTAGGAAACAAAAAAAAAAAATGAAAAGGTCATCTTATTTAAAACAGCGATTCTGGACTCCACTCTCTCCCATTTTACACTTGTTCATAAAGGAGAAAAGAACTTCCAAAATCTTAACCCAAAATTGTCGGGGAGAGGAAGAATTCCCTTATTCTAAAGTAAAGTCTTAACCCAAATCTTAACCCAAAAGTAAAGTCTCCAACAAGTCAAAATGGTGATCAACAACAAAAAATATAAAGACCGGTCTATGGATTTCAATGTTACATAACAAACTGTCTTCAAATATAAGAAACATCAATAAATCATACAAAACAAAAATCCAAATATTTCAGCAAAAAGATCAATTAAAATAATGGCCACCAGCAACTCAAGAAACAGACATATCAAATCTTATAAGCACCAGTTGGTGAGAAATGTTAACTAATGACATTCATCACACCACAACATTTATAAATTAAAAAAAAAAACCAGACCTTTGCAAAAGTACTAGCCAGATCATCCATGTCCGATAAAGATTCTAGACCTACAACCTGCAAAACAAATAACAGGAAAATTAGAGCTGAAATAGTCATATTTAAAAATCCAGAAACATGGAAAGTTGAAACCAAGTTTACAGTTTAGCACAAGATTGATTACTGCATAGAGGAGAAGGGACGGGCTGCAATATCGACTAAAAATTAAAAATAAGACAAAAAAAAATCAATGTGCATCAGTGCAGAAAACAATGGCATAATTCCTTCAAAACATGAACAAATGCAACAGAAAGCTAATACAATAACTGCTTCCCTTAACACATTACAATACAATATAGGAATCACATGTTATGCTAAAGCTTTATTTTATGTGCGCATCTTTCTGCTTTTGGATATCCCATGTCAATAAGAATAAAAGCAACTATTTCTTTTATCCCATGTTACCCTTAATTTCAAATTCAGCCATTTCATAATGCGTTTATGAGGTCATATTTGTAGAATAAATATCTATAGTAAGATGTTTTCATGCATCTTATTGTCCTCAAATTAATCACACCTTTACAAAAGGGAAATTTCAAATGGATAGAGAAAGTAACTAATTTTCAAATCAACAACTCCCTTCACTTGGGCAACAAAACTTGGTATTCAATGATGGAGATTGCATATGCATAACTTAAATTAGAAACCACAAAGCATACTAAGGCAACTTTCAATCGCGATGCATTAATTCGACACATGTTAAGTTATGAAACAACTTAGACTACAACTCAAGTGACAAATGTGAAATTAAGGACCAACAAACTCCCACAGAAATTATGTTTTAGGGCCATAACAAAGGATTATCATATCATGGAATGAAAATGTAGCAGTAGTTACAAAGCAATGCGGAAGGGTCAGTGCAAAATAAACTTGAATTCGTGGCACACTGCATAACCAAAGGAATGCAATCTTACCTCTCCTCTATCAAACATATGGTACTCATCATCTTCAACTGATGCAAACACTTCACCATCTTCTAGACTGCCCAACACCACTTCATCCACAGCATTTTGACCGAAAAATTCGTATTGGGATGCATCAAAAAGCGCATTATCTGCAAAATTGTTAACTAATTAGAAATTAAACAATACCATAGAAGACAATCAATCAACATAATATAGCTTAATAAAACATCAAATCAAAAGAAACAGGAAAAAAAATCTCTAAAACAAACCTAGAATTAAAACTTAGAAAAGAAGAATAAAAAAGAAAAAACTTTGTTTTTTTAGAAGGCAAACAAGTAATCAAGCAAAGACAATAAAGTTAGTGGGTTAATAGTTAAGTCCCGTTTGGTAGCAGAGAAAACGATGTAAATATCCAAGCTTTCCAAGGGAATTCATTTTCTTTCGCATCATAAAAGCAACCCTAAAACCAAATGAAAGAATTGAAAAGAAAAAAAGCAAAAAAAAAAAAAAGAAACCTGAGGAAGCATGAGAGAAGTTGTTGGGAAATTTGCCATCGGATCTCTCCATATTTACAAAAGCAACCTAAAAAGAAAACCTAGACACAGCAACAGCAGCAGCAAAAGAAGAAAATAAAAGAAAAAAAGGGTTTGAGGATTTTTTTTCAATTAAGTTGGAGGCATCACGGGAGGGAAGAGTGGCAAGCAGTGTAAATAAACGGGGATTAGGAGGGTTTTTATTTAGGTTACCAAATAAATGTCTCTCAGAGAGACATTAGAGAAGGGGTTTTAGGTTTTCGTTCGGGGGTTTGTGTGTTTTTTGCGTGCGCGCTTAGAAAATGACGGTGATGACTGATGCGATTGACCATTCATATTTATCGAAACCATTAATAAAAAGGAAAAATGCGATTAATATATCAAAAGTGAAGATTAGATTTAAAAATTTTAAATAAGAAATAAAAATAATATGAATAAAAAATATAAATAAAATATAATTTAAAATTTTAATGAAAATTATAAATAAATTTTAAAAAATATTTTATATTTTTATTTTGACATTAATTATATATAAATTTTATGTAAAACATAATATAAATACATAAAATTTTAATATTTTACATAATATAAGTGTAAAAATTATCAGCAAAAATTTTTAATCCCTAAGCTTTATTATATCTTTGTTTCACTAAATTTCTAATTACTAATATACGAGTACACAAAGTTTTTTTTTTTCTAATGTGTTAAAATTTACAATTTTCCAATAAAGAATTTTAGGTAAAAAATTTCTATTATAATAGTAAATAATAACAAGAAGACAATATATAATTAAATTGATTTTAATATTTATATGAATTTTTTTATTATTTGTTTGATAATTTGTATACTAAATTTAATAGTTTATATTATTTATTGGGGATGATTAGATTTATCCGAAGATTTATGAGATATTTTAAATAAAAAAATTACTTTCTAATTAAGTATCAACTTTTCATAAATTTTTAACATTTATTATTATTATTATTATTATTATTATTATTATTATTATTATATATTGACAATGAAGATTTTAAACTCATTGATTCAGGTAATTGACTACCCATGTTAATTTAAATTATTTTTTTCGTCACAAAATTAATTTATTAATTTTATATTTATATCATATGGGTACATGAAAAATTAAAAATTTTATAAACTTACTATAAACAAATATTATAAACTTCTTTGTAAAATTTCTACTATCATATCATATGCAAAACCTCAAATTATCTGCTACAAAAAATCAGACAAATAAATTTATCATGCATCCAAAGGAATTTTGAATTCCAAAATTTCAAAAAAAAAATTAATAAATAAGAGATCGTATCTTAATATAAAAAAAGATATTACAAATATTAAAATTAAAATTTCATATTTATTAAATGTCATCGCTTTACATTAACTAACTGAATTATACTTCTAGCTCGAGTTAAGAATTTCACTAGCTAAGACTTACACTCGGTGTTTTGAAAGGTATCAATGTAATTTCATATTATCATTTGAGTTAAGCAAAAGATGATGAACTTTCCATGCTAAATGCTGCAAACAAGCCATTGAATAGAAAACTGCACTGGAAATCAACTTCCAGAAAGCCAACACTTCTCTGGTCTGTTGCTGATTCCAATACTTTTTGGGTCAGATGAGCACAAAATTGTGGGAAAGAAGAGAAAAAAAATGAGAACAATATGTTTTAGGGTGGTCAATCCAATCAGATTTACCATAATTAAGTTTTTTTCTGATGAACAAACCGCTGCAGACTTTTTGGCATTTCTGTTTCTGTATTAGCTTTCTGCGTCTTTCTGGACATTTCTTGTTCCTTGATTCGTTGCTCGAAGAAAGGCCTCTTGGCTCTATCTATATCTCTTTTCCCTTCTTTGCTCATTTACTTGGCTTATTCTTTCCCATTGTTTTCTTTTTGTAGTCACTATCCTTGGCAGCTTTAACAGCAGCTTCCATTTCAGCTTCTCTATCCGCCTTTGTCGGATTTTCTTTCTTGCTTGCTGCTCTCACTGTACCAACCTTAGTTGGGTCCAACATGATTGTTTCTGGGGGGAGCTTGTCAAGCGGAGAGTGCACTTCCTTCTCTCGCCTCTGTTTAGATGCTTCAAATAGGTTTGCCACCCAAGAATCAAAGTTGGGTTCCCCTGATCCTGGAATAAGAATGCTAGACCAACCCATGGAGTGCCCTATCCCCAGAATATCTTCATATGGTTGAAACAAAACTTTTCCGACCTGGTAACCTTTTGCTATAGAATGAGTCATATATCTGCTATAATTCTGAGATCCAGACAAATCGGCTAAAATTTGAACCAATGAGCCAGTTCCAGCAGCAAGCAAGCCTTTCTGACTGAAATTCAATGTCTTTGCATGACCTGGCAATGTTTGAATAACTTCAAACTTCCTAAGGTCCCCAGATCTTAATTTTGTTTTCTTCCCAGATGTAACCATGAGATTGGGATGGAACGCCAACGACGAGACAGGTCCCGGATGACAGAGCATCTTTACAAGTGGAGTAGCACTGGTGTGGGCTTCCACATTGTTAGTGTACCACTTGAATGACCTAATGCAACAACCCCATTGAATGGATTGACTTGCATTACATCAGTGCGGCCTGAACCAGTCCGGAAATTACCTACCATCTCACCCACAGTAACGTCCTGATAATGTAGCTGCCCAAATTTGTTTATTGATGCCAAAAGGAAATGGTTTCTAAGAAACTGGAGCCTTAGTACTGCACCATGTTCCTGAAAGAATAAAAGTAAAAGCATAACTCAATTTCCGCTTAATGAATCTCGAGTAAACTTAACAACCAAAAACAAGGATGCAGCCAAAAGTGGATAGCTAAAAATGAATATGCTAAAAGCAAAAGATTTCCTAAAGGTAGTGTATTCAAAGAATCATAATGTGCCTATGGATTATCTGAACCACAGAATAACCAGAGGCAACAAACATGGCCGGGCCAAAGAAAACAAAACACACAATCAAACTTAGTTGAAGAAACAATAAGCAAGAATTTTATTTCGGATTAGCCTTGCACTTATCAAATGCTAGTAAAATTTAATACAAGCTTCCCAAAGCTTTGTAAGCTCAGGAATACATACAGAGAGAGAGAGAGAGAGAGTTATTTTTCATTGAAAACTTTGTAAGCTGGGGTAAACGGAGGTGGAAAAACAGCAAGGTCGGATAAAATACAAACCCCACCAAATCATTTAATCATCCTATTGTCTAATAAATAGATACATTCATTACCTTCAAATTAGCAGCTTCTCCTCTGAGATACTTCTTTACTGTTTCATCCATCTCATCATCACCATGCTCTTGTTTTGCACCCATTGTTATAGAAAGAAAAGGGAGAGAAGCAAAACCGGTTTGCCTGTTCCAAGGAGCTGCAGCTGCTGGTTTATGGCAGCTTGGGTGGAAACTGGAAGCTGCTGAAATTGAAGGTCCTGAAGGATGAAGGACGAAGAGACAGGGTTAATGCCTAGAAGGACAGAGACAATGAATGGGCACATTCATCCATGGCCATGAGTCCACCCTAATTTGGGCTCGAAAGCTCAAAAATTTTTGCCCACATTCAATCTTTCTGGGATCGGCTCGTTTCAATCAGGTTCTTGCCCAAAAAAACTACAATGAGGTTGAATCCGCGAAGCCAGGCCAATATCTAAAAGGATTAATATGGTGAATGGGTTTTAAATTATTATAAAATATTTAATATGATATTTAAATTTAAAATTTTTTTAATAAGATATTTAATTTATAAATTTATTAATTAATGTAATATTTGAATAGTTGATTATTCGTTACGTGTCATTATTTAAAATTAATAACATTAAAAATAAGTATTTCATTAATTAACAAATTTATAATTCAAACATCATATTAAAAATTTTTTAAATTTAAATATCATTTTAAATATTTTAATATAATTTAAAAACCATTCATAATATTAACCTTCTCTTAAATCATTTTTACCTATGCAATACACAAAATAGATATATAAATATAAAACAATTTTAACTTTTGTAAAAGCTAAAAAATATATTAAAAAAGTTAAAAATTGTTTTTTTTTATATTATTTTGATACTTTATAATTTCATTAAAAAATTATATTATTTTTGTTGAAAGAAATTATTCTAGCACCTAAATGAAATGCCTCAAGTATTTTTTTTTTTTTTTGGATAAATAAGACCTTAAGCAAGTTGCTTAAAGCTACAAGGTTTCCTTCACACTCAAGACAGCCACAGCCAAATTTCAAGGTCTTGATTTAACATGCAAGATGTGAACTTGGAAAACTACAACTACAATCATATTGCATTAATGCCAAATCTCTCATTTTTTCCTAGGCTTTCCCCTCCCCTAAACATGGATGTGAACGGATGGAATAGGAAATTAAGAATGACAAAGCACAAGAAGACAATCCTTCAAATAGTAGACTACGTGCCATCCATGTCCTTCCATCTTGGAGGGTATACATCATTTCACATTCCTCATCCTATATTACTTTAATAAGATATTATTAATTATAAGGCAAAAAAAAAAAATCTTTAATGAAAATTTAATAATCCTTTAAAATTTTAATATTTTATTGTAATTAATCAAATTTTAAATTTTTTTTATTTCAAATTAGTTAAACTTTTCACTTATTTGAGTCATTGATTGAACGAAAATAATTAATTATTTTTTAATAAAAATTCAATCAATGAAAATAAATGTTTAAATTTTTAATTAATTAAAAAATTAAAATTTAAATAATTATTAAATTTTAGTTTAGAGGGTTTTTTTTTTTTTAATCTTTTGCCTAATTTTAATTTATACCTTAAACCAGTCGTACTCTATGAATTGACCAACATCAACATCCACCATGTGAATACAAACCTCTGCACATTTCTCTCAAACTGTGAAAAGGAGAGATTGTCACTTGTTCTGTTTCCTAGCTTCCAGGCTACACAGCCCCTATGATCTTTATTCCTTGTATATATGCATATCTGCTTCAATTTTAACTTCATATATATATAAATATTTGTTGGGTTTCTTGGGAATCTCCGCTACAGGAGGGTGGCTTCCAAATAAAAGCCAGTTGGAAACCTTGAAACTATGGGGAAGAAAATATTGAGCCAAGTGCAAGTGAAAATATCTAAGAATTCTAGTGAAAAGAAGCAACTCAATGGTTTGATAAAGGTGTTGCGGCCCAAGGTGTACATCACTGACAGCTCCAGCTTCAAAACCCTTGTTCAACATCTAACTGGCAATGGAACAATAGTGCCTGTTAATGAGGGTGGAAACCCTGAAACTAGCATGGAGTCATCCTTTGATGGGTCGCTTGAGTCAATCCAGGTCTGCAACGATTTAGCCTTGAGTTCTGAAGATCAGATGAATCAAGCCCATCATCCTATGCATTTTGATGAGAAGATGTCTGAACACTTGTTCATGAATATTCAGCAGGAGGATTCAGTGGTACATGGGGATCTTGATTCATTGCTACATTTTGATGGTGATTCCTTCAACGTGTATTCTCAAACTCAGCAGGACGTCAGCATTTATGACTATGAGTTATCAGGACTGATATGACAGCCACCTCTCAGCTCCACCCTCCATGATCAATTTCCAATCCTATGGTTTTAATATCTCAGACTGTCATCTTGTTGCTGTAAATAAAGCACCGAAATCCACATATGTGTAGATAATTAATGAAAGAGTTTTTTGTTTTATTATTTTATTATTATTCTTTAACTTCACAAACAAAATTGATCCACAGAAAGGTTTATATTCCATCTCTAGCTGTGTCTCCTTGAAAATGGCTTTTATATATATATATATATATATATATATACACACACACATTTACCATGCTATATATTGATAAAAAAATTAAAACCAAAGTTTTAAAATAATTAATTAGCATAATGAAATAGTTAATAAACATATAGTGCAATCTTTGTTTTTGGTTATGGTGGTTAATCGTGGGAATCATATTGACTGAAACTTCGTTAATCACAAGTTCAAAGAATATTTATCAAGCAAATTAAAATCTCATCGTTCATAAATGCCATCTATGATATAGCTGGACAAATTCATTAATCCACACTATATTATTCATCCGTTCGAAAACTCTTCAATGTGCATACATATTTGTTATAGTAAATCATAGAATAATATCCATGTCATGGCCCCAATTTTTGATGTAAATGGCTTTATAATTTACTGTTTTTGCACTTCTTCCATTCCTTAATTATAAATATGAAATTTAATTCAATTGGTTTATACTGACATTTAATAAATTTTAAATTTAAATCTCAGTATTTTCAATTCTTCTTTATTTAAAATAAATTTAATAATTTAAAATATAATATGATAATACGATATGAATATAATATAAAAATAAGATATAAAAGTGATACAATTTAAAATTTAAACAGTAATCATATATAAGTTTAACAAAATAAAAAAAATTTCATGTTTTTATATTAATACAAATTATGACATAATTTTCATGTAAAATTAAATACAAACATATAAATTTTAATATTTTTTACTATATATACGAATCGTTAAATCTAATTTTATGTGTGATTTTTGTGTTTAATTATTATTGTCTTTTATTATTACATAATACTTGTGGACTTTGATACGTGAAAAAGTGATTGCTACATTTGACCAGCACGTCTCTATCCCTTCAATTAATGCAACTACAAACCTTGGCATATATTGCTAATTCCTTTTGAGGTAGATACAAGAAAATCTAATTACGCGATTCTTAAGGGTTTGGTGTTGTGTTGTTATGGACTCCTATTATGAAACTTGGTTTAGAAAAAACATAATTTTCAGCATCTTTTCTTCATGTCCTTCGACTTGGTTCTTGTCCATAACCTCCACACACCTATCCATTTCAATGGAAACTTTATATTTATAGCTCTCTTTCAGGTCCCTTTCATTGATCATAACCAAAACCCAAGTAAGATTTTCCTGAAACAATAATGGGAAAAGAAGGTAAATCAGCTGAAAAAATCTAAGAACGAGAAGCAACTTCACAGCCTGATAATAGTTTTGAGGCCTAAGGTTTACATTACAGACAGCTCAAGCTTCAAGCAGCTTGTTCAAGAGCTAACTGGCTATCGGAGCCAAACTACTACTAAACCTGAAGAAGTTGAGATTCTTGAGAAGGTCCCGGCTGTCAGCGAAATACCTGCCACCACCACAACCTTATCTATGGATTCATCGTTCAGTTCATTCGAGTTATGTGACCAAACATTTCAATCAGGCAAAGAAATATATAAACTAAGTGGCCTGATGCAGACAGCTGATGACATCTCAACGTTTGATCAAGTACCGCCTTTGTCTACGAACCAACAGACGGATTGGCTAGCATACCAGAATCTTGTGTCATGGCTTTTCGACGCTGAGCCATATTCTTGCTCTATCGGTTACACTCAGCAAGAACAAGAGGACAGCTTATTTGACTATGACTTCTCAGGGCTACTATGAGACATGCACTGCTTGTTCCGATACAAGTAGTGCCGCTGCAAACAAATGCAGAACATACCAAAAGCCTGACTGATTAATTGATTGATGTATTGATTCACTTCATAACCCATTGCAGAGATGCAACATATATAAAACATGTAGAATTAACTTTTCTTGGACAGAAAGTTCAAATGCTGTTATTGCTCCGTTCGACGTGAAGGGTTCCAATTAAGTTCATATGCCTTAAATTTTCCTTTCAACATGTTCACATGTTTAAAAAAATGTTCTTGAGTCGGCGTGACGTTGATTTCATAATGCAAAACTGCCTAACAGCACAAGGAAACATTTTAGATTAAGTGTGAAAAACAATAACAGTAGATAATTAAGCAATGATTTTATATATTCCAAGGAAAAGTGGTATAACAAGGATGAGAAAGCAGAAAAGCCAACTTATTGGAACATGCACACATATTAGAAAGACGGGGAAGGATCTGATTGAGAAACTGAGTTATTCGATAAAAGCAATGGCCTTTTGTTATCTTGGTCTTGCCGGCGCTTGTTGTGGAACTGGGAGGCTGTACAAGGACTTCAATTGCCTGCTTATCAACTTGCTCTTACTTAGAGCAAGCCGGAGATCCAAGTCATCAGACCACCACTGCTCTAACCCATGAGCCTCAAGAAACTTTTGTTTCCCCTTCGACATCACAAACAGCTTCGCTGGAACTTGACCAGTTGTAGGACTAACATTCTCCTTGTCAGCATCTTTTTCCTCTGTTCCTTCAGGGTCAGTGTAGTGGCAACAGATGTAATCACTATTATTCACATATAAGTGAGGCACCCATTTTTTCAATCCCACCGAAGTTTTCTCCTCATATATATGGGCTAACCAATTCTTTAGGCCTAAAGAGTTATCCTTGATCCCCTCATCACCACTGGCCTGAAGTTCACTGCTTGAAGGAAGCATCGACTTTAGTCTCTTCCAAGCAAACCCTGCTTTTTCTCCAATGTTTCTTAAGCTCATAGTCAGCGAAACAGAAGGCGGGTTAAACAAATGAGCATCCACATATATCCCTTCTTTAGCCAATGCTTTTCCCACTTGTAAAGCAAAGCCAGCCCCCAACGAATGGCCTGCTATACATACGTTCCTGCTTCCATACCTTTCAGCGACTGATTTTAATGCCACCAATGCTCCTTTAAATCTCACTGAACCCTTCAAGCTTTCCCAAGCTAGAAAACGTAGGTCATCCTCAATATCCCTTCTGATAGTTGGACCTTTGAGTATCGTTCCTCGAAGTGCTAAAACAGCCTTTGGTGCTCCACTAGGTCTAATGAGCACAAAGTCAGCCAGGGCTGCTGACTGATCCCATTCTAATACTGCTCCATAAATAGATCCATCCCTTTCATCAATCAAAGTTTGGGCTAGCTTGTACTTGAAGGCCATCCACCACTTTGGAGCAAGAGCATTTTCATCCGTTCTGTTCTCTTGTCTGTCCAATTCAAGCAGATAAGCCGCTTGTATGAAGCATGCAATTACGGTTCTCTTATAGTTTGCATCTTTCCTGCATTCATGAATCATTCATTAGCAAGATTGGCAGAGTTGCTTATCTAAAATTTTGTCTTTTAAACCTATATAGATGGCATATGCCTTTAATAGAATTTATCTCTTTCCAAGACAAGAATTTGCACATGTAAATCCCATGGATTCATTCAATGATAGCTAGCAGGATAATTTGTGGTGAGTCAAACATAATCAACTAGATCTCAAATTTCAAAAAACCCATTTCCTAACTTTCAGATGTTATTGAAACATTCAAAACCCTGACCCAAAAATTTCCATCCAAATCCAATACAATGTTCTGATCAGATCATTCTTCCGCAATCACTGAAATCAGTGCCTTCTGATGCAAGGACTAACACTAGACTTGCTCTGCTCATAGAACTTCAATTTACCATTGAAATCCTCTACTATCAAACAAGGTTCTAACTTCTACCACATAGCCTAAGATGTTCATGGAATCATTAAAACTGAAGAACCTAAATGACCAAAACAGTGAGAAAAGCTCATAGATTTGGAGAGAAAAAGGAAATGGGCATCTTAAATTAAACATTTAAACTTCATTTTATCAACCAAAGTTGTATAGTAGCAAATAATTATAATATAATAAAACCATAAAGAAGAAAGATGAAATTAGGAGGAAATTTTTACTGACCAACTGGAATTGATGAGGTCTCTCCAATTAGGTTTAGCCACATTGCGAGGTCCAGACATGTTAAATGAATATTGGTGTGCTTCTTCTTTTACTTCTGCTGCTTCTTCCACCACTACCACCATTGATCCTTCCTCCTGCTCCTTTGTTATCTCCTCTGCTCCACGCTTTGCCATTCCAAACAACCCAATGCAATATAAATTAATCAGCTTAGTTCCTTTGTTTGCATGCCTGAGAACAACTGAACAAGAAAGAGAAAGCTTTGACGACACGGTTTTGTTTCTGTTTCCTCTTTGGTCGTGTGAAACCTTTGACTTGGCATCAAAAGGGTAGTATTATTTATAAACCAAAAAAAAAAAAAAGGAATTTCAAGTAATTTGAAACGCCTGGATTTGTAGGATCTGCAACGGTCATATGTCATTCATGATGTCGGTTTCCAATTGAAATGACCATACTAACCTTCCATCTTCGACCTGAAGGAAACCTTCGACGTGTCTTGTCTGTATGGAAGTATTGAGTTTGTTTGACTTTCCATGAAGGTTACTTTTGGATTTTGGATTACAGATCGGATGGCAGCGCGAGTCAACTAAACTGCCAACTGAGGTTCATAATCCTCTAATAACCATACAATCCTATCTTAGGGTGAATTCGGTTCGATTTAGTTTGATTTAGAGAAGATACTAAATGATTTTGATAACGGTTTCTGAAGAAAATCAGCTCTATATGTGAAGATCATCACAACTCTGTTTGAAGAAGGATTTGATTCTCTGAATGCACAGCCCACAAAGGAATGGGATTCTAACATGTGCTGGTGTGTGGGCTGCATGGAATAGCCACCTTGCATTACTCGGGCCTGTCGTATACATTTGGAGGAGCTCACTTCCCGCAACAGAAATTCGGAAACTGGCAACTGAACAACAGAATCTGCTTCAGTCTTGCTCGACAAAACCATCAAATAAACTTGGTCATGGCTTTGTTTTTCATGGCTTCTTCTCTTAACCCAAAAGCCCTGCTCTAATGTTCCTTCTCCATTCATATACCCAAAACACAAGCACCCTTTCAAGCTCATCTCTTCTTCTTGTAAAACGTTTGCTCCGTCAGAAGGAAAAGAAGCGTTTTAACTGCAAACAACTTTCATTATATTCTTTTGTTTCTTCTTTCTAGGGTTTGATTTTAGCATATAATTAATTTGTGCTTGAATTGTTAGCATATGTAGAATGCCTCGATGGATAGATTTCTTGTTTTGTGCTTGAATTTTTTTTATAGAAAATACCTGATCATATTGGACATAAAGGTGACACCACGAATAGCTTCCTGTTGCTCTCCATACCTCACAGTTTCTGGCTATGTCTCATGGCAGCAGCTCAAAGACAAGAAGGATTTTTCGTTGTTCAACATAGAACATTGAATCTTGAGCATTTTGCTACCTTTGAAATGCTGGTGAAATTAATCTTAGGCATCCATGGAGATTCAATAATCATTTAGACTGCTGATTGCCTATATACTCTTGACATTTTTTGTTAGGATCTCTGTCTTCTGCACGCACGCACGCAACCGAACCTTTTGGAACAACTAAGTTCTAGTAACTCTGCTGTTGATGGTATGTGAATCTTATCGCTGTACAAATACTAGAGCTTCATTTATTCATTGGTGAGTCGATTTCGAATTATTTAAATAATAAATCAAATATAATTGTTAATAAAAGTTGGTTATGTTGATAAGAATGAATATTTCGCTTGTAAGTAAGATTTGAATATTTCGATTTTAATTAAGATTGAATTCGATTTTTAGTGTTAACAATCTCCTTAAATGATTTATAAATTTAATGTAAATACTCATAACGAATATGCGACTCCTCATTATAAATTTTTATTAAAAAAAAGAATTTGATTATTTTAATACAAGATTTGAAGGATTAATGAATTTAATTGAGTTTTATTTATTAATATTTTTATAATATATGCATAAAAACAATTTATTAAAATATAATATTTAATATTTATATTTATAATTTTTTGAATTTAAACTAATAAAATCAAACATAAAAAAATAAAACTTCATTTAAATTAAAAATGATAACGGATCAAATTGAGATGAATTTTTACCAACTTTAAATCTGATCTAATTTTTATACTCATAATATTTGAAATCGACTTAATTTTATATTATATAAATCTTATTTAATTTAGTTTCATAAAAAATTAATAAAATATTATTTTAAAATATAAAATTAAATAAACAATTAAAAAATAATTATACATAAAAGATAGTTCGAATTTATTTACAATTTAATTTTAATCTGACTCTAATTTGTTTTTATATTATTATTTAACCCAATGTAAAACTCAATTTAAAAAAAATTAATTTTAAAAAATCAGATTAAAATCCGTCGAAATTGATTTACCACCTCTAATTGAAATTCATTTTCAATAGAACTTCAAGTACAATCGAGCTCGGCTGGATGCTGACAACAGATTTGGTCAATTACACCCTTGTTTTTGTGGCCCCAACCCATGCCCATAAGGATATAAAACTCTTAACATTCTAAAATAATAATCCTTTTTTTTTTTAATTTTCGCTCTTGAATCAATTATCCAAATTAATTAAAAAAGATAATCTCTTAACTATTTTTTTATACGACTTCATATGTTAGATTAATATTCGTAAACGTAACGTTTTCTTGAATCAGATATTTATCAGATTAGAAATTGAAAAAAAAAATCTAATTTGTTATATATATATATATATATATTTTTTTTTTTTTTCATTAGGAAAGTGCTATAGTAGTGTAGTTCATGCCTTTCTCCTTCCAATAGTTCTCCGAATTTTCCCTTTTTTTTATTTTTATTTATTTCTCCATTCCCACCGCCTATTAAAATCATCCTCAATTGCAACCCCCGCCAAAAAAAAAAAAAAACAAAAAACCCCAAAACAAAAATGGCCAACGTTTCCGTTGCCGCGGAATGGCAGCTCCTTTACAACCGCTACTACCGTAAACCCGAACTCTACCCAATGAGATGGAAACACATGGATTTATCCCGCAACAAAGTCGCCTGCGCTCCCTTCGGTGGCCCAATTGCCGTGATCCGCGACGATTCCAAGATCGTCCAACTCTATTCAGAATCAGCTCTCCGGAAACTTCGCATCTTCACTTCCTCCGGCGTTCTCATCTCCGATACTGTATGGAAACACCCCGGCGGACGCCTGATCGGCATGTCGTGGACCGAAGACCAAACCCTAATCTGCATCGTCCAAGACGGCACCGTTTACCGCTACAACGTCCACGCCGAGCTGTTCGAACCCAACGTTTCTCTTGGAAAAGAGTGTTTCGAGCAAAACGTGGTGGAATGCATGTTTTGGGGTAACGGCGTCGTCTGCTTGACGGAAGGAGGGTTGTTGTTTTGCATCCCGGATTTTAAGGTGATGCGTCCGTGCCAGCTGGCGGAGACGGAGGCGGAGGATCCGCCGAATTGCATGGCCGTTATCGAGCCGAAATACACGGTTTCGGGGAACGTAGAGGTGTTGGTTGGGGTTGGGGATGGAATTTTGATTGTGGATGAAGATGGAGTACAGAGAGTGGAAGGGGAAGCGGTTCAGGGTCCGGTTCCAAAAATGGTTGTTTCTTGGGATGGCAAATATTTGGCCATTTTTACGCACGATGGGCGGATTTTAGTGACGGATATTAATTTCAAGGGAGTTTTGTTGGAGTATAATTGTGAGGTTAGTTTGTAATTTTTTTTTAACTGATTGGTTTTGGAGGTGTAATTGAGCTGAGCAGAGTTGATATAGTGTGAAGCTCAAGTTCTGAGCTTGACGCTACTCAGCTTGTTCGACTGAGTTTTAATTTTCAAGTTTGAGCTCAATTTGAGTTCAACTGAGATAAAAATTGAGTAACTTGAGCTCATTTGTATGATAAAAATGAGCACAATTCTTATGCCTGATTTCTAGCTCAATTATATGTTTGAACTCGAGTTCGAATTCATATATAAAGGTATAATAGTAAATCTTTAATTAAAATAATAAAAATATATTGAAATTTAAAAGTTCGGTTAGACTGGTGAGCTACTTGAGTTAGTTATTAGGATACTCAAACTCACTCGTTCAACAATGATCGAGTCGAATTTGAATTTTATCTGAGTTGAATCTGAATAACTTGCTAGTATTAATATATCATTTACACCTGTAGTTTGGTTACTTGTATAAAATGTTCATATATGTTTATAATTATATTCGAAAAAAATGAATTTATTAAAATGCATTTTACTAAAAATTTATAGTCTTGATTTGTTGAAACCTGAAACTTTTAAGGTGGAACTTCAATTGAATTGATGAAAATGTTTGTGAATATGTTAAAATTCTATAGGGGTTTCTCAGATGAAAAGCAAATAACAAAAAGCAATAGCTAAATGGAGCTTTAGAAATTCATATTTTGGAAAATGATGACAATATAAATATTCAATATGCTTGTATAATTGTTGTCTAAAACTTCAATAGCCTTGATGAAAATGTTGTGAATTTATTTTAATTCTATGGCGGTATACAAATGCCACTGATTATCTCCTTCATTTATAATTCTAATCACTATTTTTAGTGTTTGACTCTGTGTGTTATCAATTACTTTTGCATATACAGTCAGCTCTTCCTCCAGAGCAGCTAGCTTGGTGTGGATTGGATAGCGTACTTCTTTATTGGGATGATACACCATTATTGATGGTGGGTCCTCAGGGAGATCCGGTTCATTACTTTTATGATGAGCCACTGGTTTTGGTCCCAGAGTGTGATGGAGTGAGGATTTTATCAAACACAAGTATGGAGTTTCTGCAACGGGTTCCAGATTTCACTGTATCTATCTTCAAAATTGGAAGCACATCACCTGCCGCATTGCTGTATGATGCCTTGGATCATTTTGACAGGCGAAGTGCGAAGGTAACCTGTGCTTTCTTTTACTGAGAGAAATAGTTGATTTAAAGTTTGTTTTGGTAAACATTGTCAGTTTCTCTGATTTCTTTTGCTGCAAATATGAAGTTAGTTGTATTGGTGCTTGGTTTACATTTGAATTTTGCTAGTTGATTTGATAATGTATAAGCACAGTTCATATTGTTTAGTGCTATTTATGGACTTCATCCTTACTGTCCTAGTAGTCGTGATATTTGTTTCCCTTTTTGCTGTCCTCTGAAATAGCCATGGTACACAAAAGAAAAGATAGTGAAAGGAGTTTGTTGTTGAGATGGTATGATTCTTTTCCTTATGTGGGTATGATTTCTTAAAGAATTTTCTGTTACCTATATGTTACCAG